TCCAACTTCCAAGTCTAGACTCTCAAGCACGTGATCATTTCCCCATCCACATCCATCCATCCACTCCACCGACGGGGTTTAAAGTTCAAATCTAGAATCTAGACGAGTCGATAGGCTCAGCCCAGTGGAGTAATTTGAAGCCTGCCTAAAATATTTCGTTTCGTCATGCCATCAAGATCTGGAATTCAAACGTGAGTTTCTTTCTCGCTGCGTCTGCGTCTGCGTCTGTGTCTGCGTCGGAGAATTTCTTCCTTTCACAGTCTCACTCCGTACTATATACTTCGTGATGTTTGTGGCAATAGCATTGTCGCATTGTATTTGCAATTGGCTATCAATTATGTCATAGTATGGTTCCTTCATTGGGGGAAAAAGGATTCGGGAAAGTCCTTGTCCTTGTCCTTGTTCTTGTTCTTGAGGTAGGGTAGATGGTAAGAATTAGTCTAGAGCTCTGCTCTGCTGTGCTCTGCTGTGCTCTGCTGTGCTGTGGTTAATAATAATAATAATAATAATAGTGTTAATGATCGAAGTGCACAAGCAAGTGCGTACGTACATGTTACATACCATACCAGTACATAAACATATCAAAAAACTGGAAGACGAATTCGAGGTAGTTGCACGAGTAATGTGACGAGAGCCACAGTACAGTAGTAGAAATGATAATTTTGACTACCTAAAGCTGCAACAGGATTGTGTTCCCATTTGAAAGTTCTTGTTCCAAATTGCACTGTCATATCATATCATATATGAGGCAACTAAACCGATGTCGTGCATCGTAGTATAGGGTACCTAAGTACCTAAGTACCAATTCATCCGCATATTGCTATGCTATGCTATGCTGTGAGCACTAATCCCCGCATACATATATAGTGCCCGAAGTATTACCCACCCATGTATCATATTCATATCGTTAATTCTCCCATCCATAATTATATAACTTATCATATTTTGAGAAAACATCCACCTCATCCGTCCAACAAACACTTTACCTATTTCGGTACATGCCTTATCTTCTTCATCTATTCATCCACTTGGCAGTTGAAGCTGAATGCTAGCCAAGCCCACTAGCATCCCAAATGAAAAATACTACCCTTTTGTGAATTCTCGGCCTTTCTGTGTAACGTACGACGTACGACAAATCAAATTCACGAGCTGAGTTAACCCAGCCAGCCCTATGGATCAATTAAACCCCCACAATTCACCATAAGCCCAGAAGCCAAGACAGGCCAAACTTCAACGTTGTGCACATCAGATTTCCTTCCTTCCCTCCCTTCCTCCCTTTTCCCTCCCGCTTTCTCCACAATTTGGAATACCGTACGCGCATGCACAGTATCACGAAGATCCTGGCGGATCACTTGCTCACGCCAGACATTGCACTACGATTTGAGAGCTATTTTTATTCCGAAAATGCGTGCATTGGTTTCTGCAGGTGCGTACGTTTCACCAGGAACTATGTTGCACCATTAGAATTTCAACATTGAAGATCGAGAGAGCATTGAAGTTTGACATTGGTTGTCGGACGCGAAGATCTTCTTAGAAACTCGTTCCACAATACGTGTCGTTGTCGGTCGTCCACTAGTTCGGATCACGGAGAGCGGAAGTAAAACGAAACTGTTTTGCCCGAGCTAAAAATGAAGGGTCAGTCAGGTTATGAAGATCTAGATGGTCTAAAACCGTATAACATCGGCAGAACTATTCTCAATCTAGATGCTGGTTCCAAAATTGATCTAAAAGAGGACATTTTGAAGACCAGACAAATCCTGAAACAAGGTATAAAGACCAACTGAAGTAACACATGTGGGATCACCAACAATTTTTTATTTGCTTGAGAGAGAATGTTTTCTGATCGGTCAGAAAAAAACTATGGGGTTGAATACGCATTGATCCGGGTAAATCGTGGTCATTTGATGAATATTCATGAGTTGCTTGATAAATTCCCCTCACGAGTTATCTTTGACCAAGAAGTGGTGCCTATACCGGTAGCTAGAGTTATGCCTAGTTGACTCTGGAGCGATAGATGTTGGAGATTGAAGTGAGCTATTCTGATGCTTTGATCAAATCATTGAACGTGGGAGATTCATGGATATTATTGGATATGGTTCAACGGAATGGAATTTGTTGAAAATAAAGAAAGATATGGCTCCGAGAGAAACTCGTATGTAACTGCAAATGTATAAGTGTATAAGGTTATGTAAGCAGTGAGTGAGATTGTTGTTGATGTCCGATAAGAATGTCTAAAACTCATTGATATCAGCCAGGGGGTCAATATATACTCGAGTAATGAGCGACTTGATTTATTATACCAAACCAAAAGGGAAGGACAAAAAGAAAGTGAAAAAGACAATACAGTAACAATCATCGTTAACAATCATCGTTCGAGGATACCGAGTACAACCGTTCTCCGTTCTGTAAGCACCGACCAAAGATGACGGAGGTGGCTGCAGGTTTTCCATGCCGTTGTGCGACAGTAATGTGCCTGCATCTGCATGTTTTATGATTTTCTTTTACTTTTGCCCATTCCGAATTGTTGTTGGTGGGACGCGTGGGATAGATAATCACCGATTGAGGGGAAACCTTGGGGGTCAAAAACTTAATTCAAAATTCTGGATAAAGGGGAGGAGAGGATAAGGTCACCGGAAGATACATAAGTGTCAAGTAGGGAAGTGGAGTTGTTGTATGGAACTCTGTACTCCGTACTCCGGTGAGTCTGGAATGTCTCAAATGCAATCAAGACAGCGTTGCATATGCAGTGGCGGTATACTATGGGGTTGTGAAGTTGAAGAGGGTAAAGTACTGTACTAGGTAGGTTTGTTGGTTATACTGTACTGTACCCTAGGTAGGTATCTTCGTATCTTCAAAAGAGTATGCTGCGAAGGCATTGAGATAATAAAATCTTCAACTGTATTGATATCGAAAAGTTACAATGTTAACGCCTTGAAGTCTCACAGGAACTTGGTTGGATTTGTTATGAAGGAGAAAGGAAAAGGAAGTGGAGAGACCCTCCTCCTTTTGAGTGGGTCGATTATCTCTTGAAGTCTTGGATAAAAGCCGCCAAAGCGATTAAGGAAATCCGAGAATCCGAAATCATTTGGAGTGGGGTGTTTATCAGAAGATTTGTCCTGATGGGACTTTAAAAGGCGTAATCTAGAATCTGGTCCAAAATTCCATGAGATTATGTTAATCCAGTCAGAGATTAGAAAGCAGACACACCTGTGTGAATATTCAAATAACTAAGTAAATCAATTACATTTAGTTAGCCTCTCCTCTGGTCTAACATCTAGTTATTCATTAGCGTTTAGCTTTTTTCATACACTTTTTGTATACGAACTCGAATACTAAGGTTATCTACTCGAGTATGCTGATTCCCGAAGAAGAAAAAAGAGAAAGAAAAAAGACCCTTAATGATGCAATTTGAGGAAGATTTGATACCATTCTAACACTGGAACATAAGACAATTTATTTAAAAGTCACAACATCAACCTACATCTACCTCTTAATCCCAGAATTAAGAAATCCTGTAGATCAATTTTGTCAACCACCTTAAACGTTTCTATCATTCCGGAACGGAAACTAGAGCAACCACGCCATCAACAATCAATTAATTACACCTTGGCGGTCAAGGAAGCTAGACTTGTCTACAAGAAGACATGCCGTACCTTTCCAGAACCTTAATAAGTACCTAGTGGAATCAAGACAAAACGTTTGTGCGTAGAAGCGTAGAAGCCATCAAGCAAGCCAGCAAGAATACTGCAGTATCCATTTCTATACATCAAGTCATCACCGACTACCATATCATCTCAAACATTACATTCATACCATTCCATTGTTAGACAACGAAGAATCTCCGGAATAGTTACCATCTACTTAGAAAGGATTACTCTAGAAAGAAGTCACACATTGTTCTTTTTCTCCTAACTCAATAGTTCCCGACAATCCTTCCTTTATAATCTTCGACTACCGAGACCAACTCACAAGGTTTAACAAAGAGATCAAAAGGATCATCCAAGTCTCTTTGCCAGAACCAAACGGATTCTTTTCCCTCTCGTTACAACAACTCCGCAAATAGATCACCCACAATCAATTTGATAGTTCCCGGTTTAGTTGATCGATAAGATCTTCCCTCCCAACTAGCCAACCAATAATCCTTCCAAGGGTCTACTCAAACTAAACACCAAACCAACACTCTCATTGGATAGTAGGCGTTTAGTATATTCGAGGGTACAAAGTTACAACCAACCATCAGAAAGAAGCACGCAATATTCCCATTCCACGATAATATTATACTCATTTTTTTCTTCTTCAAATCTTTTACTACTATATCTACTCAATATCCCCCTCCATTTCACATACATTTTTCGTTTCCAAACATTCAACTATATTGTGTCGGAAAAATAAATTGATACATCATATCAACCCCCAGCTCCCCCAGGATTTATCCATATTGGTCAATTGTTATTCGATCATCACTCTGCATCTTCTTGCATACTTTTGTACAGAGCTAAGAAAATTGTGTATCCCTATCGCAAACATTTCTCTCATATCCCACTCTCCGACTTCGCCCATATATAATTTCCCAGGGAGTCATACCGATATCATCTCTTATCAGGACGGATTACACGATTACACACTACAACTACCATCACACTAAAGATTACAATCAGAAATCTTTACAGTCGCCAATCGAAATAATATAAAAAGAATTCAATCCCTGATTTTATTCCTTTTGATCATTTATCACATCATCATCATCATCGCTTTCAGAATCTTCAACCCTACTCGCCTGGACCAATCTAATTCATCATCACGAGAAACATTCACAAGACCGAGGTCGACCAGGGAAGACTCTATTATAAGAACTTCTACCCACGAGATAAAGGATACCAAGACATATTTCACTCTTACCTATTCGATATTTTCCATCAGCAATTCATATAGAAAGTCTATATAGTTTAAGGATTGTTTCGATATAACAAAAAGAAGAACTTATCTTCCTAATCGCCATAATGGCACATTCAACTAAACCATCCACCTCTCGAACACCCACTGTTCCCACACTTTCTCTATCCCCAAAAACGAACTTGGAGAAGAAGACGCATCATGCACGCCGCAAGTCAGGAAAGGAAAATGCTGTGGTAGCAGAAAAGAGAAGTTCACACAGGAAGACAGCACCACAAATTATTACGAAGGGTGGCAGAAGTAAGGAGAGAGAAGGTCAATACGTGGAGAAGGATAACGGAGAGAGTTTTCCACAGTTCTGGTAAGTTTATCTGTCAGATGATGACAATTCCCAGGTTCTGAAAGAACGCGGGGTGCATATTGGTGGCTGAATCGTAACTGACGAATTATTACAGTATGACTTGCGAGAAGCAATTTACACCAGCAAACAATACTTTTCTCTATTGTTCCGACCAGTGAGTATCACCTACCGATTCTGGATTATCTTGCAGCAATCACTAACCAGATTCATAGATGCCGTCTTCATGATCATGCTCCTACATATACCTCTCGATCGAACCTATATGCAACAGCCCCAAATTCTCCACCATTGACCCCGTTCATGTCAAGCGGAACATTATACTCCCCAGAAGAACCTCGAGACATTGTCCCTCGATTTTCTCCCACCCAATCTCGACCACGATCATACTTCAACTCATCACCATATCCCACCGATTTCTCCACCTCTTACCAAACCGCATCCGCATCTCTCCCAGCATCTCACTTCTACACCTCATCACAAGCCGATACACATTCATCGAGTGCCTTACAGAGTTTAAGAGGATTAGCCACAGCCCTCCCTAGAATACATCACCCGCAAGAACCAGAATCTCCACCAACCACCGCACTGGCGAGGACTTCCTCTCAAGTCTGGAATTACATGCCTTTTACAAGCAAAACCACAACACCCACACCCCTCTCCACGCCAGGAAACTCATACTCCAACAGTGGCACTAGCTATTCCGCCCGTCGCAGTCGAGAAGATTTATATTCTTTCGGCAACGGTCAAATATATATCAGCAGCGGTGGCATGGATCGTCCATTACCACCTAGAAGTGGACCTGGTGGCTATGCACATCGACCTAGGAGTATTGATCTAGTCACACCACATACACCTGGTATTTGAATTTCCACCGAAGAAGAAAACAAAATATCAAGGAGTAAGCACGAATTATAGATTATTTTGCGTAGGTTCTTGATAGATATTTGATTGTTTCAAAGCATTGCGAGCATGGATGGCTTCATCGCAGTATATTGATAACACAGCATGAATTGGGATTGGATTGGGTTTGGGATGGCATATGGATATTGATATAGATACTCGACATGTGTGTGCTGCGAGGCAAGTGAATACTGAAGGAGTTAATCGTGGATTTCCAAAAAATATATGGGAGGATATGCATAATGCAATATGGATATCAGGAAGGAATGGAAGGAATACATGAGATTAGATAGGATACCGATACGCGATGGATTTACAGTATATCGCTTTAGTTAATACCAATATATATACGCACCTCTTTTACAAATATTTTCATATTCTTATTGTACTCGGATGTTGTGAGGTGATGTACTCGTGTATTGATTATCTAGAAGTGAGTCAATTCTTCGTATCCCATGAGATGAGATGATATGGTTGGTCATCTTAAGTCTTGATTCTTGAGTCTTGAATCACAGGTATCTCATTCTATTCTCATTCTATCTCATCTCATCTCATCTCACAAAATAACACACAATTATATCCCCAATGGTCCGTCCTACTAGTAACTCAGCCCAGCCCAGTCCAGTCCAGTTTAGTCCATATATATATATATATAATTAACTTACTCGTCGTACAAAGCCAAATTCTCTCTGCTCTCTCCCCTCTTCTAATTCATCCTTATACTCGGTACACATTAACTTGCAATATACTCGTATTCTCGTACTCATCTCACTCATGATTTATATCAGATGCACATCACATGATCACGTGTATGTACTTGTAGAAATAATTCGGAGTCGGAGGATTCCCACTACATCCGGTGTATAGCCGAGATAGCAGGACTTGATCTCGCGTTTTGGGTTTGGGATAGATTCTAAAGTTGAAAACATTCCGTGGACTCGAAGGATTGTACTGTATTTTGTGTCGTATCGTATCGTATCGTATTGTATCTCGAATATATATTACATTGTATTGTATTAGTGTAGTGGAGAGTGTGGTAAGGTTAGGGAACCTGATATTGATTGAGTTGATAAAGTAATTTATCACGTGCGTGCAGGTTGAGAATTGAATTAGCTTTGAAGGATTTATACTAGTAACCTGAGAAGGAAGAGCTTGAGGTTGAGGTCGTGAAAAAGAAAAGAAAAAGGATCTCGGGATACACGATGGGCAAGATGGTTAAGATGGCAGAATTTAAAACGAATGATGGGGTTATCATCAAATATATCGATACAGATTCTAAGAATGAGGGAGGGAAGGAGTGGTTGGTTCTTGTGAGTGGTTCTTTTCTTCGGGCTTGAGATTTGTGTTTCTGGTGTATGGTTTCTCACGGCATGGAGGAATCTTTCTTGCTGGAGTTATGATTAAGGTGTATACGAGTACAGCTAACGAGAAACGTAGCTTCACGGCTTCACTGGCTCATCAGCTGTTTGGCAACGCAACATCCATGCTTTATCGGAGCAATATCGCGTTCTTGCACCGGATCTTAGAGGTCATGGAGAGAGTGGAAAACCGAAGCATGGATATCATGTTAGTCGACTCGCGATGGATTTACACGAACTTACACAGCACATTATCAACTCATCATCTACCAGCCAAAAGGACACCATCTCCAATAACCAATTCATGGCTATTGGCGGTAGTCTCGGTTGTGCGATTCTCTGGAGTTATGCCGAACTCTTTAGCACGAGAGCATTCAAGAAAATGATCTTTGTGGATCAAAGTCCATTGCAGAATTTGACGTTGGATGGATGGGATAGTCGATTCTGTAACCGCGGTATGAATAATCCATGGGCAATTGCATCTCTTCAGAAGACTCTTGAGCTGGCGCCAGAACTGGCACATCGGGGGACCATTGCTGCTTGTTTGGGTTATCGGTATGCACCTGTGGAATCTGAGAATGGGGTTAGAACGCAGAAGGAAAAAGATGAGGATGAGGAGTTTTTTCTAGGAGAAGCTGTTAAGGGTGATGGAAGGTGGTTGGGGAAATTGATGGAAGATCATACGGCTAAAGATTGGAGGGATAGTATTCGTGCTTCTTTTGGGCCGGGGAGTGGGAGTCACACGCGGGTTTTGGTGGTGGGAAGTAGTAGGAGTGGATGTTTTCCTGCGGAGGGGGTGATGAAGATTGTGGAATTAGTTAATGGTGGGGATGGAAATGAAGGAAAGGAAAGGGATGGGAATGCACGAGGGGTGGTGGTTGATTGGGGTGGGCATTGGTGTTATTGGGAGGATCCGAAGAGGTTTGATGATTTGGTGTTGGGTTTTTTGGGTTGATGAGCAGGAGGGGGAAGTGATGAATGAGCATAGCAAAAAGAGAAGGAGAAATTGAGCAACCATAGTATCCCCAATAAATAAAGACTCTTCAACTGACAACAATCTTTCAATCGGCATCGAGAAAAAGCAACCAACCAACCAATCAATCAACCCAATGGCGCGTTTTGTTTCTGGCCTCCGGGAGGAGAGAGCTTGGGGAGGAGATGGTAAGTAATCAACACTCATTCATTTTGCAAGTTTCATTCTTCATGTTGTGTGTGTTATTTTTACCTATATCTTCATGTTCATTAAGTAGCATTTCATGCTGTATCATCATCTCAGCATCTCATCTAACATCCTGATATCTACCAATGTTCAAATTCTATTCATGTGTTCAACTCACAGCAGATCTGTTCCATCTCATGTATCTTCTTGCCCTACCAAACTTCATCCATCATCCCATCAACTCAATGTCTATCTTTCATTCATACACCTTAGGCTATACTCCAGATCATCAATGATTGAAAAGAGATAGAACTTTGAAAGTGCTTGAATGTTTGAGATGAATTGAGTCCTCCGATTCAACTTGTTGATTTTAAGCAAACCCAATCTTTCAAACAATTTCAGTATTTCAACAACTAATATAGTATAGCAGAGAGCGACGAGGAGCTTTTGCTCCCAGCAGTTGCCGCCGCCGCCGCCCGCCTTATCTCCCGCCCTCCCTCTCCTCTCCTCCCCCTCTTCGTCACCCCCGCCGCCGCAACAACACCCGCCGCTGCATCCCTTCTCACCCACCTCACCCTCTTTCCCTCTCCCCGACCCTCCCCCTCTCCTATGGTCGCCGCCCCGCCTCCTCCGGGAGTTTATGATCGTTTTTTTGGTGCTGGGTACGTTTGATTCTCTCAATTTATAGTTCTAAAGTATGATTACTAAGCGCGTGTAGCGCGCCCCCGGCACATTTTTGGACGTTTCTTGGTTTTGTTTTGACAGTAATTTTTGCTTTTTGTATCTTCTTAAAGGAGATGATGACTTGGTGAGGAAATAAAGTGAGTCATAGCCTTATAGGTATCTTCAAAGATGGAAATGAATACAATGCTGACATAATCTTTAGTATAATTATATAATGAATAGAGACGACTGCCCAAAAGAAAAAAAAACTCCTGATTTGCCGATTTTCATTAACAAATTTCTAAAACTGTGATTTCAATATACTAATATTGCAGAGCCGTTCTATATATCGGGGTCAGAATTGGATTGGGAACTTTCAGTATTCCAAGTGGACTGAATATTCTAAATAGGTCCAACATTCGAGAATCTTCTATCCAATGTTAGCGACAAGGATACTGGCAAGCTTCGAATCTATTCTCTTCACTTACAACTTCATCAATCTACACTTTATCTTTTATCTACTCTCCTCCAATGTTGTCTGAGTCTAAATTTCAACTCCGATGCTCTTTTTAGGGTGTAGATCTTTTCCTGCCTTCGCTGCTGCCTTCACTCTCCAATACGCTGCGTTTGGATCCTTTCCCGCCGCCATTTCCCCCCGATACTCAGCGCCCCGTCTCTCCAATTCTTCCCACTGTTCATAAGCCCATCTCTCCATACAGCAATTTATTGGCATAGTCTTTTCCTTTGATGTTGCCTTCACATTGACCTTCCCGATTTCTGCTAGTAACCATTCCTTAGCGAGTTCTCCATTTCTCATCCAACTTTCTTGTGCCCAAATGGCGCGTCGAGCATAGTAGTATGCCCGTCTTTGGGCGCAAATTTCTCCTCTGTCTTCATCGGGGTGAATACAAATATATTGGTTGATGCGACGCCGTCGCTTAATGGCGACTCCTCTGAGGGCTGAGGCAATACCGAGAAGAAAACTCGTGAGAGCGACGATGACGATGACGATGACGATAACGATGACCATGTCGAGAGATGCCATATTTTCAAGTGATAAATGTTTTACTATATCTTTACGTGGCTTATTCAGAAATTAGCGCGTGGTAGATGGTAAGGAAGTTGAGGGACATACAAGAGATAAATGGTGTTGGTTATGAAAGTGAAAGATTTCTTAAGGATTGAAAGAGTTTTTGAAGACTTCAAATTGAATGACGGGTTGAGTGCTTAGGTTAGGACATTAGCTAGTAGTAGTGCGGTCATGTGACGTCACTAAATCGAGCATATACGTGTTATGAGGGATGTCGTCGGAACATGACCTTAGCTCTGATCCTAGCTTGAACTAAAGTCGACTACGAGTACTTCACGGATGATACTATACTACTGCCGATAGTGAAGAAATCTGCGTTTCCCGGCGACAACACGACGTTTGCATTGATGCACGCAGTAACCATTCCATCGCAGATTCCATGAAGTTGAACAAGTACTTATCAAGTTCAAGCATCGAGTCGAAAGCTATTCCAATCTCGCAAGTCAAGTCTGAAGTTTTAAGGTAGAACTCGAGTCAAGATGTTTGGGTGACACAGGATATCCGGATTAATAGACCAGATCCAAGCTTTCAATGCTCGAAAAGCTACAATTTTCCGAGGACGAATTTGATCACTTGAATGGGATCGATCTTTCAAAATGCATTCAATCTGCCGAACGAAGTTGAATATCAAAAACCCTCCCATCGTGGGACTACAATCTGGACTGGACACGCTGTTTGGCATGGGTACAAGTGATGGAATGTCTCAAGAACTATCTTAAAGACTTTCACGTGCACTTCAATTATCACAGTTCCATAATTCCCTACTCCGGTCTTCTTCAACTTCGACAATCCAATTGATGCAAATCTCCAAGTGCCCTAGCGATACTGGTGAACTTTGTTGGGTGAACTTTGTTGTTCGTCGTCAGCTCTGATCTTTTCAAAATATTACGTATCCACCCCACGTGACTCTCCACAACTTTCTCCAACCTCACCTCCTTTTCTTGCTTCACGCCAAGTCCGCTACACATATATACATACGTATATCACATTCCAGCAAACATGTTACTCTACGCATTTGCACTCATACCCCTCTACATTCTCGTGTGGGTACCTCTCTCTCAAATCATCTTCGGTCGTCAATCTTCACTCGATGAACCTCTTGATTTGAACTCTACATTTATTGCTAGTGATGAACCCCTCAATTGTCCGGAAGATAGTTATAAGATGTTTATCATTAGTCGAGAACCTCTTATGATATATATTGAAGGGTTTTTGAAAGGGAATGAAAGTAGACATTTGGTTGATGTTAGGTGAGTTGCTTCCAGTCTGATGGAAATGTGAAAACTTATGGGAATAGTGAACCGCTCTATGCACCATCTACCATTTCTTATGGACAGGAAACTACAATTGATACTTCAGTTCGTCACTCAGAAGTAGCGTTACTAGAGAGGGATGAGGTGGTCAGGTGTATTGAGCACAGAGCGAGAGCATTTCAGGGGTGGCGGGGAGAGATGGGGATTGAAAAGTTGAGGACGCAGAGGTATGGGGTGGGAGGTCATTATGGGATGCATTTGTAGGTTTTGGAAGATTATTGGAGAACCTCTTTTCTTTCGTTCAGACGAGTGTTCGCCGAGAGATCGTAGGCACAAAAACTAATTCTGAAACAGCGATTGGAGTGGAGGCAAACGCGGCGTAGACCGATTAAGTACTTTTATGGTCTATGTCGATGTATCCCCTGATATTAAGGGTGGTGGAACGGAATTTCCGCGTGTGGTGGGACCAAAAGGAGGGAGATGGGATGAATTCCTTGATACCACCGAAGGGTTGGATCCAAGAAGTGGAAAGAATGTGACGGTTGAAGGAGTTACATTTAAACCGGTGAAGGGAAACGCGATCTTTTGGGAGAATGTTGATAGAGATGGAAGGGGATACGAAGAGACGTGGCATGCTGGGTTGCCGGTGGAGAGGGGATCGAAGGTGGGGTTGAATATTTGGAGTTATGGGAGGACTATTAGATGATATGTTGAGGTGAGGGGAAATGATGTGTGATGTGCGTGTGTGTATATAGGTAGGTGTACACTGAGGTAGGTGAAGTGAATATATCGATCGGTACGTATAAATGTAAGATCATCCGATATCAAAGGAATCTAAATGAGTATTAGGTTGCCACGGCACAGAATCAATCCTTCCACATGAAGAGATTGATTGCCTTGGTATTTTCAACATACTACAGTAGATTTCTTCCATCTCTTCGAACTTTTCCTCTATTCACCTTTGCGAAACATTCTGCTGGCAGAAGATTTCAGATTTTTGTCTTCCGACAATACAAATTGAGCGCGACTCAATTTCGAAAAGTACATTTTCATACACACAATACCTTCCCTTCCTTATTCGATTGTTCTCGAGGCAACAAATCTATCATCTTCCATCTTGGTCGAGCGGGCAAACAATAGACAACACAAACACATTCACACATCCACTTTCTTTTCACCATCGGTCTTGCAACGCAAGTGACGATAGTTGCAAGCTTAACCAGCCGATTCAGATCTGAAAATCTACCTGGAATTCGATACAGGGTTACAACTCCGCAATTTAACCATACAACATTAAATTTCCATCACACATACACACATACAAACAACGAAACATCCGCATCCCACAATGGCCGCCACAGCCTCCGCTCACTCCAACCTCGTAACCCTCCACACCCACCTGCACACCCTCCTCATCAAACTATCTCTCTCGCTCCACCTCAGCTCCCCATCCCCATCCCCATTCCCTCCCCCACCACACAACCCGCACCCGCACCAGCGACATTCGCAGCATCTCCGCGCCCCCACCTCACACTCACACTCACACTCACATCGACTATCCACCATCAACAACCCTTCCACCTCCACCTCCACCTACACCTACAAAAACAATCCCAACGACCCCCTCGAAGTGCTCTACACGTTATCTCCCCCCGCCTTCCACTACTTGCCCCGCAGCACACTCTTACCTCCTCAAATCGTTCTGCAGGGATTCATGGAAACGTCTGAGAATGATCCGCCGTTGTTGGAGGGCAGACGTATGCAAATTATGGTTATACCGCGCGGCGTACGGAGAATTGTGGTGCATTTTTTGGTGTATGATCCGGTGAGGAGGGGGGTTGGTGGTGGTGCGGTGGATGGGCTGGGTGAGCTTGGTTATGGGAATGGAAATGGAAAAGCGAAAGGAAAAGGAAAAGGAAAATTACGCAAGAAAGATAGTATCAACGCATTGCGAAGAGGAAACTCGAAAATAAGAGATCATACCACAGATCATAGATCCACGAGCAGACTTTCGAATACGAGTCCTAATCCTAACACAAACGCAAATGCAAACTCGGACATGAATCTCAACTCGAATGATGACGGCATGGAAATAGAAGTAATGGGGAAAGCAGCGGCGTCGGTGTCGAGGATGCAAGAGGAGAGGGAAGAGGATGAGTTGGGTGAATACGTGGTTATGAAGCGTGTGGTTACGTTGCCTAGGAGGGTTTGGTGTGGGAGGAATGTAAGTTTTATTTTTTATTTTTATTTTTTATTTTTCGGTTCTTGTTCTATATCTATATCTTTTTTCTGGGTGGGTAATTGGATGGGGGTATGTCAGTATGAATGCGTAGATATTGAATACTAATACGTTATGTTATTCAATAATATAGTGCAAGGATAAATTCGAACAGCTATTTATTAGGAGAACTTAAAAGCCTTAGGAGCTAAGGTGGTCGATCGATGATGGGAAGGCGAGAGAGAGAGACAACATGAGAATCCAGACAACATGAGAATCCCAAGCTAAAGAGGTCAAATACATACATTACAAATATATCATGAAATATGGTACATATATTTCCCTTCTTCTTCTTCTTCTTCTTTGCGAGTGTTTCGATATGTGAGGGATGGGCGGGGGCTCAATGTTATTTCTAAGTAGTAAATACCTAGTAGCTACTAGCTACTAGCTATAGCGATAGTCTACAGATACGTGGATAGGTATGCATCTATGCATCGATTCATTGCAGTAGAGATGGTGCGGGGAAAGGCGAGAGTTCACTTCAAATGAAAATGAACTGACGAGGGAGGTACAGTGTGAAAATGAAAATGAAAATGAGAGATTAAACACGGAATGGCCATGGTGTTTGGTACAGTTAGAGAATGGTTTTGGGATTGTGGTTGAGAAATGGTGGTTATGATGTTTGTGGAATTTTGGGGATGGAAGGAAGATATATGGATGGATGGGAAGGGAATTATGGAATTATGAATGGATCAATGGATGAATTGATTATTATTGTATAGAAAGTTGATATGGAATGGAATGAAATAAAGTGAAATGGAACATGCAATTCTTTGTATATGAGAGCAAATCAAGTTTGCTTTCTGTCATTGTATCGTGATCTACAGAAGAATCCGAATTCTGCGAGTCAGAGCCAGCTAGGACCCTTTTCTTCCAACTTGCTGTGTATGCATCCATACCAGGACGCAACCTATGTTGAACGCTGCATATCAGTCCCAGTAACCTTACCACTTTCAGAAATCCCCACTATAGCGTCTTTGCTTTTTCATTACGCAACCAGATAATGTTCAATCCTCCTCACCATTCACGTCAGCCTCATCATCACTAACATCCGAATAATCCTTGCCTGCCCTACGCTGTCTCGCAGCAGATATTCCCGTAGCTGTAAGCCACAAAAAGTAATCACTTCGATGATGATCTAAATGGTGGAAGAATGTGTGAAATCTTCATGCTGTTAGTCTGTTTCTCAATTCAAAAGGTGATGGATGAACTTACTGATTCTCAGCATTCTCCACCCTGAAGATTCTATCATAGATTTCTCTTTGCTTAAACTCATCCATCTTCTCCCTATACTTTTCGAAGTCTAATTTTTCCCTCTCGGATTCCTTGGACAGCTTCTCATTGTAGTTATTGAAGACTGGGGCTTCTAACAGCAATCCCAAACTGGGGGCTTTTGGTATGCTAATATTGGCAGCAGTATAAGACTCCTTGATGAGCTCTATTGGCGAAGCACATCGTACCACTAATGCTACCATGGCTACCATTTTTCGGATTTGATGCATCATAAATGATTGACCATGAACCTTTAGTGAGAGCCATTCGGTATTGTGGATAATGATAGGCTTGGGCCCGATTTGAAAGGATTTGATGTGTCGTTTAGAAGAGGGATCATTATAGTTTTTGAGGATGGTGTAGTTGTGATAATTATAGGTGCCGACATATTGGTCCAGTCCTTCTTGTACCCTTTGTCTGCGTGATTCGTGTATGCGGTATGCTTTCTTGGCTTTGATATATGCTGCCTTGACTTCCTTGACGGCCCTCTCAAGAGGTGTGAGAATGGATTTCGACTTTTCCTGGACATCGTCTGCTTCCGGCTTAATCTCTTCATTCGGTAAAGTTTCGTCTTTCACTTGTGTTTCATCGGTGGTTTGGATGCCTTGCATAGCTTCTTGCGCCTCTTTCATCACCTGCGCTGTGACTTCTGATTCTTGCCTCATCTCTCCATCTCCGTTCGCATCGACTTTAGCTTCAGCTACAGGTTCCTCTTGAGATACTAAATCGCCTTGAGGTCCTGCTTCGTTATTTGCAGTGGGGATTTCCTTGGCTTCGACCTCTTCCATGATTTCTGACTTGTTCTTCTTCATGTTCTTTCCTATCGGCTCATTAGATTCCTCCGCAGCATGAATAACTTCCATAACATCTGCTGCCAATTGCGGGTCCAAGCTGTCAAGTATAGGTTGTACGAATTCCTTCTCAGCATTTGCCCAGAATGATACAGCATCTTCTTGAAGTTTGTTGAACTTTTCCAAAACACCTTCCTTCTCGGCTGATTGAAGCAATTCCTTACCAAGGTAGCTCTTAGGATGAGGTGGGATGAATGAGTAAGTTGGAATTAAGTATTCATACCAGCGCGAGTCGCACATTTGATAGCAATTGAAGGATCCTGTAGTTCTCTCGATACCCCAGACTCGAATTTGATCTGGCAAATGTGAATTGATAGTCTCAACGATATTCGGGTCTTCGACGATGAGCTTTAAGGACAGAACGTTGCCAGCTGCATGAACACCTTTGTCGGTTCGCGCACATCGTACCAAGGCCGACTTCTTAGGATCGTTTGCATTGGCTTTCGAAATCGCACCAGCTGCAACAAAAGCCTTGAACATATCACCTTCAATTGTCTTCTCCGTGGTATTGATCTGCAAGCCTTTGTATCCAGTTCCTGCATAGCCAATCATTACGGCGACTTTGTGTTTCGGTTTTCGTACTTCATTTTCAAGTTCCTCCTTGGAGAACTCTGTACTGAATGCTGTTGGCTCGGATTCCCCATTGGGCACTGTCTTTCTGCGTTTCAATGCTTGGTCGTTGTCGTCATTTCGATCTCTTTTTGGTCCTTGGCGACTAGGAAAGTTAGACAGACTAGACTAGAAATTAATAATTGATAAACCGACTAACTTGTATTCATTGCGACCTGTTTCTTCTTTTCTACCTCCTCTGGAACCACCTCTAGAATTCCCTCGACCACCTCTGCCAAAACCTCCCCGCCCCCGCCCTCTACCTCCACCTCCACCGCGCTGACCCCCAGATTGTGCGTTTGACTCCATAATTGATGTGGTTACTCGAACGTTGGAGATATAGGCCAATGTATTTTTAATCAATTGAAAGATGCGCATAGATCTCTTACGAGATGTTGGAAAAAACAAATAATCTGATAACCTGGTGAACTGGAAACTTGATATATTCGCGCGAATATTTCTCCCAATAATTTCAAGCGCCTTTGGCCCAAGCTCCTACTTACTGCGTCTAGCCAATAATCGTCGATCTTTATCAACTGCAACTTTAGCGTTAGGTAGCTTACATAAGTTACTACTTTCCACTACTCCGGTACTTGCAGATGCACCTCATCTCTTCAGCCTTGACAATACTAGGTAGACATTTCTACCGAAGGTGACAATCATATGAAGTTTTCTTTCAATTGACTCTGCCAACCATCCAGCCACCTGGCCTCCAGCTTTCACCCTTAACGATAGACACAGAAGGAATCACTGTATCTTGTTCTGAGTAATCTTCGACTTTGTTGTCTTAAGGATTTTAGTGAACAATCATGGGCATCCTTGACAACTTTTAAAATATCTCTTTGTCTTTTCCCCATCCACTTCCCCCAGAGACTTCTCAAAGTCTACCTAGGTATCTTTTAAATACACGTTCTCCCATCTTTCGAGCTTCTCAAGCCCCGAAAATCTTTCTCTCTACAAAAGTAGAACTCGACTGAATCCTCTACACCTAACATTTCGACTATCGATTCGCAAATATGGATCTCGCCCAAATGTTGGTGCGCTCTTGCACGCGCTCGTTCTACGACACAAAACACATCCTTGTGATTGATGCGCTCGTCATCCATTCCGCGTATGTCTTTCTATGAGCGTTTTCGTACCTCAGGAAAGGGACGTTGACATTCTACAGTTTGCGCGATGATGATTTAGCATACCTGATGAGCATAAATACGAAAGAGCTTCATAAGCTTTGCGGAAAATTGAAGGAGGATCGATTCCTTGCAGTGTATGGCTGATAGTCTAATCTGCATTCCTAGCTTCTGCTAAGATAATTGTTTAGGCATACCCGCCCAGAGATCAGAGAAGGCCAGCAAAGACCAATCAATCGAACCTACTATTATATCGACTATCGTGCGACCATCGATGCGATCAAATGGAGAGTCTACCTGATCGATAAGGCGGTCCAAGGAAATACTGTGCCGGATGATGAGAGAAAGGAATACTTTTGCCCTCGATGCAAATCGGAATGGACTATGTTCGAGGTTTTGGACAAGAGAAATTACGAAGGCTTTCTATGTCACAAATGCGACTATCTTCTGGTACACGACCCCGACAACAATCGTGGTGGACATGAGCAGTCCTCGAAACTCAATGCGCAATTCAAGTTCATCACCGACTTGCTCCCAAAAATCGATCAGGTGGTCATCCCTGCAAACACCTTCGAACAGGCTTTATCTTCAGCCCGCAAAGTACTTCGAGATGAAGCTAATCCCGGCAGCGAAACCGCGCCTGTCAATCTCGCCTCGGAGAGACCTACTGCTGTTCGTGGTCTGGATAACACTGGACCAACGTCTATTTCGGTCACTTTGACGAAAGGAGAAGGACCTACTGCTGCAGACATTGCTGCTGAACAAGCTCGCAAAGAAAAGACGGCTCTTCAGAACGCATTACCGCAGCATTTCACTCACAGTACCATCACTGGAGAACAAGTCAAATTTGGTAACCAGCCTACGGCCTCCACTGGCCCTACGGTGGAAACCAACAAGAAGGACATCAAACCTGGTACCGAAGGCGCGGATGGCGGAGCCGAAATTGATGATTACTTTGCGCAACTGAAGGCTGCACAAGCCAAAGAAGCTGAAGAGGAACAAGACGAAGAATTCGAAACCGACGACGAGGAAGAAGAAGGTTTCGAGGACGTCATTCCCAATGGTACCACATCCGGTGCTGCCACTCCAGCTAGCTCAGTCGGAGGCACGGAATCTAAGCCTAGCATAACGAGTGGTAGTGGCCTCAGTGGTGTTCTGAAGCACTCGCGGCATGAAAGTGTATCCGCAAGTGGTACCAGTACAGGTGCAGGAAGTCCGGTAACAGGACCGAATACACCGAATGAGGATAGACCAGCAAAGAGAGTTAGAATTGAGGAACCAGCCCCAGTGGCACCGGCTATAAAGGATGAAGAGGAGAGTGAAGAGGACATGGAGTTTGAAGACGTTTGAACACTTCGATTCTGAAAAAGGGATGGATGATGGGAATGGGAAGGCGGTTTTTACATTATATTGCCTGCATGCATGCATGATTGGATGGATGAATGAATGGGCCAAAAAAAGTAATGCAATAGGGATGAAGCATTGGGTAATCCCAAATCTTTCAATCCAATAGGCTGGATTAGATAGCTGCATGGCTGCATGGCGTTGGCGGAAATATTCTTTGCTTTCTTCTCCGTGTCACAAAGGTGCATATCATACGGAGGGTGAGGGTGGGCGGAAACAAAGTTTGATTAATCATGGTATACATATACCTATCCTATCAACATAAAGTACCTAGGTAGCTAGTACTTGATAAAGGATTTGATCAAAAGTCGTTCATTTGGCTTTACCAAAAGTTTGTCTGTTTATTTGCATGCATTTTGTCTGCTTTGAGCCGTTTTAGACATATATGATTTGTAAATTGAATTGTATGATTACCACTCACACAATATATGCAGCATAAGGGTCCGTTGCTCATTACTCACTCTTCTCACTTTTCTCACATGTGAAACTTTATCGTCTCACTGATAAGATATTACGATATTGGAAGTGTATATCTGTTGATGAAGCGGGTATCTTTTCCTAAGAGGCTCTACATCTTCTAACTCTACTACTGTATATCCGATTCTTTTGCTTCTCATGTTCATTATTTCAGTGGCCTGCCCGAAATGCAGGGACTTGATACCCTCCCTCCCAATAGGTGTTGAAACCAAAATCACTTATGATCACTGTACATGCGACACCACTCCAAAACGCCATTTCTCAGCCCACCCAACATAATGCTAGCAACCCCTTAAACTTTAGTCTGCTTCACCATCCAACTTAACAGATCAACCTTGGTGACCACTGCCACTGGTTTCGACAATCCATTCTTTTCGCTTCCCTGTTCTGTTACAATTGCGGCACTGTTCCACTCGAAAAACTTGCTCAAGGCAGAAATTGGAGTATCCAATGTAATCTCTACGAATTTGCGTTTTGGGGTGGTTTGTTTCTTTCCATCTTTGGTTGTTTCAATGCCGTTACTCTTAGGGGGTTGGGTTAGATGACTGATAGCCTTGGGATCTGTGATGACTTCAGGGATGTGCGAGAAGTCGAACATAACATCTGAGACGGGACTTTGGCCGGTAGCACGGCCGCGACTAATCCAACTGAGGAGATTTCCGAGGGTGACGAGCCCGACGAGTTTATCGCCCTTGGGATTGAGGACGGGAAGTTGATCGAATCCCTTCTCGCGCATGGTCTCGACGGCTTCGGAACATGGTGAGTTGGCTAGGATGGATGTGACAGGCTTGAGGCGGAGAGATCGGAGGGTGGCTCCGGAATATGGATCTTTCTTGGTTTTGGATTCGAGACTGGGAGATGCTGGAGAGGATGATTGTGGAGTAGGAGGAAGGAGGTCGTTTGCGGCTAACCAGTCGTCGTCGGCAAATTTGCTGAGATAACTTCTGATACTATCCGGTAGGATGACTACCACAGTATCGCCCTTACCAAGTCCCAAGTCACGAACTCCCTTGACCATGGCTGCGATAGCACTACCACTGCTACCTCCAACCAATAACCCTTCTTCAGCAATCAATCTACGTGCGTAGTCAAATGATTCTCGGTCATCAGTTTTGTACCACACATCAACAGATTCTCGGTTCAAAACTTCAGGGATGAAATCGTAACCAATTCCCTCAACCTTGTATGATTCGTTGGCGTGTTCTTGGTTCAAGCTCTCTGGAACTGCAAGGATAGAGCCGTGAGGATCTGCTGCAATGATCTTGACATTCTTGTTGTGTTTCTTTAGACCCTTAGACAAGCCGCTGATAGTTCCACCTGTACCAGCTCCTGCAACAACGGCAGTAACCTTTCCACCGGTCTGCTCCCAAATTTCTTCCGCGGTTCCATATTCGTGTGCGAGAGGGTTATTCTCGTTGGCATATTGATCGAGTATGTGGGAGTTTGGAATTTCTTTAACCAATCGTCTTGCTACCCCGATATGAGACTCTGGAGCATCCCATGCAGCTTGAGTCGGAGTACGAATGATGGTGGCCCCAAGTGCACGAAGTACGGCGACCTTTTCGGGAGACATCTTTTCGGGGAGGGTAATGATTGTTTTGTAGCCTTTAATGGCACCAACAAGAGCAAGTCCAATACCACTTAAGAAGAGTTAGAAATGTATACTAGAGTTGTGAGGTATGACTTACGTATTTCCACTAGTTGGCTCAATGAGAGTGTCTCCAGGCTTTATTCTTCCCGACTTTTCCGCCTCCTCAATCATGCGAAGGGCAATACGATCCTTGATACTTCCACCAGCGTTGAAGAGTTCAACCTTTGCATAGACTTCCGCTTCGATACCCAAGCTCTGTGGAATCTTATTCAATCGTACCAAAGGAGTATTTCCAATCAACTCGGCAGCACTCATTGCAAGGACTGGTGCCCTCGCAGGACTAGTAGTAGATGTCATGATGATGATATTTGTATATTTGGATCTAGACAACGAATCGAAGGCTTTTTCTTTTCTGATCGAACTGAAAATAGAGAAAAAGAAGATGAAAAAAGGAGAAGTAGTATCAGTCTCTTGGTACTCGAAGATTTGATTTGTATTAAATGTCGCAATGTGGGACCAGAATGTGCCAGTATTATAATAAAATGTCTGTTCAAAAGCTTGACAATGAAATTCTTCATTGAGTTACCCTTTCAAGTGCTAGTGGGGGGTCTGGTCTGGATAAGCCGATAAGGTGCTTGGTGGCAAGGCGAGATCCACCGCAAATAGCCGTAACTAGAACCGAAATGTAAGACTTGGAGTTTTTGGTCTGATATTCCATTTTGAACCCCTTCATCTGTATTCATTGAAGTCACAGAACTTATACTACTCGAGTATTGAATATCGTGATACCGATATATAATGAAATGGAATGAAATATCGTAGATGTTGAAGTTTAAAGGCATTGACATGATTACCTAATGAGAAATTCTCTTGCAGCATGTTGAAAACCTATCCAATCATAGAAACTTTTTATGCTAATTATAGAACTTCAAACTGTGAACGTTGAAATTAGCCCCTTCACTTCACGCCTCAGGCCATTAGTTACATTTCCAGCCTTTTTGGAATCTTGACAATATTTGAAAGTTGAGATACCGATACGGTTATCTTTCAATCAATTCCCACTCACGTCTTCATAATCTTCATAATAATACGATTCGCCCTTGTCGAGTTCTTCGCCCTGCCAAGCCAACTCGAACTTCATACAAAGGTCAACAATAAAAATCGATATCCAATCTGCGAGAGTGATCGATATACATTATGCGCCTCTCCCAGGCTTTGGTCCTTGTAGCCTTTGCTCCATTCGCATTTTCATACCCAAAGTTTACAGTTCCGGCAGCCGCAGCGGTGAAATCGGCCGGAACTGCATTCACTGTTACTTGGGCAGACAATGGAGATGCACCATCGGTAGCTGATATAGCAACCTATTCACTTGATGTCTGCGCAGGATCTACATCTGGTGCGGATCTCGAAGTGGTGGTTGCAGTATCAGCTGGCACTGCCTTGACAAGTCTCACGACGACTGTCACTGTCCCGGCGACAAAGGGAGGTTCGGTCACCAATGCATAGTGAGTTTTGGGAAGTCAAAGTTGGGGAAGACTGGGTACTGACGATAAGGCAGCTTCATGAGAATGATAGCGACAGCCACTGCTGGAGGGACCGTCACAGTTTACTCGAATAGATTTTCAATTAGTGGTATGACGGGGACATTTGCAACCACATATACAATTACTGGCACCGCTGGTCCAGCCACAGTCAATACCGTGGCAGATACCGCTGCCGTATCATCATCAGCAGCATCGTCTGGTGATGGCATTTATGCAATTCCATATCAATCACAGACTGGTCTTACCAAATATGCCCCAATGGGTGTAATGCCTGGTACCACTATAACGGCCACCGATACAGCACCTCAATACCCAACGTCGTCTGTTCCTCTGGCAACCGCATATTTGAGCTCGGCAACCATTGATACAACTTTGACTCAAGCTCAAACAGCTTCCTTTGCGAGTCATGCTAATACGGTAAGTTCCCATACCCAATGAATCGATGTTGACACGGCTAATGAAGAAAAGGGTGCTCCTGCATCGATGCCCACAGATGATATGGCAAAGTTCTTGGCTAGATGGAAAGATTGACGTGCCTAGAATATAGTAGACGATGCACAGAAACAGGGAGTCAATGATGAATTGAAAAGGAGTTTGGCGTACCCTCGAATTGAAAGTCGAGGTTTTAGTTTAATTGAATACCGTGTATACCCAACGAATCAAGTAATTTTCCAGTCAGGCCCATCACTTGGTACTGTGGCACAGTGACAGGGGCGGCAAACACGTCCTGCAAGATATATGCATATGGCATTAACGATCAGGGGATAGCGGAGAGTTGATTCCGCTTATTGATCCCAGTGTGGAGGGAATTGCCTAGATGTGGGGAAATGCTTGTCAATTGATAACTTACCACATGCAACATATCCAATACGAGCAAGCGAGGCTTGAGATACTATAGATACTAGATAACTCGAGTAGGTAGAAGCCAAGTATGATTACTCGTAATTTGGAATATTATCGATCCAGCCCTCAATGCAAGCAAGCAAGCAAGCAAGCAAGCCTTATCTTTTCCTCTGACCTGACGGGCGCGCATATAGCATTACTTAGATATCCATCCTCTGAAACCTCCAAGGGCTTTAGTCTAATTGGACTCTATTTGTCATTCTGCGACATTGATTTGAATCATAATCCTCTGATCCCAACCTTCAAATTCAGAACGTCTCGTGGTCAGTTTCACTCGTCCGGATTCAGTAAGGATGGATTGTGATTTTGTGATTGAGGCCTACCGGTATTACTCGAGTAGAGTTTGTTTTCGTATCGATATCGATGGATGGTACTAGGTAGGAGGTAGCCTCATGCTCATACTCGAGTAATGGCTCGTTGAGTACTACTGTACTCGTAGGTAGGAGCTATTTTATACGAGAACCGGTAGTACAACTTGAGTAGTAGTTATAATTGCTTTTTGATATATCTACCTACCTAGGTACAGGATTGGTTTAGAATTACTTTAAGTTGGTACTGTAGTGATAATTCCAGAATTTTATCATCCCATCCTTTATGTGATTCTATAGATATAATAATCATGTTATAATCATATACCGGTGGTAAGCCGTTAACTACCTAGGTACCTAGAATTTGGTCTTCTTCCCCGAAGTTCTTTTTTACCCTGGTGATGATCCACGTGCTGCTTGGAATTATTTTCTTCTCCCCGTCCGACCTTTTTGGGGTTCGTTCTTATCGGTGAGCTGCTAATTAGTTCTAGATAGGTATCTATCTACAAAGAGTCACTCACTAGGTAACTTCTAGTATAGGGATTGGTTGATGTCTCTTTAAATATCTAATCAGGCTGAATATTACGAATACTAGAAATACTACAAATATACCAGTACTACTTATTCATCCTTTCGTTTGATTATACCGATATTCGAATATAAATATATAAATACAAGATGCGGTATATCTGTACATACCTTGTGTAACCTTCCTTGTCTCTTTCTTATTATACCCACGGAATTTTACTTCTACCCATTCATTATTCTTTCTCAACTCTGACCTTTTCTAAGTTATTATAAAACTGAATCCACTTTCACTCCACTCAATATAAGACCATCAATTCCTCCGCACCCAATCTCGTCTTTCAACAACAAATTTTGCATATTGTCTGTCACCGAGAACATGTGCTTCTTGGAGCTCTTCCAAGTATCCATCAAGCCTCCCTGGCCCCGGCATCTTCTCAAGTCTTGATCTCATCATCCACGTTTATTTGGATATTGTGTGGAGAAGAAGACATAATAACAATAGCACGAGATTAATCTTTCCAAGGTCGGATAGAAAATTAATTTGCAGACCATAAATTCCCAAATCATGTCTCCATCACCTACAGTTGTATCCGATTCGATGGCTTTCGTAAATTCGACCCACGATACAGATGATTCTACTGACCGCGAACTGCCACCACCACCAAATCCTTCGTCCGATGCAGGTCTCACGGTTCATCTTTGTTCGAATGATCGTGAGGTATCACCACCTTCTCCTAATAGCATCGACATTTTTACTCTTTCGCCAGTAACGGCTCTTAAGCTGTTATGTGCTGGTATCGAAGCTCTAGTTCAGTTCACGGGGGATATTCCTCCCATGCCAGCTTCGACCGAAACGACGATGCCGAATATGAGAGGCATGCAGGCAGAGAAAGAAAGTATACGAAGGTCCGGATCGTGGACAAACTTGGCAGGCTTCCGACAACGAACCACTGGATCGGACGTCGTAGATGGAGTAAATCTTCGTCAAAAACCTATGGAAATAGAAATACAACGCATTGTGCCCGCAGAACCATACATTATTGTTGGAGAGAATGCAGAACCTTTGAATGTTCAGCACAGTGCTATCACACGAAAATTCTACTCCAAGCAACCTCCTCCGATCTCTCTGGAAGATTACTTGATGCGAATACACCGATGGTGTCCAATGTCAACCGCCGTCTATCTGGCAACGAGCTCCTACATACACAGAGTAGCAGTCGATGAACGCGTAATACCTGTGACACGGCGAAACTCGCATCGACTAATATTAGCCGGACTACGAGTAGCGATGAAAGCACTCGAAGATCAAAGCTATGCCCATGCACGCTTCTCGAAAGTTGGAGGAGTCAGTGAACAAGAGCTTTCGAGATTGGAAATCAATTTTTGCTTTCTCACAAATTTCGAATTTAAGACGAGTAAAGAGGCTCTTTTACAGCACGCGATAAGTCTAAAAGAGCTTTCATCTTTACAGGGAGGTGTCAACTTTATTCCAAAAATAACACTCTTGAACAAGGGTAAATCGAATATGGCTGCACAAGAGACTGTGTTGGAAGTAACTGCAGACGCGTAAATACGCGTCGGGAATAGCCTAGGCTAGATATATTATAGGCAATGTTGGAAAGTACGAAAGTGGCCGAGCCAAGATATTTACGACTCTTAGAGATGAGAGATGAGAGATGAGCAAAGCATGGAACGCGTCACGTCACGTATAAAGGTCCTGCAGGAAATTGCTTATACTCGAGTACGATTTAGCCTCATACTATTATAGAGGAGTTGAGAACACGATCGAGATGAACAGCAAAGACTCTACAACACGAGTCCATAAAGGATGGGGAGGCATTATTGAATGCGTTTTGTGATGGATAGGGACTTGGATCACGATTGTTGGATGGTATTTCATACATTGCTCCGAATCGGTGAAGGGGTTTGTTCGATAATTTGGTAGTGTGGTTTCGTTTGTAGCAACAGGACCACCGGTGTCAATGTGTGAGACATACTGGTACTGGATGGACTCGGATGGGGATCCAGAATTTAATGTCATCCAAAATACATAGTCTAATCGATCTTTACTTTCAATTGCACGCCCTTGTTGAGAATATAAATTTGTGAAAATACTATGAACAAGTAAATTAAAGTTCAACAAAATTATTGCCAAGAAGAAATAAATGACTAATGAATCCAATTTGAAGTCTTTAGCATCGCCGAGGCAGTGTCCGTTCCATCGGGAGCAAGCGAATTTAACAGGACACGCTTAGAAACGGGCAAAGACCATGTTCCGCTTGTCATTTACTACCCCGCGATTCACACGTCGCTTTAATCATTTGAGCATCAAACGACAAAGGATAGCGCCGATAACTGTAGCAGAAGTACCAGTAGGACATTCTTATCACATCAAACATCGAGCGACATTTGCGACATTACGAGTTTCTACGAGTAGACCAAAGATTCGGAGAAACTGTGCTCTTAACAACAGTGCTCTTGATAGCCCAAGAGGAATAGTAAGCGCGCACAAGATGGCATCGAGTACAGATCAGATATTGAAGGGAAAGTACCCGGCGAAAGAACATGCGAGGAAGGTGGTGGAGTATATTAGGAGTAAGGAGCCGGATGCGGAGGGGGTCCTGTATTTGGAGGGGCAGAAGACGCTTATGATTGAGGATAATGATGAGGCGGCTCCCTTTAGGTAGGTGATTATGTGGTTATGTGGTTATGTGGTTGGGAAGTTTTGGGTGGGGGGGTTTTGTTTGAAATCAGTACATCGTACGACCAGTGCTAACACAATCACCCTCCAGACAACGTCGCTACTTCTACTACCTTACCGGCTGCCACCTCCCCGACTCTTACTTCACCTACAATATCTCCACCGGCAAAAGCACTCTCTTCATTCCTCCAATTGACCCAGATTCCGTCATCTGGACCGGTCTCCCCGTCTCCCCCAAGGAAGCCCTTGAGCTCTACGACGTTGACGAAGTTCTCACCACCGACACCATAAACTTGCATCTCGCCTCTCCAAACCAATCCAAAGTCTGGGCCATCGCTCCCCAAATCTCTACTCACATAACATTTCTCGAATTCCCGCAGAAAGATTTCACATTACTCAAAGAAGCTATTGAGGAAGCTCGAGTCAGGAAATCCGAATATGAAGTTGCGTTGATTAGGAAGGCGAATGAGATTTCGACGGTTGCACATACGGCTGTTCTGAAAAATGTGAAACATGCGAGGAATGAAAGGGAGTTGGAGGGTCTTTTTATTAAAGAATGTATTGCAAATGGGGCGAGGGAACAGGCGTATCATAGTATTGTAGCGAGTGGGACGGCTGCGGCTACTTTGCATTATATGGATAATTCGAAGGGGTTGGAGGGGAAGTTGAATTTGTTGTTGGATGCGGGTGGGGAGTATCAGTGTTATGCTTCAGATATTGTAAGTTTAGATTCCCCCAACCCTAGGTACCTTTATATCGCTCTCGAGATGTATACTAACATCCTCTTAGACCCGCACTTTCCCCATGAATGGCCACTTCACCTCCGAATCCCGCTCCATCTACGATATAGTCCTCTCCATGCAATCTCAATGCATCTCGATGCTTAAAGACGGTGTTTCCTGGGATGAAGTCCACCTTCTCGCTCACAAGATTGCAATCGAAGGACTTCTCGCCCTTGGCATTCTAAAGGGGGATAAAGAAGACATTTTGAAGGCGAGAACTAGTGTTGCGTTTTTCCCGCATGGATTGGGTCATTATCTAGGAATGGATACGCATGATAGTGGTGGACATCCAAATTATGAGGATAAAGATCGCTTGTTTAGGTATTTGAGAGTTAGAGGGACTTTGCCAGAGGGAAGTGTGATTACGGTTGAGCCTGGCGTAAGAACTCCTATTTTTTCCTCTCCTATGTGCTTTTCTTTTAATTTGGTTTGGGATTCTTGGACTAATATCAATCTAGATCTATTTCTGTCGTTTCATCATTGAACCTTATCTTGAAGATCTCAAGCATGCTCAATACATTGATTCAGATGTGTTGGAAAAGTACTGGGAGGTTGGAGGTAAGATATTTCTTTTCTTTTCTCTCCCCTTTCCCTCTCTTCTTTCCTTTTACCTTCTTCCCTCTCCTTCCTTCCTCTCCTTTCTCCCCTGCTTCTCCCCTCTTCCCTTTCATCCCTCTCCTCCCTTTCGCCCATCCACCTATCTCCACCCAAAATCTAATACAACGAAACAGGTATAAGAATCGAAGATAACATACTAATCACCAAAAACGGACACGACAATCTAACAACGGCTATTAAAGATGTAGCAGAAATGGAGAAAATTATTAATTCTGTCTAGCTAGTATACTCAGTATAGGATTAGTGCAATATTTGCATAGAATCAGGAGTAACACTGGATCTACGAATTCATAGAACGCCTTCCCCATCTTCAAAATATCAAATTTCATATTGATCCGTCTTTGAATCAATCTCTCAATCGATCTTTTACCACCCATAGATAAGTGTACAGTTAGATTATTAAAGTTAAATCTGTACTCGAGTATTGATTGAAATAGTAAGTAATTCAACTACAAGTACTCCTCGTACGAGTAATACTCGATCGAGTACGTATCAATGGTACCTTAGGTGGTATTCAAAAAGTTTTCCCAGAAATAAGAGTATGTACATACGAGTATATGTATTCATTATGAGAACTCGTATGTGTCGTTATATTCGAAACTCCCTATATGGGTGGGTATGGGTATTATATCATTCTTCATATCACATCACATCACATCACATCACTCACTCTCCATTTCCATTTAACTCCTTATAGTTATTGTTCATATCATTCTTCATAACATTCTTCATTCAACTCCCTCCTTGGTGCAACGATCAATAATCCATTCCAATTCCAATTCCGATTCCGATTCATAGATCAAATCCCTAAGAATTAAATAATCATTTCAATTTAATGTGTTTGTTTTTGTATCTATATCCATATCTCTATCTCTATCTCTATTTCTAGTAATATCAATCTCTATATCTACATCTACATCTCTATCTCCAAAATCTAAAATCCAAAATTTAAAAGTCCAAAATCTAATATATAAATGAGTGAATCATTAATACAAATACAAATACAAATACAAATACAAATACAAATACAAATACAAATACAAACCAAAGTAATAAGTACTCGAGTAGTAATCTTACAACCGTGACAACTCTCTCTCTCTCTCTCTCTCTTCTTTTTCTCACTATGTATCCCAAATCCCGACTTGTTATTTCGTTGATGTGGGTGGACCTGAGGAGGGAGGGGGGAAGGGAGACTACTGTACTTGAATTTAATCAAGGATTAGATTTTGATCATACGAGTAGGTTTTGTATCTCTTGAATGTATTTTATACTCATACTCATACTCATACTCATAATTCATTTTTTTACTTTATTTTGATAGTAGTAAGCATATTTACGCCTCCTCGCACGCTAATCACAGTTACAATTTGAGCAAATTTCCCACCTCTCACCTCCCATCTCCTACTCACACCTTTCTCTCATCTCATCCTCATATCCCATACTCATACTCCCAACCCTAACCCATCCAAACAACCCCCTAACACCCCCCTAACACCCCGGTACAACAACCGCATCCACCACCGCCGTCATACCCCCCTTAACACATTCTATCGCCTTCAAAAGAACTCCCTCCAACTCACTTGCTTTAGCAACCTTCTCAGCCATGACGCTACCGCCCGATGCAGCTTTAGCTATTCCCGCGTAGTCGGGCACGTGGGGTGCAAAGGATATATTGAGTTCTTCGTTTGTGGATTTTGATCCGATTCCTGGGGGGTTGTTAGGTGAGGGAGGAAAGTGAAAGAAGGAAGTGGAAGTGGAGGAACAGAGGAGAGAGAAAAGATGAGATATAGGGAAACATACCATCTGGATGAACTAAAAGGAGAGATCGTCGTGGAGCGTGCCAACCTATGGAAAGTTAGTAGCTGAAGTCGAAGTTTCCAATGCAAATAGAGATTGATAGTACATACCCTTATTATTCAACACGATAGTCAGAACCGGAATACCATATCTCTGACAAATCCAATAAACACTTCCAGGGACCGAAAACAAAAATGTTCCATCCCCCACAATCTGCACGACAAACTTCCCCTTGCCCTTCCCATTCTGAACCTCAGAAGCTAATTTGATACCTAAAGCTCCACCTCCAGACCATCCCAATCCTCCGCCTCCACAGTTAATCCAGGAACCGGGGAGAGTAGCTTGAATGTTGTCTGCTACGAAAACAGTGTTGGTTACGGCTTCGATGGCGAAAATTGTATCGGCGGGAACGATCTTGCGGAGTTGTTGACAGAGATATCCGGTGCCGAAAGTATCGTCTTCTTGAACCTTTGAGGCGGCGGCGATGTTCTCGAGGCGTTGGGTATGGTCTGTAGCGAGTGCTTCCCAGCGTTTGGTGTATGGTTGGGAAGAGAGTGTGTTGGTAAAATCACGAGCATTTTTGATGTACTTGATCAGTTGGGATAGAGATGTATAACTATCTGCTCGGTAGCGGGAAAGTGCGGCAAGGTAGAATACCTTTAATTGTTAGTGGAGAGTTCCTGTACAAAGTCCTCGGATGGTGTTCAAACTGGGGAGAACCTACCGGCATTTGTTGTTTGAGTGGATCGATATCAATATGAAATATCTTGGCCGACTTTGAAGGATGACACAAAGTATTGACCCAAGGCACATCTGCATGAATGTAAATTAGCCTTCATATTTTGGTGATGGATCATTGTGAGTACGTACCGCAATCAATGACAAGAATAACATCGGCGGTTTCAATAGCCTTATCACTTCCATATCTCAAGCCCAGCCAAGCACGATGATCAGCTGGAAAGCACATATCACTACCACCAGAATCCAACACACGGATGCCTTTCACGGTATTTGCTAGCTCCACCAAAGCCCCTACTGACTTATGATTTCGACCACTATAGCCAGTGATGATCAATGGTTCCTTCGCGTTGACTAAAGCTTCCGTTATCGTAGCAACTGAACTTTCAGAAAGTGCACCTGGCTCCACTGGATTCCAATGTTCCTGAATCAAATCATAATCATCTATTTCTTCCTCCATCACCTCTCTCGCCGAATACAAATATACGGGTCCAGTAGGAGCACTAGTAGCCCATTGAAGTGCCCTATTGACCATTTGTTTAATATTCTTCCCAGTCTTAATCTCCAACGAATATCGACAATATTGTCGGACGATCTCAGCCTGATTCGGTACATCTTGTATCCAATGAATGTATTCTGTTCGCGATCCTCGCATTTCTCCTTCAATTGTATAAGGGGAGAGACCGGCAAATATGAGAACGGGGGCTCGTCCGCATGAGGCATTGTGGACGGCGGCTCCGAGACCTTGGGTTCCTACGTCGACGTGTACGATTACACATTGAGGTTTTCCGGTTAGACGGGCATATCCATCGGCCATAGAGAGGGCTACCATCTATTGGAATATGAGTAAATATCAGAAGTGGGGAGGTGATACGTTTGCATACTTCGTTTGGACATGTCTGGAAAGGGTTATTAGTTTGTGATAGTAGGTATTTTGATAAATTGATGCTTCAAGACTTACTATAACTTCTGGACCCTTATTCTCTCTCTTAAGTGTTATCAGAGCTTCTAGAATAGAGGGATGATCTGATCCTAGATTGACGAAGCAGTGAGATACCCCTGCCTATAGATTGTCAGAATGGCTATTTATATCTGGAGTTTCGAGATGAATACCTCAACAAGGGCCTCAAAGAAGGCGTACGAAGCAGTAACCATTTTCAATGTTCTCCTATTATGAAGTTGTAGATCTGAAAAGGAAGTTGTTTGTTCTTGAAAGGTATGGAAGTACAGATATGCGATATGCGGGATGTATGGAGGGGTAGGTAGCTCGGCTTAAATATCGGCTCACTAAAATAGTTAGATCCGGGGTATTTGACCCTGTCAACCTTCCCTATTTGTAAATAGTGATACGGACGGAGTACTACATACTATAAGGTTAAAGTCAAGGTAGCTAGATTGATTGAATTTCAGGAACGAGATTTAATCAATCGAAAAGTTACATCAAAATTATACTCATAGAAACAATTGGTATACCTTTCCATTCCGCAGCTCCCCTTTTGTTCCGCTATTTAGTGCCTCCATCAGGGCACAGAATCGTGTTTGCGGGGTAATTCAGGGGACTTTCAATAATAGATGTTACCCCGACGCATGAAACGAATGGAAATGAGGGGTAGCATGACTTGTATCCCTTCTACATGAATCCTCATATCAGCCTTCTAATTTGCTATATCATTGAAGTAGAAATATACTTATGCTAACCCTTAACCTTACACATCATGAAAGCAGCAAGATATTACAGAAAAGAGGATATCAGAATAGAGTAGGTGAAAGAACCGAGCTGTAAAAAAGGGGCAAATCAATTCCAAGCCTGCATTTGTAGGTATCTATGGCACAGCTTAGACTTCTCTCCTTCATTGTCATAAATTCAAAAAAGAGTGGTACAATATCATATAGATCCTTCAAATATCTAACCCTAACCACATAAAAATAGATCTCCACGATTATCTCGGTGGTCCCAATTTCATCCCCACATATTCCCATGCCGTGACAGGCGAGCAAATCCCCATTACCATGGGCCATGAATTTTCCGGTAAATATATATCATTCTCCACCTCAAATATTTTACTCTTTTTAACAACATTTAGGTACCATCATCGAAATCAGCACCGGCGTAACCGGATTCCAAATCAGTCAAAAAGCCGCCATCCAACTCACCATCGCCGACTACCGGTACTCCTGCTCCGCCTGCAAACGCGGCCTTGAAAACGTGTGTTACAACGGGGGCTTCATCAGGCTTTCAGGCTGGGGCGGTGGTCTCTCAGACACTATTTGTATCCCCGCGAAACTCGTGATTCCCCTCCCAGACAACACACCATTAGACATCGGCGCACTAGTCGAGCCCCTATCCGTAGGCTAGCACGCCGTGCGTCAAAGTTCCCTCACTCACTCCCTCTTCCAGCATCCTTATTCTCGGCGGTCCCATAGGTATCGCCGTTATACATGCGCTGAAGGCCCGCGGATGCGCACGAATTACGGTTTCGGAACACACGGCTTCGCGTCAAAAATTCGCAAGACGGTTTGGGGCGGATGTCATTGGGTTCCGGTAAGCGAGGGTTAAGAGGGGGTGGAAAGGAGGAGAGTTAGAGAGTTGATGGATGTGGAGGGTGTGGATATTGTTTTTTATTGTGCGGGGATGGCAGCGGGGTTGAAGGCTGCTTGTGTATTGATTAAGGCGAGGGAGGGGAACGGTGGTGAATATGGCGATTTGGGAAAAACCGCCGGCAGTTTTGTTTGATCCTAATGATCTGTAAGTCATATTATTTTTTCGCATGATTTTGTTGATTGAGAAGTCTCATTTTGTAAGTTGAGGTTGAAGTGGTTGTCTAAACTGCTAGTGTTTGACATAACTTTAATCATTGAGGATTTGATAACTAGATATATTTTAGAGCTGGGAATTCACTACTCGAGTAGTGATGAATGAAGTTTCGAAGTCGAGATTCACTCCCCAGATCGGTATTCATTAGTCGAATTCATTTCTGAAATCCGTTTAAACATTGAAGTGTCTATGATCGCATTCACTTGGCCAAACCCATTGGCTGGCTCATGTATTCTCATCTCATCTCATCACATCAATAAATTTACTCCCAGTAATCAATTTAGAACACTCATTCATTCTCATCGCATCTCATCATACAATCATACAATCATCCACCACCCACCATCATTCCCTCATTCCTCCCCGCTCATCCCATCTCATCCCAACTCATTCTCTTCCCTTGCTTCCGTTCCATTTCCCCTCTCCCCCACACCGACTCTACCCTACCACCGACCAACTAACATCATCCCCCCTTCCTCCCTTCCTCCCTTTCCCCCACCCAGCGTCTTCCGCGAAGGAAAATACTGTACATCGCATATCTCGGCCACATACAACAAGATTTCTCTTCGCACCCATCGCTGCAATTGCTCCTGGTATTTTTCCCCTTCCCCCCCTGTTCCCTTTCCTTCCTTCCCCCACACAACATCAAGTAAATATAAATGACACTAAAATACCAACACACCCCCAACCCCCACCTCAACGATCCCCTTAAAAAACCACCCTTCAAGGCTTTAAGTTCAAATCATCATTACTACGCAATTCTTTCCAGCAATTAATTAATCCATCCATAACAAGGAGAAAGACGCATATACATATATATATAGATATAAAGTTTTTGATTAAGTTTTAGAGAGGAACGGAGAACTGAATTTATAAAATCAAGAAATTATAAAAAAAAGAAACTAAACTAAACTAAACTAAACTAAACCAAGATAATATGACTTTAAATAGATTTCTATCTATGTGCAAGTTATACGAGTAGTATCTAATACTAATTAATCTTATATACAAACTACTCGACTCGGAGTATAAAGTTTATATAACACAATAGCAAACTAAGATTACATCAAGTCTATATCAAGTCTACCCGTCACGGTATATAATGTATACAAATACAAATACAAATACAAGTAAAAGTACAAGTACAAGTAATAGCGTTTAGCTTATATAAAATGACCAGCTACTAGTAGTACTCGATTGATAGGATTAAAACATGAAAGAAGAGTAATTTCAAGGTATAGGTATAGGTATAGGTATAGAGAGTAGATTGATTAGTTCACTCGTGCGTACTAGCTCGTATGTATTACTGAGGTACTACTAGCTTATATAAAATTTTATTATAATTACTCGAGTACTATTCGAGTAGTGTATTAATTGATTCAATTCAATTCACATAATTTCGAGTATTGATATAGAAGAAAATAAATTTGTTTGTTCAGGTAGCTAGCTAATTACTCGAGTACTTGGGTATTATTATCGTAGGTATCTATCTACTCGTAATATGATGTAGCATTTCATTATATATTTCATTCATAAACAAACCCATATCCATATCCAAATCTGTACTCCTCCTGGTATCATAAAATTGCATGCCATCCTATCCCATCCCATGCCATCCCATCCTATGCCATAAACATAAATAAAACATAAATCATCAAACATAGGAAACCCCCCTCATTTCCTTAATCACCCACCCCTCACCATCTCCCCCCTCTCCCTCCCACCCCCTCATCCCAAACAATCCTCTCCTCCCCCCTCCTCCTCTCCCCACTCCCACCCCCACCCCCAACAGTCGTCCTCCTCTTCGGCGCAAACCCCTCCTCAAGCCCCTTCTGCCTCTCCTTCAATCTATCCAAAACCCCCACATCTCTATCGCCCTCCCCCCTCCCCAAAAAACTCGCTCCTCTCCCTAACCCTACATGTCCCTCATCCCTCACTTGTCTTTCCCTCAATCTAGCATACATATCCTCATCACCCTTCTTCCACCTCTCCTCTATATTATTATCTCTTTCTCTCGAAACAACCGGAGCCCTCCTTCTGATTTCCTCATCTTCCCTCGCGAAAGATTTGACTTGTTCCGCTAATTTCCTCGCATCATCCGCTGCTTTGCGTTCAGATCTCTCTGCTTTGCGCATTCTTTCTTCGCGCTCTTTTGCCTCTATTTCTCTTTCTCTTTCTTTTTCGCGCCTATGTTTTTCATCTCTTCGCTTCACTTCATGATCGTCCGCTCTCCTGGTTTCCTCCTCTCGCTTGCGTCTTTCCCTCTCCCTCGCAACTTCATCTTCTCGTTTCTGCTCTGACGATCTAGCTCTCTCCCTCTCCCTCAATATTTCCTCCTCTCTATCCCTCACCCTCTTCTCCTCAACATCTTTTTCCCTCTCCAATTCCCTCTCTCGATCCCTGTCCCCTATAAACTTCTTATACTCCGCATCCCTCCTCCGATCATCCTCACTCTTTTCCTTCTTAATCCTCTCCCTCTCAACTTCCTCCGCTACCTTCCTCAATTCTTCCTTCTTCCTTTCCTGTTCTCTCCTCGCTTCATGGACCAACTCAAAACTTTTCTCCTGTTCCCTCTCATACTCTCTTTGCCGATCTTTTTCCCTCTCCTCTTCTTCGCGACGAATACGCATATCAACCAATCCCTTCTCACGACTTGGTGAGCGTGAAGGTGGTTCAGGTGCTAAAATTATCGGAAGTTGTTGTAATGGTCTCTCTCTCTCTTTGCTATGCTCTCTCCTTTCGTGATGATGCTGTTCCACTACAACCGTACGCACAGGATTGAGGCTTCGGCTGGGGCTACGTCTTGGACTAGATGATTCTTGACGATGGAGACGATCATCTATGAGAAGATTATTTGAATGAAACTCTTCTGTAGCGGGAGAATTTGGAGCATATTGTTGAAGACCCCTTGAACCTTCAGGACTATCTGGTGCATCCACAATCACGATGCGCTCTTTAGGATGTTTGCGACGTGGTGTGAGAGCTGTCACTAAAGCACTCCTCTTCCTCACGAGACGAAGACGAGGTTCTCGACCGGGAGATTTGTCTTTCTTGTCACCTTGAGAGTAACGATATGTAGTTGTAGTTGTGGAGCCAAGTGGTGAAGTTTTGGAGCTAGCAGGTACTTTAAGTCCTTGATCGATATACTCTTTGCTAGAACGTGCATCATTGGATTGGAGAGTACGAGGAGGATGTTCGTTGGTAATGTGGGCTGGGCAAGAGACTCCATCTTTTGCGTTAGGACAAACAATTGTTTGATGAAACTCGACTGTTCGCTTGGGGTAGCAATCAGTATAGATGTGTGTCACGCACATTGTGACGGTGGACTTTTGAAACTTCGGGTGGGATGTGCTGAGGTAGAATTTGTCCTCCAGAGCCTGAATTGACTTGACACCGGTGTTATCGAGTTAATATCAAAACGAAGAGAAGGTTTCCACTACTCGAGTAGGTCTAAGACTTCCTTGATATGATGTGATGTGTAAAGTTATATTCGTGGGCAGTATGTATGAAAGTTAATTCATATAATATTATGTGAATGGAGGGACAGATGGGTATATATAGAGATATGTGTTGCAAGATACTGATACAATAAGTGTAGTAGTGTGTTTGTTATTCGTTAAGGACCCTTGCTGTAGAATAGACGATATATGAAAGGTAGTAGTGGGATATGTCAAGACGACAGGAATGTGAAGGATGTTATGTCGGGGTAAAATAAGTAGTGATATGTTTAACAAGAGAGAGAATGTAGAGAGAAATGTGTATATGGATGAAGGATATAGAGGAATTAAGTATCCTCTCCTAACACTTGAGTAGATTTGACCGTAACAGGAGTGTGACTGCCTAACAGAAAGGTCTTATACAGCAGTCCTCTAGGTCATTACTGTGGCCGGTGACTGTGTCTTTAGTGTGGGGTGGCTAAGAAGATTTAGTGTGGTAGAAGAAGTGTGGGAAGGGTATGTCAAGATTTTTGACAAAATCGGCGAACCAAAAGCGCCTCAGCCACTCGAAGGGCTGAGTAAGACCCAAAAGACTCGGAAATTTCGACCGGTTTGTACCAAATAAGTAATTGAGGCTTGAAATGGAACTATTGAGGTGGATGAAAGAAAGGTTGAAAATGCAGGAGTACAGACCAAAAGTTGGGAAATGTTCGTTGTCGTTGTCATTATCATTGTCGTTGTGAATTTCGTTTGTGATACATTCAATGATATCAAAATGATTGGAATGTAACAGTTGCTATGATAGCCCAGATTATACGAGTAACTCCCTACTCGTAAACAATTTGACGGGAGACATAAGAGAGGAGGATAAGAAAGCATGGTTATCCAAAATAGAATCCCGACACAATGGAATCGAATCCCATTGAAAAGAAGGCCATAAAGAGTATAAAGTTGTCGAGGGACGGCCCTCAAATATTCAGGCCACAAACGCGCGTGATAAAGTATCATTCTATCCTATAGGAATGAATTCCAAAGGGGAGACGTTTCGTAAAGACGGCCCATATTCAGACCAAAAAATAATTCTTCGAAGATTTGATTATAAAATCCAATCAAGGGATTGTAGATGAGTTGAGATGAAAATGGGATAAGCTTAAGATGATGTTCGTTAAAGGTCTGCTGTCCAATTGTTTCTAATATTCGAGTAGCCCCCCGTGTTGGTTGGTTCTTAATTTGGCGATAAATTTTATGGGGAGAAGGTGTCTATTAGGGTCACGCATACAATCAACATCATTGTCTAATTATCGATTAAAAGATTCAAATACGAAAGAGGACGTTAGTAATTGATAAAATGAGCCGCAATATCCTCCCGGAGATTTGTATAACGTACCATTACTGAGATAGGTTAATTCTTTACTTCGAATTAGCAACCTAACCTACAGTACCTGTAAGCGCCCCAAGAGCTAACACTAACACTGGCAGTGCTAACGGTAGGATTTACATACGGTACTAGCATTGGCCATTGTACTCGAGTACTGCATAACATACCACATGAACCATAACGAACATTTTTGTCTTATTTTTTGTTTCCCCATAGATCAACTGATAAAAGCTGCATTGGCTCATAATCACAAAGTAATATTTTTGCCATAATGAAATGATGACTCCTATCACCACGAGATTATGAATAACGGAGTAATCCCCGACTCAACGATTAATAGTCCCAAACGGGGAAAGCGATTTGTCCCCCTTCGAATAGTAAATATTTATTGGGAAATATTTATATAATTAATATAGACTAGGAACCAGGCGGCCGCTCTTAGATAGAGAGCCGACTTGTCAGCGACTAGTGACTAGCTAACACAAGCAAGCCACACCAACAAACACAGCCTCAATACTTATCATCTATTGAATTATGAATTCAATTGTATAACTCGAAGTAGGTGACAAGCATCTACGAGTAGACAAACCTAGAATCAATCCAATGACGATACAAGTACATAACAATGATAACATACATAACCTTACTACCCTACCCTACTGTTGTCATGTCATATCATGGATCATCAATTTAGCGCTGGGGTACAGTACTTTAATTGGACTAATAAGCCCGCCTACGAATGTAATGTTATGTTGGTGTATCAAATAAGTTTTTTTAACCCAGAATCACAAATTGTTATATTCTTCTTATTGCAGTACATATCCAACTGTTGACTTTGTGTCGCACGATCCTAGCGATAAAGGTCTAAAGTTTGGTTGTACAATCTGGATCGAAACATTGCAGCCGCCAGGGGAAAGCAATACCAACAAGATGGTTAAGGATGAAAGGATTACATGCATATTGTTTATTTTTTTGGGTGCTTGTGTCACGCAGGTACCCTTGATGATCTCAAGCATAAGATACTTTAATATTCTGGATACAGTATGATACTGGGTCTCGTGCATGACTGCGGATATATGACTCGATTCGTGTCTTGGATAGACCCGAGTGGCCAAGATCTGAAATATCTAAGGAAGATTTCGCAATGAGCCTCCCTCATGCTCATATATAATCAGCCTATCTAAGTAAGCCACGTGTAATACTTGCCCTTGCATTTCGGGATGAATTCTTGCATTGCCACAAGATTTAAGCTTAGAAATGCCTCCCCTCCAATTTCGAGACACGTGATGATGGTGACATCTGCCACCATCATCTGAAACCTAAGAGAGATGTCTTGAAGACATCTTCAATCTTGATATAATGTAGAACATCCTCTTCGTGCCAGATTTTGATCAAATTCTCAAGGCAGAATTATTTATTCCCATCTTTCCCCCTTAGACAAAGGTCATCTTGACCAACGTTTTATCAGCTGCTCTTTATGGACATTTTTTAATTGTAACCTTTGTAGGTTCACAGCTTCGAGATTTTCCTGTAAATTTTTGATTTCCCCCTCAAATGTATTAAATGACGAGACGATATCTGGATCAAGTAGTTGAACCTCGCCGTAGATTGAATCAGCTTGAAGGGCATTGTAAAGTAGTTGCATTGTCACGTCGGCATTGTGAACATGTGAAGATATGGTGGTTTCAGTTGTTGACTCCAAATTAGCCGTGTGACTCTTAAGCTTCTCAATCCTTTCACCAAGGACATTCTCGAGAAATTCAGTCCGCGCATCAGCATCGTCGTTTTCCGTTGGAAGCGAGATGCCTAGATTTCGAAGTAGCTGTTGTTCGGCATCCACTTCTTCAAACATTGAAGAACGACGGCGACCATTGCGGGGTGACATATGTGTTTGCGATATTTGTCGTTGGTGACTAACAGATCTACTTGGCTGTGGAGCTGCTTGGTGTTGAAGCTCTTTCTTCCCGGTGTCTATTGCAAATTTAGTGGCCATCTGATGACATTGGTATTCTTCCATATGCTCTGCATAATATTCTGTACGCTTAACGAGGAAATTAAGGCATTCTTGCATCTAGTGTATTGGTTAGAAATAGAGGATCTATCGATGTATTGAAACCTACATATTTGAGAGCTTGACAAGCTCGCTCTTGACCTGAGTCCCCTTTGGCAGCAATCTCCCGTAAAGCTGGTTCCAAATATTGCTGCTCGGCAGACATTTGAGCCACAGGTAATACCTCGGAGTATAAGGATTCGAGCTCTTCTTGTAATTCGGCGACCTCCTGCTGGTTTGTGTCTTGCGCATCTGCACCAGCAGGAACTTCGAGGGCTTCGAGATATATTCGGTCGAGCTTTGTCCTAACTCCGTCGACAGTATGTTTGATATACCTCGCACAAAGATCCCGTATTCTAGCAATGGTATCATGATCTTCTGAAGATCCAGGATCAAGCTCTCCCGCAAGCTTCTGAAAACTTGCCAATAATTTATCATCCAACTTGAAGATTCCGTCCACCGTTTGCTTGATACTAGATTGTGACATTTTGTTTTGTTGCTCCAAGTCCGATAATTGATACATCAGATTTTGAGAAAGCTCCTCCACCGCCGAATTTACCTGACCCTTTTCCGCCTCCCATTTCCGAAGCTGTTTTGTATCTGCTTCGGTTCGAGCCGCTCCGGCTTTCTTGTTGTTTTTAACAAGTAATGCTAAAGCACTTTGTTGTAATTGTAGGGCTTCGCTCTGCTTTTCAATCGCGGTAGTGGATCGTTGCAATTCTTCGATAGCAGTATGAAGTTGCTCATCGCTCAAATCACATATGCTCGACAGGTCTTGGGAATTTGCTATTTTATCTGCGTCTCCTGATTGCGACAGTACATCGTACCTTTGTTCAATTAGCAATAGTCGCAGAAAGCATCAGCATCGGCGCCAACTTACAACGCAGCTTCATCCTTGGTCAAAAGTGTTTCTGGACCAAGGTATTTCGAAATCCAAGCTTCTACCGCAGCTGGGCTTCGAGCATAATCAGACTTGATTGCACTGTGATCGAAAGATATCCCATAATCTGCAAGGGTCTGCAGAAGAAATTCGAGGTTGTCGTCTTCCATACTGATTGAAGTCTGTGGTACTGGTACTGCACAATCTTTCCAAGAGTTTTGTTGCACGTCTTAGGCCAGAATCAACTTTGGGGCTTTTGGGAAATGTAAAGATTTTAATACAGATCTGGAAAGAGGGAGGTTTCAGGATCTCCAAAAAGATTGTCCCGTCGAATTTGTAAGAGATGTTGTTGAATCCGGGCTCGGGGCGTTTTGTCAATTTTGTGCTGTATTGGTAGTTATTTGTTTACATTGCATCTGCTAGTGGATACTACCTAGTCTACTACTTGAGTAGATATTTATGAGTAAATATATTCCCCACTAAACTAACAAGGTGGTACTTTCTGAATGTTCCAAGTGATATAAGAAACTTAACAATACATTCAATTATATCATCTGAAGTAGTTTTGGCTTTCTATACTTTCTCTCTCATAATAAATAAGATATAAAAGTATTTTTCACCGATATAACCTTTTAGGTCATGATTGTGGGAGATAAGCAATGGATGAGCTCTCCGGGTTCCCCACCACTCGGATATTGTCTTTCATAATAATGATAATGAAGATATGCCACTTTTCTAAACCTTTCATTCTATTTTCTCTGTTTAGCTCTTGAGTGTAACATTTAGATTCGGAATGAGAGGATTCCAGTATCACTGTGCAGGTTGAAGAAACAATCAAATGACATTCATCATGACTCTGAATATCCGAGAGTTTACCTCGGATGGATTCGAGGCTCTTAAACTGGTGAATCAACATCTCCAAGTCTTTTTTTATAGATAACAACTTACTGACATATACCATAGGTAGCTCAACTATCATGGAGACGTAACCTAAAAGCTTGGGTTCAAGTCCCTTTTGGCATTGTCCTGATTCTACTAGCATGCTTTGGTATCAATGCTCTCATAGGACTCAGTTCAGTCTCGTTTCCTGCATCTGTGGCATGCTTGATTTTGTTATTCCTTGGCCTGAATATCATTGATCTTATCATTGGACATCAGAGAACGAGAGCGTTAGTATCGGTTATTGATATTCCTGCCGGATGGGCTCTCCGATATATTAACCTCTTCTTTACACCTTCGTAAGTTGCCACATTTGCATAGAGAAGATTAGATTAGTTGCTGAAGGTTTATAGTTTCGTTCTGTTGCCATTGAGTGATAGCATCACTGCTACAGAAGTCGGCAAGATCATAGGCGTATTCCGTGAGTACAGAATCGCTATGTCTAACATCTTATCACTAATGTTCTGCAGTCATTGGGTTCTTGGTCATGTTTGCTGTCACGGCTTGGTTAGTGCGCGGTCTTCAGGTTCTAGTAGGTTCGACCAAGCGTGCTATCACAGAGAGGGCCGAGGAAATGGGTGCCGAGAATGATGCCATTCCCCTCGCGGTATCGAGTAATGCAAATTTCACATCGACCGATACAATCATTCCGTTACAGCCACAAGAGCCGGCTGTGATCAGGGACGCTAGAGACCCAAGAGAATCTCCAGAAACAGAAAGTCCACCGCCAGAAACCGTTTCTAGCATCATCGTGGTCCAACAAGAACCGTTACCACTCACACGAGCTCAAATTTGGGCCGCATTCATTAACAGGAACTTGGATCTACTCACTTACAGTGTTATATTTCTCTTCATAGGAATCCCAGTTTATTACGCTACTGGCTATGCAATGCCAGCACAACTAACCTTCAATGTACTGGCTTATTTTGCTGCACAGTCTCTTCCTGTTCGGTGGAAGCAATTCTTGCATCCTGTTTTATTATCATCCGGAATCACCATCATAGGCATATGGATCTTAGGACTCATCAGAGGTAACAATCTCGATGAGATTCTAGGTGCTTACAAAACCGACACCAAGTATCTTGCTTACTGGGAGGGAGAAAAGAATCTCCCTCTACCCGGCGCCGGTGACATATTGTAAGTGACCCCCATCACATTCTTCTCATCCATTGGTATGCCCTTTTGAATCTGACCATATCCAACAAAACAGCAACAGCGTCCTCGACGCCTCCATTGTCTCCCTCGCCCTTCCCATGTTTCAATACCGCCACGAACTAAAATCCCACTTCATCCCCATCACCATTCCAAGCGTTACAGTCGCCGTCGCTTCTCTATTCGGCTATCCTCCTCTTTGCCACTCCCTCGGCATATCCCCTCCAATTTCTCTTTCGTTCTCCGTGCGTTCTCTAACCCTCGCGCTCGCAACCCCTGCCGCCAGTAATCTGTCAGTACAATTATTTCCCCAACTACCAAATCCACATGAAAATAAACTAATCCCCCTCTCCCGATTTTAGCGGCGGAAATCTCAACGCAGCTGCCGCTCTTGCCATCACGTCCGGCATTCTCGGTGTCCTCATCGGGCAACGCCTTCTTACTCTCCTAAGAATCCGCCCCGATGATTACATAACCATCGGCGTCGCCATGGGTGGTAACGCTAGCGCAATAGCAACTGCATTGTTATTAGTTAGCGATCCGAGAGCGGCCGCACTAAGTAGTTTGAGCATGAGTCTTTTTGGTATTGTGACGTTAACGTTAACGTCTGTGCCGCCCGTAGTTGAGGTGATTAGGGGTTTAGCTGGGTTCTAGGAGTTTTAGAGTTCGGAATTTCGGGGATCAGGAGTTTCCCGATAGATGGAAGTCAAATAGATGCACGTTAGACTACTAGAATACTAAACTACTAAACTGCTATCTCCTCGGCTATGGCACTACTAATTGCATCCAATATCCATACTGACTGACCTCTCCTATTCTACCCGAGTAATCCAACATCATCTCAGGAGTCAGAATCTCTTCTTCACTCCTAACTATTCACTATTCACTTATTACCCTTCACTGACGCTCTAGCTCAAGATATTTAAATCCAAATTCCAATACCCTCCTATACCTGGCAGTCCTACCTGCAACTAATGGCGTCTATATCTAATCCCTCCATCCTATTCGAATAACTCAGTTGTATCTTATACATCTCGCTAAGTTTTTGTTCTACTCGTAGTGTTTGTTATTTTTCGCTTGTATTCATTCACCCATTTTTAAGTTTTGGTTTCACTACTGTATTAGGTATTAGATACTAGGTATTAGGTATTACAATTTAGGTATTACGATTTACGATTAACTGGTGGGATGATGAGATGAGATGAAATAAGATGATGGGATGAAATTGGATTATGTGGTGGGATGAGAAGAGAGGAGAGGATGGGATGGGATGAGAGGTGATGATGAGATGAGATGAGGTGATGAGGAGAGATGAGATGAGAGGTGGTGAGATGAGGAGGGAAGAGGTGAGGAGAGGTGAGGGGATGATGAGATGATGGGAGGGGAGGAGAGGAGAGGAGAGGAGAGGTGATTAGATAGTATGAAATAAGAGAGTGTGTGTATTGTATTATACATCTTGTAACTATTCAAATATTATTGGTATTTGTACTCGAGTATTAGTATCAGCACCTCCAATGATTAAAGAGAATCAGTCAGATCAATCTTCAAGTTCAATTTTAAGTACCGGTATCCAATAGTCCGACCATTAAATTGGTTTTTTTACGAGGAGCCCGAAGAAATAAATAACTTTACAATCAGCACCCCACCCATTCAAAATATCAAACATTCATAAAAGGTATACCTACGTATATATATGCACCCCCCTCACAACCTCGCCATACCATCCTTCCCGTCCTTCCCATCATACCCATCCCTCCCCTTACACACAGCAAACGCACCCCCACCCCTCCCAAACATGCTCCTCAAATCTCTCGCCAACAACTCCGGCCTCTCATGCGCATAAAAGTGACCACCCCCCTCCTCATCATTATCACATTCAAAAACCACCTCACCCAGCGTTCTCCCCCAACTCTTTGGCAACACACTTAATTCCTTAGGATTAAACGACAATCCCAATTTTACACCAGGGATATACGTTTCCACATCATCTCTCGTGACGTTTCCAGGTCCAGGAACCGTGTGTTCAACTTCGTAGTAGATTCTATGGGCGGCTCCGGGGCCTGCGCGTGAGAAATAGTAGATGGAGACCCAGGTGAAGATTTCGTCGTCGGTCCACGGATAGGAGTCCGTCCAATCGTGCAGTTTTTCGTAGATCCAGGCTAGGAGTGCGGTGGGGGAGTCGTGGAGGGCGTAGGCGAGCGTTTGTGGTTTGGTGGATTGTTCTATGAAGTAGCCGCGGCCTTCTTCTGCGAACCATTTGGTGCGGGCGAAGCCATCACGTTCGGTTTGTGAGTAGGGGAATGATGCGTGTTGGAGGGTTAGGATGGGGTTTTGGGTGATTGTGGGTGGTTTTCCTCGGATCATGTTGATGTGGCTTGCTTTGCACTATATGCTAACATTAGTATGTGGATTCGATAGGACGATTGAAAATTAAGAGTTAAGACTAGAGAACTTACATGTTGGGGATATAATTTCCCAATGGCTCGAGTGATATACGTTCCCCAATCTCCACCTTGTGTTACATATTCATCATAGCCCAATTGAAGCATCAACTTATGACAAGTCTCCGCATACTGTGCCAATGCAAACCCGCGTTTATTGACTCCTTCACTAAATCCATAGTTTGGAAGTGAAGGGGCAACGATATGGAATGCCGGGCCTCCCGGTTGTTGAAGAAGCGGAAGAAGATGAAGAACTTCCATGAAAGATCCTGGCCCTATCAAACATCATACACATTAGCACTAATATCATTTTCTTTTTCAACACACACTTCACTCTCCCCCTTTGACTCAACCCAAAAAAAGAAAAATACCCACATCCATGCACAAAAAGCAACGGAATCGCCCCCTTCACCTCACTCCTCTGCCACACAAAATGCACATCCAACTCCCCATACCCATCCACCTGAACGCCCGTTGTAAACTGCGGGATTCGATTTAGCTTTTCCTCGACAACATTCCAATCCCAGGCCTCCCATGCTTTGGTAAGTCGCTTCATATCTTGCAATGGAACACCCATGTCCCATTGTACATCAGGGAGTTCATCAGGAAATTCGGCAAGGGAAAGTTTGGTTTTGAGGATATCGATTCGTTCTTGGGGAATGGAGATTTGAAAGGGTTGGGGAGGCATGGCTGATGTGATGAAGGGCTGTAGGATTGTTAGGACGGGATGTGATGTGGTGTGCTGAATCAATATGGGTGATGGAGAGGGAGTAAGAAGGTTGATTGTAGAACGTCAGTTTATTGCAATTCAAACTACTCAATCGTTTATCTTGATGCTGAGCTTATATAGTATGAGTTTCATGTCATGAAAGATAAACAGCAACTGAAAAAGAGGATGTGCTGGTACAAAAAGAAGGTATGCCGTTGAAGATATATGAGCTCGAGCTTCGGAGCTACCCCGCAATTGATCGGCGCACTTGCAGGATTGACAGCTGGCGACCGGCAGCTAGGTCGGCTCTTAAAAACAAGAGAGCGGGATTATGCATTGCCCTGAACACGAAATCTGTGGGTTTGCACACAATGGCCATTCTTATTCTAATTATCGCTCATAACAATACTCGAGTAGAGCGTTTCGAACTCCTCGATCAGTGCTAAGAAACATACTCACCCCAACCATATCTATTCAAGAATGAACGGATAACATTATGTATGATTTTGTCTATCAAGTACCTAGGCCTAGGTAACTACTACATGAATCCAATTTTGTAATTTCCGCGATTACCATAACGCCTGTAAACCCACGAGCGCCTCATCCTAAAGTTATTACCTGGTTATCGTAACGCCTATAAACATAAATTTGTTTTGTTCAACTCCTTCGCCTTCGCTTCAGCTCCCAGTTAACATCTTCATATTCTTCGTCTAACTCATCAGGGGTAGCCGACCCCTCCTCCATAACTCCGAGAGGTAATTCGGATTTGATGGGTTTTTCAGACAAGCCCTCATCTGAAGATATTGATTTCTCAATACCTTTATCGCCAAGAAGGAAATCGCCAAAATATTTGATAACATTGAATACCTCCTCTCCCGTAGGGACAATATTTTCCTTTGGGAGCAAAAACCCGTAGCTTCCTGTATCTCTTAGCTTGATTTGAAAGCTATAGCGTACTCGTAGCTCGTGATAAAACCAATCAATGGCTGAACCACCTCCAGTTTCCATTCGAGATGTTGCTGCATGGCCCGAGGTTTTCGAGGAGACAGCGCCTTCACAAGCAGAAGCAACAGTGTACTGCTCTCCGCTAGATATTCTAATAGCCTTTGCGAGTCCCATACCGAGTTCTTCCAGATTTTCTAGACTAGGTGGGTCGGCCATACAGGAATAAGAATAAGGATATAGAACTTGCTGAGAATACGAATGTAAATCCAAAAAACCAACAAAACGGACATTATTATTCTCAGTCTCATTTTTGGCCCACTCTGCGAATCTATGAGATTCAACAGCCTGGAAAGGTGCATCTCCCGGGTAACTCTCAGAACACGGGTTACTTTGAGTAGTCGCACCCCATTCAAAGCCGAATCCACGGTCCAGATCAAGACCTCGACAAAATCGAAGATTAGTCTGTTGTCTATTCTTGCGCCATAAACGGTCGTTCTCCCAAGTGTATACATATCCATCAACATTGATAGTAGGGATGAGGACAAAGTCGAATTCCTGGAGAAGTTTCGTAATAGCTGGCGATTTTCCATAAGAAGTAATCAAAGACCAGGCAGCGTATGTCACGGAGCTCACCGAGATCCATTCTCGAGCATGAAGTCCACCGGATAAGATAATAGTTTTACGTGGCTTGGTTGGCTCCGAAGGTAGATTTGGGGATACACCAATCCTCAAGGCTAGGATATCGCGACCCTCAAAAGAAGTGCCGATATTGATCATTCGAACATGTGTTGAGAACATGGAAGACATAAGACGCATCCATGGTATGATGACGGATAGTGGTTGATAATTTTGAAAGAATATATTGTCCACACCATCGACCGTACTAGTCCTCAAAGCCGGAGTGAATAGCCTTTCGGCATGTTTCGAGGGAAAGGCTGCATCTGCATGTGCCATCGATGGATAGGATTGATAAATACTTTTCGCTAAGTCGGGCATCAGATGAGAGTATGCACTTTGCAGAGATTTTGGTAAGAGGCCGAGTAAGGAGGGAACCTATTTCGACAATTAGCATTGCGAAAGCACTAAATATTCCTCGACATACATCATCTTCTCTCAAACGAATGTCAGCCCAATTATTTGTGAATTCCCACACATCCACGAAAAGTGTATCGGCAGCTTCTGCCAATGCCTGCTCCTCGGCAGGAGTGCTGAGGTTGAATCGAAGTACTACATCACTGCCATATTTTGCGAGTAGGGTCGCTGGAAGTTGGATATTGGTCGTTCGTGAAATGCTTCCCGGAACATTGGGCTTCTTTGTGACCTTCGAGGGAAGACGGAATATCTTCTCTATCGCAGTATCACGTAGCCAGGTCAATTGTGGAATCACACTGCGGTATTTAATGCTTGCATGTTGTTCCTGTGAAGCATATCGCGGGGTTGCAGGTGAGAACTGAGCATTACCATGCGTGGCCCATGGTACAGCGACAACGTGTGGGACACAAAGGACAAAAGCAATAAGTAGAACCAGCGATGAAAACATTGATTGTGATTGAATTAGAAACATCATTAAAGTCGCATTGACGTTGACAGACAATGTCAGGATTGAAGTTCGGTGAAGTTGTGGGTCGTTGTGCTTAGATTTATACTTGAGTTATCTGAGATGATTCGTGGGAGAGAGGTTGAAGAAAAGATTATGAGTGGCACTTATCGTATCGCTAGGGCCGAGGCTTAGCAAGGGATATATAATTTCATTGTTAGACTAAATGTCAAGAAGGCTTTCAAATAGATTCATTTGATCCCCTCAGAAACTATGTGTATACCTACCTACTCGTACTATCTGAATGCTGCACTACATTTCATATATTCAAAGTCTCGCTGTTGATAAGTAGGTACCGTAACTCGGGGATTTTACCACATCATATACTCGAATAGCGGTAAACTACAACAGGAATATCCTGAGCTGCGGAATTTCTGGCAACAGGAGTGTCAATTTGATATTCACTCTCTGATTTCCACAGTAATTTAATTACCTACACTTGTGTATATAACAAGTCGCCAACCTCCAATACAAAATATTGACCTATCGACCCCTCATCCCATTTCAATCAAAGAAACGGATTACAAGAAACCTGCTTCGACACAGAAATAACCTTTAAGATAAATCATCAATCAATATATCCTCTATCTCCATATAAATCAGACATCGAACTCTTACCATAGTATTTTCCTCCAATTCCTTCACTTCCGAAGGCATAAGATGGAGTGTCCAAAACATTATACCGATAGTTCTTGATACAGCCGTGCTTAACTTTGTTACAGTTTGAGGTCCGTACGATTCGAGGAGTTGGTGGAGGGGATGTGTTTCATCGGGGGGATATCCGTTTACTGGGTATACTACGTATAGATGGGCGGATCGGTTGTTGGATTTGGTTTCCTTGGGATGTGCGGTTGAAGTCATAGATAGTTGTGTTACTGTATATACTAAGGAGGGAAGGGAAGGGAGGATGTGTTGAGAAGCAGAATGGTATCTTGGGGTTGTAGGTACTTGGTTGCTTATATATCTTGCTTTTTTCTCAATCCAGGCATCCGACGGTACCATTATCAAACAGGGCCCTCTACCCCCTTCATAGAACCTCTAAAAGGTTAGATGTAGAATATACCTACCTATGTACTATTCACTCTATCATATTGAATAGAATCAACAAGTTATTAGTGAATAGAGAACCTCTGAGGGTTAGCTATCTAGATATCTATACCGGACTTGAAAACCAAACTATTATCATCCTATCTCTCAAGATTATATCTACCGGTACTCCTACGTATAATCTTCGAGTACTTTTCGACTTGCAGAACTGCAGCATTGAAGAGGAACCCCGGCCATCAATATTCTATCGAGGGCCAAGGAATGGCGTTGCAAGGTTGGGGATGAGAATGGCACGTTTTCTTGATGAATATTTCGACACAAGCTGAAGAGATTGGAATGATTCATTCCATACAATGGAGAGGAACCTTCTTAACAAAACATCTGGTCGTCATCATTTTCGTAAGAACATTTGCGGATCCATCCCAATGGATGCATGCGAGAACACCCATCTACGTCCATACTCCGTACAAGTACAGTACTTAACAAAGAAACTAACGCACAATATTCTAAAAATACCAGACAAACAGACAGACTATCGCTATCGTAGGAAATTGCATTTTGGAAATATTAAATTTCATTGACCCATATGTTAAACCACTTGGACCGCACTGTAACCTTTACTTTAGGGTCATGTATATTGCAAAATTTAGGTTTTTCTTTATGTTTCAGAGTGTTTTACGAGAATTATTCTTAAAATTTCAATAGATTGCTTTTAGCCTTTTTACTAAATAAGCTTCATATTGTATGCAGATTTGGAAGCATTTGGAAGCATTGTATTTCTTCTTCCTTGGGCCATATTACATATATCTCGTATCATAATAGATTTGGATATATCTAGATTTACTAAACATTGACTTATATAATAAGTAACTCCGTAACTTATCCAAGTACTCGTAATAACTCGTAATACTCGTAATACAGGGTTTTATGTTAGGTTTGCGTCATTCCCCTCCCTCTCCTCTCTTATTATAGGGGGAAACTCGAGACTCGTGAATTTTCACTTCTAAAACTACTGTACCTCTCTACTCGAGTACCGAGTACTCAAATAGGTACTGTACTGAAATAGAACTTTCAAATTTGATTTTATAAGAAAGATACGAGTTATACTTTGGTTTGAATTGAATTGAATTAAAACGAATTGAACTGAATTGAATCGAATCGAGTCAAATCGAGTCAAATCGAATTTCAATTGTCTTCCTCTTCCTCTTCCGTCTTTTCTTTTTTTATACTACCAACCCCCCGTTTGTGCTTTCCTCTTATCCACTCGATACGACTTGAGCACCTTTCCCAGGATCCTCCTAGCCTTTCAGCCTCATACGAAGGGATACAAGACTTCAAACACAATACGTCTTTCATTGCTAAACTGCAAATGTCATTTGTTCAGCTAAAACAGGAATAATCGATTGTTCCCTATTGTTGCGTCTTTGTAGGAATCAATGTTGTTCGATGTTCCTCAAAGATGCCATTACTACGTCGTCGTGCTGCTGCCAGCGACGCTGAAATGCGACGGCATAGCTTCTTTCCCACCGATTCCAATACTCTAAATCCAATTCTCGATGCCGACCTTCCAGATGGCAGAGTGAGTGAACAAATCCCACGACGACCTTCACCTAGAGATTTTCAATCGTCCACAGAACCAGGAACACTTGGACCGATATTCGTGCCGAAGAGACCTTCCACGGATTATCCTACAGCACTCCAGCGGTCGGGGTCACCACCGATACAGGAGGAAACATCGAAACATCGTCGCTTCTCTATGTTAAGGTTTCGACATGCTTCCGATTCACAATTATCTACTAGGTCGCGGCTACAAGCTCATAATGCTTCAATAGCTGAAGATGTTCCTCCGATACCTCAGCAGCGCAAGTGTTTCCCATCCACCCAACGTTCTTTCAACATTTAGTTCGTCAGTGAACTTACTTTCTAGGTCTAGTGCTGACAATATTACAGCCCCAGAGATTATCACCACTGCTCCGACGATGGATTTCAATGGCGGACGCCCAATGAAGAAAAAGTCGCGCGTTAGACTTCCTGGGCGTACCAAAACGTTTGTGGCGGGGCCACAAGAGCAACCACCACGGCAACAAGAAGATAAATTGAACGTTGAACAGCTCTCGAAAAAGGAACGAAGGAAAACAATGTCGGAATCAGGCCCTTCGAGCAGTAAAAATCGCGTTACTTTCGACGAACCAGATCGGCCAGTGACGCATAGCAACGGTGGTTCCCCTCCTGCATATGGAGATGAAGTAACCTCGGCTTTGGCTTTACCAGTGAACAGACTTTCTGAATCTTCACGATCAGACGCAAGCTCCGGTGATCATGGAGTATATGCAACGACCACTACTACCACACATACTGTGCAAACAACCACAACTTTCTTCCGTCTTCCTCGTAGGAAAAAGCCCACCCCATTTTTCGATCTGAGCCACCTTCCACAAAAGTCCGCGCAGAACGATGCATCACATTCGCTTTCTGTTACGAAATACCCCACGGCTCCTCAATCCGACCCTGCTGCAGCAAGGGCTCTAACTCCAAAGTCTTCGGAAGACATGACACCACAAGGTTGTCAGACCCCTTCGTCCCCCAGCGCTTTGATGAAGATATCGTCTAGTCTAGGTCGGCCGGGTTCCCCCATATTGCGGCAGGGTTCCACTGCGTCATCTTCGAGATCTTCACCTACTCGTTCCAGATTAACATTGCGTGGTCGTTCATCCACTTTAAGCTCTTTGAGGAATGCGCCAAATGAAGATGCTTTAGCTACCCCTACCTTACCATCGACCAGGACATCTACATCCACCGGCAGGAAGAGTTTTGGTGATCTGTTTAATCTCACATCGCGATTACGCCAGAATCCCTCCGAATTACCAATTAATTCAGGTCCTACCACTCCTGGATCCAATACTTCGAAAAACAATTCTATGCAATTGGCCAGAGAAGAGCCTATAATTCTGCCAGAACGATTTGATGATGACACACCAGCTAATTATTTGGTCAGGCTTGAAGAGGCTGTTAGCAGAGGTGTTGTAGCTAGTGTTCTGTCGAAAGGGACGGACCCCTTCTCTCAGGCTGTGCTTCGTAGCTACATGAGAGGGTTTGGCTTCTTTGGAGATCCGATGGACATGGCCATTCGGAAGTTACTCATGGAAGTTGAGCTTCCAAAGGAGACCCAGCAGATCGATAGATGCTTGCAAGGTTTTGCTAACAGATATCATGAATGCAATCCTGGCATCTATGCATCTCCCGATCAAGCTTACTTTATTGCCTTCTCACTTCTCATTCTACACACCGATGTGTTCAACAAGAACAACAAGCATAAAATGACAAAGGCAGACTACATCAAGAACACCCACGGTGAAGGAATCTTTGACGAAATTCTGGAGTGCTTTTATGATAACATTTCATACACACCCTTTATTCACGTGGAGGACGACCTTGATATTAATGGCGAAAGGATCATACCTTACAAAATGAAGAAGAAGTCGAAGATCCTTCGTGGCGGTGGAGATCCTACAAAACGTCCCTCGAGGGAACCGGTCGACCCTTATACTCTAATTCTTGATAGCAAACTTGATACGTTGCGTCCAAATCTCAAGGATGTTATGCATCTTGAGGAACATTACAGTTACCTTGGCACTGCGCCATTCTTGAATCTACAGAACTTGCAGAAAACGTTCTTCAAGACCGGCGTATTGCAGATCGTTTCGGCCAGATCACGACCAGATGCTTTCATGTCCGAGAAAACTGTCACAAATCCCGAGGAAGCACAAGCTGGTATTGTGGATATCAAAATAACCAAGGTTGGTTTGCTCTGGCGAAAGGATCCGAAGAAGAAGAAAACTCGTTCTCCGTGGCAAGAGTGGGGAGCCATTCTCACTGGAGCTCAACTCTATTTTTTCCGGAACACTACTTGGATCAAAAGCTTGATACATCAACACGAAACACATATCAAACAAGGCCACGATGGTAGCCCTGTAATTTTCAAGCCTCCATTGGAACAATTCAAACCTGACGCATTGATGTCGACTGATGATGCAGTGGCTCTTGTAGACTCTACTTACAAGAAACACAAGCACGCTTTTGTCTTCGTTCGCCATGGAGGATTCGAGGAAACCTTCTTAGCCGATAATGAGGATGAGATGAATGATTGGCTTGCTAAGCTCAACTATGCTGCAGCATTCAGAACCGCTGGGGTTCGTATGCGTGGAGTGGTTGGGGGTAACTACGAAGGTCAGCGTAATCGAGGCATTCGCCGGCTAGAAAGCCAAAACGACTCCACAAAATCTATTCAAACGCCTTCTGGGGAAGTCACCATAGTCAGTGGGAAGATTGATAACAAGATGCAGGACGATATTTTGGCCGCACGTCGCCAAATTATGCTGCAAAAAATAGCCGAATCTGAAGACAAGCTTGCCACTGCAGTGAAACAGCTAGATTCACAACTGCAGAATGCTCGCCATCTACAGATTCTAGCTCCAGTCCAACCAAAGACAAGAGAGCAAGTTTTGTCGGCTGCAGCTCGTATGGCTGCTCAGTTGAAGTGGGTTAGAATGGAAATTTGGCGCTTGAAATGTCATCGGGACATTTTGATTTTGGATTTGGATGAAGAAAAGAGCATCGATGGAGGTATTTTGCAAAAGGCGGAGTCTAATGGAGATACACCAATGTCGGCACGATCTGCGCTTAATCGTTTACAATCCAAGGCAAGTAGTTTAGAACCACCCAGCGCCCCAAAATCACCTACTTCAGATTCCACAACTCGACCTTCTACGTCTGGTCAATCGTTTTTGCCGCCCGATAAGGAGACTACGATGGTAGACATCTTTCAAACGACACCGAGCTCGAAGCATAAAGCTCAAGCCTCCTGGGAACTTTCGCCTTTGGGTTTCGACGAACAGTCTCCACGTAAGCCTTCGGTCTCCAGTGTAGTACCTTTGAGCCCAAGTCTCGCCCTCAAGCCATCTCGATCTAGCTTGAAGCAAGCTCCAGTCTCGAGTTCTAAACCTTCGGATGATCCAAATCTTGATGCTGCAGAGCAATCTGTTCTTGAACAGACTGGATTGGTTGATGCAGATGTGGCGATTGATGAGATTAAAGATCAGTCGACTGACAAAGGCAAGATTCGTCGCAGTATACATCGAACCCTGCGTGAGGCCCATGTTCCAACACATCATCGAAGCCGCAAAGGCAAAGACTCGAATTCTAGTGCGGGTATGTCCGACGAAGGTACTGCAGATGATATACTTTCTCGTGGTTCTGGAAGCTTTGTCGTACACGGCAAAAAGGCTTCGGTCATCACATTCGGGACAGAACTGCAAAGTATGTCAACAGAGGAACGTTTGCGTCTCCGTAAGCAGCCGCACAAGGGAGACTCTGAAGCAGTATCTCCTGCCACTATCGACGACGACTTTCACTCGATACTCGCTGAGCCGGTGGAATTTCGCCAACGCCATAACTCGACTGCCAGTACCAGCACAGCAACTGCCAGGAGCTTCCGGGAACTACATAGGAAATATTCTGCGCAAACTCCAGGAGTGCCTCCAAACCTTATTGTCAATGTAGATGACGATAGCGAAGCTGCAGTAAGCATATCTGAAGGTCGACGAAGTCCATTGCCCCCCGTTGAAGACGAGAACGAGGACGAATACTCGAGCAGTAATGATAAAACCAAATTCTACACGCCCGAGCCATCACCACGTGGGCTTGAGTTCGATGAGGAATCACTGGTTGAGCCAAATCAACATCACGGGAATGGTCATATCGATTCAAATGAGTGATTGCCGAATCCTCTATTTCAGGCAGTTGGTGTTTAAGCAGCTGGTGCTTGAATCTCACATTTCACTTATACCAGTACTACTTGATCGTACACACAACATTTTCATATTATTGTTCTAGTCTTTTTTTTCTCCATATCTTTCAGCGAAACCGATAGCATAGCGCACTTGCAACACACCTAGCGACAATCCTTTATATATCCATTTCTTGGCTTGCGACGCGTTTTTTTTACAATACTTGGGACTGATATTTCTTTGGGAAGCGAGAAGGGATGGGATATTCTTTCGCAAGAAATAAAAGTACTTGGTATTCTTTGTTTTTTGGTAGCACCATTTTAGTTTTTCTTTTTCTTTTTTTCCCCCTATATGCTCTTGCTGTAGTTGCTATTTGGGACACATACTTTTACAAGCATTTACAGTCTGTATGTATACTAGCGGTTGGGAAGGGATGGCAGGGAGATTCGGAAGGAAGGGAAGATGGGCTGGGATGGGAAGCAAACATACCCATGTGAAAGTGGTTGTTATGGTGTGGCACGATACCTATCTATGATAATGGGGTGCTTCATTTTAGCTGGCGTTTTGGGTAAAGTTATCTGCAATTGGAGATTGGGAATTGGGGATGGCTGTGAATGCAGGCAGGTGCTTGAGACAGTATATGAGAGGAAATGAAAGGAAGAAATAGTAGGGTTCTCGTTGGAATGGATACTCTTCTGATTTCGGGATTGGGGTGATAGGAATAGTTGCGAGAGAGATGGGGGCGGGGAGAGACGGGAGAGGATTAGGGTTAGTCTTGATGAAAGTGACTGTATGACTGGATGGATGACAGAAGATCAGAGAGTGAACATGGGATGGAATGGAATGGACTGGAATTAATATCGCAGAGGAGATAGAGTTTAACAATGAGATGAGATACATATATAATCTTTGTAATTTCCCCCTGCCTGTAATAAATATATTAGAACGCATGAGGTGAAATTCTAACTATGTACTCTTAATCTTTACACTCTTTTTCCAATGGATCCTCATAATCATTCATTCCCTTCATCTCAAGTAAACATATTCGATACAAGATATGATATCATATATTTACTGTTAGAATTCTCTCATGTAAAATCCAAGTTGATAGATAGATAGATAGATAGATAGGGGGCTCGGGGTATACGAGGATACGAGGAGATAAGGAGAACTACCTAGGAGTTTTAGATGAGTGGGCGGGTGTTTAAGATAAATTGTATGTACTGTATGTGTTGGTTGTGTCTTAGTATGGGGATTTTCCGGGATTCTAGCCGCCGCCCCTACAGTACCTACTGTTACAGCTTGTTATATACATACATACCAAGAAATCACCAATATACCTACAGTATTTCCTCGTATGGAAATTCTATACGGAGTACCTTGGGCGAATTCGAAGTTACCGGTACTGTACCACAAACCAACATGACGTGCTCACATCAAGTATGTATCACTAATCCAAAACCATTGAAGTGAAGTTAGAAAACCGAGAACTTGTATGAGTATTTTGGAGGGGGAGGTGATTTTCGTTGAATGGCTTTTTGGATTGCTCTTTGCTATCAATTGTTTCCAACAGTCCGTACACTCCACTCCACCGATACGGAGGTAAAACAACGCATTGCGCTGATGATTTATCAACGAAACATACTTACGTCGGGCAACGGATGAATCGATGTCCGAGTACGAGTAAAGTAAGTCTTCTCTCTCAGGTAGGGTCTGTGTCCATGGAGGAAGGAGATGGAATTAATAATTGTAGGTAGGTAGGTGCAGTAGGTGTGGACTGTGGACTTGCTTTGGACAGATTTCGATTTAAAAAAAAAATCGGGTTTGTTTATATAGGGGAGAGGGTTGCTGTTCGAGTATCAACTTTTTGGATTTGAACGTTTTTTATACTATTATACAACCAACATAATACAACACGATACGATACAATAACAATATAACGAAATAAATTGATCAAATCAGACAAAATGGTTACCATTACCCTCGATCCTGATTACGGGTATGTCTTCCACTCCCTCCTTTCCCCTCTTCAAACCTCTATCCCCCTCCATCCACCTCACCCCCAACCAACTAACTAACACCCCCTCCTCCCCATTCTCTAGCTACGTCATCCTCGCCGCAACCAGCACCTTCATCCTCAACCTCGTGCACGGCATCAACACAGGCACGTACCGCAAAGCCGCCAAAATCGACTATCCGGCCGCCTACGCCCCCTCATCCCGTACCGACGCCGACGCGCACCGTTTCAACTGCGCGCAACGCTCGCATGCGAATTTTACCGAGAATCACTCGGTAGCCGTTACGGCAATGCTGGTTTCGGGGCTGCAGTTTCCGCGCACGGCGGCGGTGTTGGGTGGTTTTTGGTCGCTTAGTAGGTGGGCTTATATGAGGGGGTATAGTAGGGGGGGTGCGGGGGGGAAGGGTAGGTATGAGGGGATTGCGTTTTGGGGGTTTCAGTTGGGATTGATGGGGATGTGTGGGTGGATGGGGGGTGAAGATGGTGTTGGGGGGGTTTGTGATAAGAGGGATGTAAGGGAAGTGAGGGATGAGATGGGATGGGATTTGGGGGGTGATTGGGGGGTGATTTTGTAGAGGGAAGGGGGAGGCAATTCGATATTGATATATGGGGTTGTGTCGTCGAAAGAAAGAAAGATACAAGTGATCGATCGCATTGAGCAACAAACCTCCACTCATAAATCACCTAAAACTACTAAAGTAGTTCGTCCCCTAGAAATTCGCATCGCAGTATTATACCATAGATTGATTACGTTCTCATCTTCTCATCTGCTCATCATCTCAGCGCTTTTTCCCATTTCAAGGTTCCTTTCCCTAGTCAATCAATCTATCTATCTCGATATTATGATTTATACATACTCGAATAGTAGTAGTAGTACTCGTATACAAAAGAGCATAAATTAGCGAGTACAGAATATAACTTAAGTTATTAATATACTCGTATGTACTCTATGAACAATATTACCATTATGAATAAGTACAAAGATTGAGTTGGTATACTCGAGTAAAATAATATAGGTAGGTACCTAAGTATACTCCAGTATATATCATATCATCTCTCTATCTATCTATACCATATACCATATACCAATACTCTCCTATATACAAATACAAATACAAATACCCTCAAATACTTATAGAACATAACCCTTCCCCCTTCCCCTCCCTTCAATACCAGATATCAATACTGAGTATATTCACCCATTTATTTATTATACATAACCTTACTTGCTCTCTCTCGATTTATATTTTGAATTTGATGTGTGAATTGGTTGGTGGATTTGTACTCGAGTATGTGTGAATCGGTGGGATTATTGGTGCTGATACTGGTGCTGATACTGGGTGCTGGTGTTAGATATTGACTCATTAGATATTCATGATCAATCATAAAATTAAAGTATTAATATAATACTCCACGAGTAAAAGATATTATACCTAATCCCTTGATCTCTTTGATAATCACTTATCATTTCACACTTTTAATACATACTAGTAATACTCTAGGGATTAGAAATTAGAGAATAGAGATTAAGGATTAGAGCCTGAGTAGAGACTAGAGACTATAGAATAGAGAATAGAGATTAGAGTTGGATGTAGTAAAGATTAGAATTGTTGAATAGAGACTAGAGATTAGAGAATAGAGTTGGATGTAGAGATTAGAGTTGGGTGTAGTAAGATTGGAGAATAGAGAGAATAAGGATTAGAGACTAGAAAATAGAGAATAGAGAATAGAGAATAGAGATGTAGTGAAGTGAAGTGAAGTAACATGAATTAAGTTTCATGTGTATGCAGTGAGATGAGTATGAGTATGAGGAGTATGAGCGTAGTATGAGTATGAGTAAATACTTCATCTAGATAGCACATGCAGCAGCCTATATATATATATATATATATATATACTCCGAGTCAAGTAGATATCTGGATAAATTCCCTATTAAAGGATTGTATTTTTTCCGTGGATATTTCATACGCTGTCAAAAATGGATATATAAATTGAGTAGGTACGAGAATATCCATAATTCTTTACCGAGATCTCCTTATCCACTTTCACTTCCACATCCACTTCCACCTTTACCTCTTTCCCTTCTTCTTCTTCCCCTTCGCACCCCCTGCACCACCCGTAACGATCTTTCCACTACCCGGTGCTTCAACTCCTTCTAGCGCATCATCTCTCACAACTCCACCTTGAGTAGTATCCATAGCCTTCTTCTTCCCTTTTTTCCCCTTTGGTCTATATGAACTTCTATCCTTAAGCGGTAACCATCTCTCTAGATCCATTTTCTTCCCCTCCTCGAAATCTTTTGGTAATTTAGATTTGCGCGTCCCTATTGTCTTTTGCTTCTTTGTCGGTGCGTCATTTTCTTTCTCGTCTAAAGCGCGTTTCTTTGATAAGTTGGATGACTCCGCGGCGTTATTCGATGCTATAGATGGAATACCGGCATTTTCTAAATCTTCAGCATCGATATCGGAGATGAGTTTGGAGATCGGAGTAAGTTTATCGAGGTCTGAGGATATCTTGGAGAAACCAGATGAGGCGTATGACGCGACACACCCGGCGATTGCTATACGGTCGGTGGCGTCTTGAGAGCGAAGGGAAGAAAAGATTTCGCCTGCTGCTTTGGAATCTTCGGGATCGGAGGATTGAAGTAGGGAGATACCTGCTGCGTGGAAGAGAGACGGGGAAGGTTTTGATTTCAGTCGCCAATACGAGGCTGATTTTCCAAGCTCTGCATTTATAGAGCTCGTGCGGCCAGTCGAACGATAAAGAGATACGAGAAGCGCCACTAATCCAGGCGCAAATCGGACGTCTTGGTCTGAGGAATTGGTGGATTCCTCGAGACGCTTGAAAAATGCTTCAAGAAGGGAAATTGCTGGGCTAGGATTGTTCGTCAAAACGTAAAGTTGGATGATGGTAAGGATCAATCCAACATCATTTGGTCGTTTCTCAAGGAGTCGTAGTATCTGCTTTAGTGCGGCTTTTTCGGCTTTATCTTCTGCGTGAGCTGCGGCATTAAGGACGGAAAGACTATTAATTGATGGTGAGATAGTTGGAGATGGCGATTTCGAGATAACGGATAATGTAGACTTCGCTACGCCCCCATATTTCAGAGCCTGAAGTTCAATAGTGTAGTGATTTCGGTTCAGAATGTTCGCTTGATGCTCGAATTGCCTCTCTCCATGCGACAATTTGGGCACCGAGTCAAAGATCCTTTTCAAAAGGTATGGATTTTGAATGTCTTTCGATGTAGCTAAGGCATTATTCTGTGCGATGATTTTTGTTTGAGGTTCCGGTACACTGTATTGGTCAGCGTCAAGTTTTGTAGACATATTTGGCACACATACTCAGCGACATCGATCATCTTTTTTAATACCTCTGCCTCCTCAGTCTTGCCCAATTTCGTCAGCACAAAGGCCTGTTGTACCATGATAGGTAAAATTTCTGCCCTCTTTTCCTTGTCACTCAATTCATCTAGAGCCTCACACAAATCTCTTGCCCTCTTCAGCAGAAAGTTGCCCTTGTTATAATCTCCTTTTGCAATGCAACCGCATGCAACATTGTACGCCGTCTCGAATGCCTCAAAGTCTTCATTCCTGCTCTCCATTTCACCGTTTCCACCTTGCCACGCCAATTGCGCATCCACAGCCAGGCCATTAATCCTCAAATCCATATCTTCACCTTCAATTTCCGTACCCTCTACTAATTGCTTGTAAATCTCCTGCGCATCCTCAAATCTCTCAGCACGATACGCAACCTGTGCTGCAACATGTTTCAAGCCCCTACTATTGCCCTCTTTACATACTTTCTCCGCATCTGCCAAGTTCCCTGTCTTATAGAGAGCATAAGCGCGTTCGAGAATACATTGCGAAGCCAATTTGTCCCCACCGTCATCGAGCGCTCTTAGTGCATCGTCGAATCGATCGAGTTTGAGGAGGGCAATGGCGCGGGTATGTAGGGCACTGGAGTCGAGTTTAGAAGTCTTCAATACGGCATTTGTAGCTTTGAGAATTTCGTCATGGTCTGTGATAGAGGCGCTTCGAAGGAGGGAAGCGAGTGTTGCGGTAGGATTGGCCATGGTTTGAGATGGCAGATTGTCGAGTTTAGGAGAATGGTTTATTCTTTGCTGTATCCATGCAATATTTGATTGCTGAAGGGTTATTATACGAAGTTGCACGGGTGTAAACTCAGAAGTTGAGGCTTAGTGAATGCGAAATGGAGATGGTGTCAAAAGGTTGGGGTAGGGGTAGTGGGGGGGGAATGATGAAGGTGGACATAAAAAATAACCGACAACGATCGACTTGTCGACAGCTAGCGTGGCAGAATTTCACCGCTTTGGGAGTCTGGGGTTCTTGTGCCCCTTTTCTCAATCTGCTCCCGGTGAGCCACTCATGATTATTCAAATCTTGACTTCCGATGAGTTATCGACAATGTTCGTGTCTAGCAATTGCCTACGATACTACCTACATATGCTCAAGCATGGAGCTATGTGCCACTCAACCTAAATCATCCAATAATTTACCATCCATCAGTCTGGGTACCAAGTTCCATAACATGAAATAGAGGAATATCTGCGTCATACCGCATTTTAGTCATGTTGTATTACACATGAGCCATCAGACGAGTCTAGTGACTGCTATCGTCTAAGCATCAAATAGACACCCCTTTTAATTCATTCTTCACTACACTACACTCGGACAGTACAAGATATGAGTATATTTGCCAACTTCAACCTTCTTTCTGTTCACGTTATGAGCGAGGACAAACTTCTCGCATCCTTTGAAGCTTTTCTTAAAATGCCCAAGTCTACCAAGAATCAAGAACACACACAACCTAGGTAATAAACCACTTCCAACCAGGCGACAGTGCCTCTTCTCCCTTTGTATATCAAAGAATAGTTCTCTCCAAGACATCAACATCTACGTAAAAAGCGAAAATCTGCGCACTTGATATCACTATATTCATAAATCATAATCTGACATCCTAAGTAGTTACCCCCTAGAATTTAAACCGCCTCATCCGCCGCCACACTCTCGTAAGCCCCCGCATCATCCCCACCCCTCCTCATCTCCATTCTCGACGGCGTCTCATACATCTTCGTATAATTGACGACCTGTCCGCCCAACATCGCGGCACCATTCTCTCTCTTCCCAAAAACTGGTGCCGTATCACACCAAAAATCCTTACAATTGCGGATACAGCCGCGGGAAAAGGGGTTTTGAGGTGCCCGACGGCGATTTTTGCTTCCTTCGTAGCCGTGGAATGCAGTTTCGACGAATGTGTCAACGCCGAGGATCTTTTTCCATTGGGCGAAACAGCCGGCTTTGTGGGCATGATGGTGGCCGCCTGGTGCGTGGGTTGGTGGTAGAGCGGGATCGGGACCGAGCCCAGCGTTTCCGACTTGGCCGCCGGCTCGTGATGTAGCACCAGTGGTTAAAGCATTGGTAATCGCTTGGGAAGCTTTGCCTCCAGAGTGTGTGCCGCGCATATTCTCCCAGGTCGTCATTGCTCTTGATATCTGTATCAATTGAACAAAGAGTAACATAGTAACCCATGTTAATTGCAAGATTGCCCATAATACCAAAACTAATGTGTAAGGATCTGAATTAACAATCCCGCACAGTGCAGGCGAAAGAATGTTGCACTCCTGCTCGCCTTTCCCAACGAAACCTTCGAAGTCTGCATTTCGATTAGCTTGAATTTTGAAAGATTTTAGATTGACACTTACATCCGATAGCAACTCTAACTATGAAGATAATTCCAAGTTCCAAGCATACGAGGTAAAGAAAGAAATGCCTATGGTTATTGACACCAACGCAATTGTTGATCCAAGGGCAATGACTAGGTTGTTTGATTAGCGAAATTATTGAAGAAAGGGGGATATATTGAGCTTACTGGTCATGCTTCGCTACGCATCGGTTACATCGCCTGCAATGTTTACTTCTAAGAGGTTGGCGAACCATGCAATGAACGCAAAAGTTTTGCTCGTCGAATTTCCATAGGCTCAACAATTCATCAATTACAGCTTTCTGCTGAGTTAGACCACCCAGTTTTGGCACATGACCTGGTTCGTATACCATTGAACAAAAATAGAAATATCCAGTAAGACTGTAAAAGATGAAGAACAATAGGTTCGAGAGCGGATAAGTCCCGTAGGTTGCTGAGACTGTCAGTATACAATCCCATAGTATAACGAATTCCGGATCACAAACCTGGTAACATGGTTGTCAACCATCTCACTCCGACCCAAAATAATGTGGCAGCGAAGATTCCTGCAAGCCAAGGCTAAATTATCATATTTGATTAGCATGAAACTTGAAGCTACGGTAGGATATTCTTCAAGACATACCGTTTTGTGTAAGTGCCTCATATCCGAAGGTGCATACTCTAATACCTGTTGGGCCAACCATTGCAAAGAATACCCAAAAAACAGAGACATAGGCACACCGATAAAAACTACCATGTGACTACTGATCATGATCATAGTCCATAGAATTAGGAACGGCCAGAAAAAGAAGAATTTGTTCATGAATGCACGCTTATCCTTCAACAGCCACGAAGACATGGGGAAGCTGACAACGACTGGCATGGCATCCTCATTGTAGCCACTCTCTGTCAGTGCCTTGTGCCAAACTGTCTCCGTCTTCATCTCTTGAGCTGTGATAGCTGGAGTTTTGCCAGTGGAGGTTTCAGCGAATCTGTCTGCTCCATACTCAATCAACTTTTGTATGCACCCCTGAGATCCCTTCACCAACGCCCAATGCAGTGCGGTAAATCCAGTTTCGTCCATAGCGTGAACATCGGCGCCCCATCTCAGAAACAAATCCACACAATTCGGTAAACCCTTGTACGCAGCCCACATCAGAGAAGTGTGCCCCTGGGTATCGAGTACGTCGACATTGATGTTTTGGTGTAAGAGAAGAACAAGTAGGAAGATGTTGCCTTCGAATGTAGCAAGATGAAGAATATTATATCCTTGAACATCCGTAATCAGAGGATCGGCCCCATTTTCCAATAATAGGTGAACAATATAATAATGGCATCTCTGGGCGGCCCACATCGCCGCTGTAGCTACAGACTCCCCTCCTTTCTTATTTACATCTGCGCCAGCTTTCAGAAGGAATTGGCACATGGCATACTGGTTATTAATAGCTGCCCACTGTCTCATGTCATTAGCCAGCGCAATTTTGCATTATGGAAGTTGACTCGCACATGTAAAGGTGTTATGCCCTCGCCATCGCAATATGTAGCCTCGAAAGTACCATTATCGAATAGCTTCTCTATCGATTGAATGTCTCCTTTTCGAGCGAGTTGCATTATATCATCTACGGGTTCTTCTGGAGGTGTCATATCACCAAGCTCTAAATGATTGTCATCACTGATAGTCGGCGCCACGGTATTCGACTTCGCACTTGGCATTATTGGGGCATTCTTCCTCGAGGATTCCGTCCCAGATGAGGAATTCGAGTCTCCAAAGGCCATTTCGGGAACAAAAAGTCCGATTCGAGGGTGTTTGGGAGTGTTGAAGAAGTGAATTTCGATTATGGTATGTAGGGTATCTCAATCATCAAATCGTGAACTTTATGCCAACATAAACATAGTAACAGAGTAAAGCAAAGACAATAATGAAGAAGAAATCCAACTGAAGAGCTGATGAGTTGTGTTCAGTGGCTTCAATTGAAATTGAGGTTCTTGCTTACATGAACTACTAAACCCTACGAGGCTGAGTACTTTATTTTAATACCCAAGCTTGCCTTATGGCAGAAGCGGTGACAGGGGCATTATGTAGCACAGCTCAGTGTTGTGGAGCCCCTAACTTACCTAGGTAACTCCTGTAAACTCATCCGTCACCACAAAAATAATTTCCATAGCCTTGTGAATGAACAACAACACCACCACCCATCACCCATAAGGACAACTTGAGAATATTTAAAGTCCTTTGAACGTCAGATTTCGTGGTAATAAAGCTCTATTCTTGTGGTCATGTCCTCTTCACAGGACTGGGTTCATACTCTTATGAACCCCTCGCCTTTGGGTTTGATCATTACAATTATTCTCGTCCTCTCGATACCCATATTCCTCCACTCTGTTGTCTTCCGTGCAACTGGTTTCACAAGCTTGCCCTCCATCTTGTTAATTGGACCAAGTGGCTCAGGAAAAACTGCACTTCTAACTCTGGTAAGTCGCTCCTCAGATAACAAATTCTGGCTTGCATTGAGTAAGTAGTCATTACAAGCATTGATAACCAACCGATAATAGTTCGAGCGAGAGAATAAACCTGCCACCACTCATACTTCTCAAACGTCTTCATCTGCTGAGTGCTCTCTGCCAGTCGATACAGTAGCTGCTTCGAATAAATTCCGATCAGTTAATGATCCTACAAACCAAGTTCACAAGAAATTTCTCTTGATTGATACTCCCGGTCATGGAAAACTACGACACCATGCATTCGAAAACCTTACAACTTCTCAGAATCTTCGAGGTGTAATATATCAAGTTGATGCCACTACATTGGGAGCTGGAGATGAAGGTCTGAGAGAGGCTGCGGATTATCTACACGATCTACTCCTTCTCATCCAAAAACTCATGGATGGAAAAACTACTACAAAGGCACCGAAAGAACTACCAGTACTCATTGCTGCCAATAAGATGGATCTTTTCACTGCTCTTCCAGCCGCATTGGTCAAGAGCAGTTTGGAAAGAGAGATTACCAAAGTTAGAGTCTCGAGATCGAAAGGTCTACTCGATTCAGGAATGTCTACAGAAGAGGACGAAGACAAAGATGAATGGCTAGGAGAAATGGGATCTAGCGACTTCAAGTTTTCACAGATGGAGGAGTTCAACATTTCTGTTGAAGTAGCTGGTGGTAATGTAATTGGGTCTGATGGTGGATCAGTTGATGCTTGGTGGAGGTGGGTAGCCAACGGATTGTAAGCGAATAAAGCTTCTTCCACATTTCATAATGAAGTTCATATAATACCCCCTTTATGTATCTCATTTAAACGAAAAAAAATTAAGTGAATAGCTCATCACATTCGTTGAGACGATGAAAGACTCTTTAGATATTCTGAAGTTGTTTCTGATTGACAGAATATTTCTTGATATGCTTCATGAAAGAGCTTGGCTAAGCTCTAGCTGTTATTGTCATACATGAATCAACCATACAGTAAAGCTAGACACTTTGCATCCTTTGTAACATCATTTCATATAACTACTCAGCTCAAACAATTCATCTCGAATATATGTAGGTCATGGAAATACGGTCTTCTTCAGTTCACTTTCTTATTATTCAGTATTTTATTCTCTTCCCAAGCGACTAGATGACTGGTCGTTCTTGGTCGTTTACGTGAGGACCGTTATTGATCTCGGCTTTTGCCAAGATCTCGGCTTCCACAACCCAAACTAAGTTCTTTGATCAACCACAAAACTTCGAAATGTCCTCAACTCTCCAATTCCCTCCTACCTATGTTCTCGGATTTCTATTTGATGAGAAGGAAAGAAAAGAGTTGGAAAATGAATTGGATAAGGTTCACGCTTTACGGTATATTATTCAAGACGCGGAGGTGGGACTTACAAAGATTCCTACAAAGGCGAGAGTGGAATTTGAGCTGAGGAGGTTGAAATTTATGACGGTTGATGTTGACAAGGTTGAAGAAAAGAGAGAGAAGTTGGAGGAAGTGAAAGTTGAAGTGAAAGAGGAGGTGAAAGAGGAGGTGAAAGAAGAGGTGGGAAAGAAGAGAAAAGCTGGGAATGGAAAGAAGAAGAGGAGGGAGCGAAGAAGTACGTTGAATAAGGCTGGGAATGAGGTCATTGAACTTAGTTCCAGTGGAGAAGAAGATGAAGATGAAGGAGTAGAAGTAAAAAGTTTGGAGATGGCTAGGAAAAAGCTGAAGTCAGCTGATGAGACGAGTTCTCATGCCCCTATTGGCAGTAGATATGGACAAGATACTTTCAAAGTTCTGAAGGTTGATTGGTATTTCGATTCGGTAAGGAAGGGAACCTTGCTTCCAATGAACAATTACCTAATATACGAAGGGCGACGAGAAATGGAACGATCGAAATATCTTCCACAAACTATTCTATCTCTCGCGGCAGCTGATTCTGAGGGCTACACCAAGCACAATTACAATCATCATTATCGACATATAGAATCCAGCAAACCACTTACCCGGCCTCCCCTTCTCACACAAACCACCTCTGAGCATGACGATCCCAAGCATTTCCCTCCTTTACCAGAATGCCTCAAAGCAAACTACTCATGCGAACGACCCACACCATTAAACTCTCCAAACGATGATTTCATCATCCAACTCAAATCCATCAAATTGAAACGTCTTCTAGATGCCGATCAAATCGGTGTTCGCGCTTACAGTACTTCAATCGCCTCGATAGCAGCATACCCCTATACCCTAACATCACCCACGGAAGTCCTGCAGCTCCCCGGCTGCGATCAAAAACTCGCTAACCTCTTCCTCCAATATCAAAATACTGGCACCCTTGACGAAGCGGTCGAATTTCAACACGACCCACGCATGCAAGTTCTTCGTCTCTTCTACAATATCTGGGGTGTAGGCGACACCACCGCTCGCGATTTCTACGATAAAAAGGGCTGGCGCGACCTCGATGATGTTATTGAATATGGCTGGGATAATCTTTCCCGCGTGCAACAAATCGGTGTAAAATACTACGATGATTTCTTACTTCCCATTCCCCGCGCAGAAGTCGAATCCATTGGCTCAGTGGTGCTTTCCGAAGCTCGGCAAATCGATCCGGGGTATCAGATGATTATCGTAGGGGGATATCGCAGAGGCAAATTAGAAAGCGGCGATGTAGATATCATGCTCACTCATCCAGACGAAAACCGCACCATGAATTTTGTGTCAGAGTTAACGGAGAGATTAGAGAGTTTGGGATGGATTACACATGTGTTGCTGGAATCAACCGCGAATTCTAAGAGGGGACAGCGTGCTGTGCAGGTGAGTCATTCGAGTGAGGGGAGGGAGGGAAAACATGCCGGGTTTGATGGTTTGGATAAAGTGCTCGTGGTGTGGCAGGATATCAATGTCCCTGATTCTGTTTCCCATACCCCGCAATCAATATCTACATCTGAAACAACAAAAGAAACCAAAAACCCCAATCCTCACAGGAGAGTCGATATAATCATAACACCCTGGAAAACCGCCGGCGTAGCAATTATTGGTTGGAGCGGTGGAACAACATTCCAAAGAGATCTGAGGAGATACTTGAGAGAGAAAATGAATTGGAAATTTGATAGTAGTGGGGTGAGGGATCGGAGCACGGGGGCGTGGGTCGATCTCGAGGAGAGTGTGCAGCTGGAGGGAGGTGCGAATGGGAGTGTGGATTTGTTGGGCAAATTGAGGGAGAAAGAAATGGCTGTTTTTGAGGGATGCGGTCTGGAGTGGAGGGAGCCGTGGGAGAGGTGTACGGGGTAGGGGAGGAGTGGTAGTGTAGTTGGGGTAAATAAAGAAAGGGGGATGGATGATGGAAGCTATGGATCTACCTAGTTCTACATCATTATTCATGAGGAATGTACACTCTACGTCTGCGTGCAGCGTACTCAAAATACGATTTCTACAGAAAGAAATTGACGGATGCTGAGAGACAAAGTAGCTAGCTATTCGACAGGACAGGACAAGCCAGCGATAGATAGATAAGTGTATACGCGGATAGAAAGTGAGACGTCATACCTGACCGACAAGAGAAGGCTTGAGTATTACAAAGTAACAACTCTTTTATAGTGAGCAATGAGTGCTACTACTGTAATCATAATGAGGAGTGGAGCTACTCGAGTAGAGCAATATGCATAGGTACCATCGCACCTAAGGTACTTGTACATAATTCATTCATGACCTTTCAACTTCCTCATTGATCCTTTTACATTTTCTTCACTCCAGTACAAGTATCTGTACTTGATTATAAATGCATGTTTCGTGAACTTTAAAGTGAGGGGATTTTGATAGGGTTCTTGGTATTGCAATGCTTAAGAGATATTCGATGAAATATAAGCTTAATATTATCGCTTGGTTAATTGGTCGAAGCGAAGACTAGTATTCTTGAGTAGTGTGATATAATTATGATGAAAAATGCATTTTTGGTCGGTTTACCTAGGTACTCATGTGAAATGGTTTCTATAGTATGATCCTGAGGAGCTAGAGCAGGATTAAGTTGCGATGCTTGTGAGAATGATAGTATGATATCCAAGTCATTTGTATGGCAATGCAATGAAGACTGATCACAATACAGCACAAGTAGTATTTCTGATTGGTCTCTGTTTGCCTAATCAAAGTGCATCTCATTCCGTGAATCATTTCTTCGTAGTTGACATTTTTCGGTCATCATGTAATTTTCGTATTAGGTCAGATCTTGTTGAAGCTCTCAAGGAAATTATTTATCTTCTTCTGGTTCCATCAATCTCCAAGTCACATTATGCAATTCTGGGAAGCATTAGCAAAAGTCGTACCTCCAAGGTGACAAATTAAACTGACCTCTCAATCAAATGCAAACCAGAAGCAGTCTCAACCACACGACTAATCTGACCTGGTTTCAAGTCAAAAGCTGCATCCTCAAACTCTTTTTGCATGTCCCCTCTGCCGAAGAAACCAAGATCTCCCTTCTTGCGAGCAGAACTACAATCGGATTCCTTAGAGGCAAGTTCACCCAAGGATGATGAACCAGAACGGATATGAGCTTCATGTCGAAGAATTATACTCAGCGCTTCTTCCTTTGTGCGAGTAATCTCAGCCTATAAATTTATTAGAAACTAGCCCGTCACACACAATAGCTTATTGAAAACCAACCTCACGCCAACTGCTCGGCCTCCTACTATCTTTGTGCTTAACCAGTAAATGACTAGCTCTGATCTTTCCCTGGTTCTCCTCATAACCATTGGCACTATCGGCAATCTCTGATGCACTGTAGTTCTCGGCCATATATTCCTTCAACTTGTCGGTATCTGTGCCTGCTGGAGGTTCCCAACTTGATATGGTTTGGGCTTCATTGAAATAGTAGGGAATGTTCTTGGACTTCGATGTGCGAACTTCCCATCCTGATGGTAAACCTGCCTCTGCCTGTATGAAGGGGTCAGTAATGGCCAAGAAGCTTAATTACATTATGTTGTAGAGTTAAACAGTCCAATAAGAAAGTAAACATTTAACTAGCAAAAAGAAGTGGAAAACGAAAGTAAAAAGGGAAAATTTTACCATTGTCGTTGTGTAACTGTTTATGGATATCAATCTGATACAAACAATTGATTCAAACTTGTGATCAATTTGATAAGTCTTTTGGGTGTTTTGGTATACGTTTTCTCGTGATTGTATAGGTAATCTTGATTGGGTTTTTGATTGTATTTATCCAAAAGAAAGAGTGAGGTGATGTGGAAGATGCAGCAGCAGCATGAACTGGAAGGAAGGTAGCTTGGTCACAGGGTGAATCAAATCCAATTGAGCTTAGCGGTGGGGCGGGGTCAATTACATTAGTAAGCAAGGTTAACAATCTCATGGACAAGGATCAAGAATTCACCTAAGTTCTAGCCAAATCCACAATCGAAATCCACATTTTTCCATAATCCATAAATCAATCCATCATCGACGATTCGACATTGTCATTTCTCCAGCAACGCAACCAACGAAATACAGTACTGTACAGATATTTCTTCCACAACCACATCATTGACTTCAGCAAGCTCTAGCATTTGATTAAAGAACAACCTTTATTCAACCGAGCACTACGATCCCTCTATTGCGACAAGATTATTATCGTCTAAACTCACATCGAAGAAATATCATCATGGCATCTCCATCATCCAGTTCCGGCGAGGAGCCCAAGAAGAATGAGGAACAAATTACATTCCGATTTTGCAGCGAATGGTAAGCCTTCATCATTCCGTCAAAGGCTTTTGTCGTCACTGCTAACCACCATTTTCTAGTTCAAATATGTTATATCCAAAGGAGGACCCTGGAACCCACCGCCTACAATTCGCATGCCGTACTTGTCAATATTCCGAGGAAGCCGTCTCTTCTTGTGTCTTCAGAAATGTTCTTAACAACGCCGTCGGTGAGACGGCAGGTGTGACTCAGGATGTTGGGTCTGATCCCACTGTGGGTTTACTTTTATGTCTTTTATGCGGCCATGTGGTCATATGCGAGGGAAAGGTATCGAGTACCATGGGTGTGATAGAGGTTTAACTGGGGAGAATCTTTATAATGGGGGATGTTGTGTGGAAGTTCTGGCGGCTATTGTGGTCTCTTTTGAATCCTCCGCTGACATTTCGATTTCTTTGCTTCTTAGCTTCCGCGATCTAATAAGACTTGCCCTGCTTGCAGGAACGAGGACGCTGTGTTTTTCCAGTCTCAACAGAGATCTGCAGAAACGGGAATGGTAAGCTGCATCTGCTGGCATTGCCTGACTGTACTAATGGGGAATCTTAGAAACTCTTCTACGTCTGCTGCGGGTGCGGTCATATTTTCCAGTGATACACCGGATTTTGGTGCTCGGGAAGGCGTTGTTTATGGGAAATCAGGCTTATGGAGTCTGTCGCATGGATTGGAACACTCGAAAAAATATCATAGGACTTCAGGGCATGTCAATATGGGTGGAATATATTTTTCAATGGCCAAATTCCTTAAAACGCCGGGTTCGCTATGCTACACCGATTCTCTTTTATACAGTCCTATCTACAGATGCATAGGTGCTAGTGATAGAATTTTCGACCACTTCGCCTTTCTTAATTCTGTGCCAACCACACCTATAAAATATTAACAAAAGAGAAGACACAATTGGGGATAGTCGGCACTACTAACCATTCAATCTTGTTCCAATGGGCTCTCCCGTCTTATTTATCAAGACGCAAGCATTGTCATCGAATTTGACAACACTCCCATCTGGTCTCTGTAATTTCTTGACCGTCCTGACTACAACCGCATGTCTAACATCTCCTCTTCTAACCTTATTCGCCGCCGATGTAGAAACAGTTGCACCTGGTCCTGTTTCCGAGAAGTTTCGTTGCTTCTGTACTACTACAATAATGCGTTCTCCTGATAAATCCCGTCAGACTTGAGGATCGAAGGAATGAAGCCGAAAGAGATCCTAACCAATCTTTGCATGCCTCTTCATTTTCATGACCTTGACACATTCTACCACAGCAGCGCCAGAATTGTCGATGCAATTAAGCATTGTCTATATATCGTAAGATTTAGCACAACGGTAAAAACCATAAATGAAAGGCATGTTATATATGCGCAAGCAAATGAATTAACATAACATACCTTGAGTTGAATCATCTTGTGGACAATACGATTGAGGAGGGGTTCACTTTCGTATTGCTGGAGATTCTCTACCTATTGTCATTGTCAAAGTATTAGACACTAGTCTATATAAGGTATAGGCGAAGTTCACCCACATTCAATCCCTCAATAATCAAAAAGGTTCCTATTTCCAGCCTCTCCTCTTCAACTACCTAGTATTCTCCTCCTAACTTATTGAGATTGGCTAATAATAGGGGTGAAAATATACTTCATTTTCTATTTAAGGACATTATGTATCGTTAGGAAACGCAAATTTCTTTCCTGCTTACTTTCTTTCTTCTTTCTCTTACCGTTGAAAGTATTTCGGTCTCATCCAAATACCAAGGTTCCCATAACATTACTTATTACTTATTAGGTTCAGCACATAAGTATTGCTTTCCTTCATTCTACTAAGCAAAGCAAGCAAGCAAAGTCGGAGAAGAAGTCATCCGCTTGAAGGCAGTGAATGTATGTATTACGGATCACAAGAACCGGTTCGAATAGCTCGGCCGTAGGAGACGATCCACTTTGATACATTCATTCTGATATTTGGTTTTCCCTATCGTACAATCCATACGCTCACTTGGATATTTGTCAATTTACTCAAGTCCTCAACATATCTCGTACAACACTATCGTCTTGCCTCGGCACAAAAACTGGCCTTTTTATAGCCTGACTTCCGTACACATTTACCTACTACTCAAACCGTCATAATGCCACCAAAAGCATCTTCATCGAAAAAGGAGCGACTTACACTTGCTCAATTAAGTTCATACGACGACATTCTAACAGATGCGCTTGTTGATCAAGTAAGTTCTTGCATAGGAAATTCAAAGTTATAACTTCTCCTAATACTAGCCGACAGGTTTACTACTGGACCAACATTCGCAAAAATCGCATTGCATACCATTCATCCCGTGGGGTTAGAGAGGAAGATGTGACAAAAATCCTCCAAAATGCAGTCATTGTCGAAAAGAACCCCGCAAAAGCAGAGGCGCAACTTTTAGCACTCTCGGGTCTCAAGAAATTCCATCAAAATCTCAATTCGGAGAAAGAGAAGGAGGAATTTCGGCGCCATCTGAGAAAGTACATCAATATCTATCTCCCAGATTGCCCATTCGAAGTTTCGAGCACGAATCGGTATACGGTTGTTACACACGAAGCGGCAATTGTTGCACGGAGAGAGATTAGAAAAGGAGAGGTGGTCAAGTATCTTTGCGGAATTCAAGTAATAATGACACCTGAGGAGGAAGCGCATCTCGGTGTTAGTCGCAGAGATTTTAGCATTGTCATCTCAAGCCGCAACAAGGCTGCATCGATTTTTCTCGGACCAGCTCGGTTCGCGAATCATGATTGTGGCGCAAATGCTCGTTTGCTGACCACCGGAAGTGCTAGAATGGAGATCGTTGCAGTTAGGGATATCGAAATTGGGGATGAAATCACCGTCACATACGGGGACAACTATTTCGGCGAAGATAATTGCGAATGCCTATGCAAAACTTGTGAAGACAATCGCCAAAATGGATGGGCCCAGGGCACCGATGACGGTAATGGGTCTATTCCCAAATTATCGATTGAAAAGGACCCGGCGCTCCTTGACGCACCCGGTTATAGTCTTCGGCGCAGACGACCACTCGCTTCCTCAGCATCTGAATCACGATCTGTATCCATGACACCTGACGTCAATTTACGGCCACACGTACCAAAGTTGCCACCAAGGTCGGGCAGATCAGCTTCGTCGACTAAAAATGGACGCTCTGCTGCTATGAATTCACCTTCGTTGGGGTCAGCTCATTTCGAATCTCAGGGAGACGAACCCAATGAGGATGATCATCTATCACCACCAAAACCATCAAAGCGAAGAAGAGTACCTAGCGAGGATGATTTGCCATCGAGCACCCCGAAAAGGCGGCGGGCATCTCAAGATATTGAGCGTTCACCATTGGGACTTTTGCATGGGGTGAACAGAAGTGATGTACTCAGATCCCCCGAATCAGATATACTCCAAGAAAGCCTTTTGGTTGAATGGGGAGAACCTGCAACACCAGCAGTACCGGAACTAACGATAGATCGCGGAAGGTCTCGACCATCAAGGTCAAGCACACTTAAGCGAAAGAGAGATTCTGAGGAACCAATGATTTCTCCATCAGAAAACACCAAGAGACTGAATACTCAGTTGATTGTTAAAGTGGAAGAGTTTACTCCAAACACATTTTATGGGATTAACAGGGATTCCGCCTTACCAAGTTCTGCCTCAGAATCTAGAAGAGACAGTCTACAATCCTCACCTTCAGGCGAAGGGATAGGAGAAACCGATGCGACGTCAGTTGATGAAGATACGATTGTGGTGCATGATGTGAAACCTTCTTCCGCCGGTCCTAAACCTAAACGACAAGGTTATGTGAAGAGAGGAAACCATGGAGGTCGAAGACGAGGACCATTATGGGAGAAGGAAAAGTTGTTGAAGGGGAAACATCCCAAAGAGATACCATTAGCGACCCGAAAAGTAGTCAGTGCTCCATTAGAAGCTGTTCTTATCAGTTCAAATACCAGCAGGCAACATCCAGCATTGCAAGAGGATGCAGATTCATCCGTGCTATCTGATCTTGATTCCGATGTGGAACTTGACGACTCAACGATGACAATCTCACAGAGGCACTCACAACCCAAGATTCGACGACGTCGAAGAGGGGTAGTTGCACCACCAACCACAGATATTGATCATGCGCCCAATGTACGAATTCCCGGTGACTACGTACTTACACATACACTTCTTGCCGAACCAGCATCAGCATGGATCAACTGTAAGATCTGTGAAGAACCCTTCGTCCAAAAAGACGCCTACTTTACGCGCTCCTCGTGTCCCAGATGTGAACGGCATAGTAAGCTGTATGGATACATGTGGCCAAAAACAGACAAAGAGGGTAAACATGATGAGGAGGAAAGAGTCACGGATCATCGCACCGTTCATCGCTTTATCAAGCCTTCCGAGGAGAAGATTATTAGGAGGCAGAGTGGACGAGGGAGTACAGGAAGTCGAGATGTTACAACGGAGGCCAGTGTGACTCCGGTAGCGACAGTCAGGGGTGATGGGGATAAAAAATCAAAAGGGAATACATTAAAGGTTTATGGGAGGAGGAGTGAGAGAAGTAGGAGAGATAGATATACCATGTAAGATATTTGGGTGGGATCGATAGAAAGAATGGGGGTGGATAGATGCTGGGGATTCTCTTGTATTTGATATTTCATTGAGCATTCGCGGTATGGTCATAACTACAGCAGTAGTTTGGTGTTTTGGTGTTTGGGAACCGGTATACAGGCGGGGATAATATTATGGGATGGAATATGAGGAACGGTTTGTATTATAGAGGAGAATGGATGGATGGATGGATGGGAGGATGAATCGATATACGGAGGGGCAAAGCCATTTATTGTATTATAAGTTAGAAGTGAGAGGTACATTCTCCATTGCATTGCATTGCATTGATCAGTGTTCAACTTTCAAGATGAATGTAGATGTATAGCCTCAATGGCTAAATATAATCATAACCGAATGCTAGATGGGATGAGATGAGATGGGATATGCATTCCTGGCAGTATTCCCCATCCAGCTCCGGCTCTAGTCTAGTGGGCGGGCGTAAGAGATCAGTTAAGGTAGTCTTATTTTTGTGTGGCCAAATGAACGAACAAACGAACGAACGGGTGGAATATAAAAGTGGTAGTGCGTAGCTTTACTATCTTCAGTTGTGAGGTGGGATGAGATGGGTTTGAATGGATCGAATGGGTTTGAATGGGAGGTAGTGTGGAATTTTGGGAAAGACGTTGGAGAGGGGAGGAAGTGAGGAAGGGGGGAAAGGAAAGGAAAGGAGGTAGAGGTAAAGAGGAAAGGAAAAGGGGAAGGAGGAAATAAGGGACAGAGGGGAGGAAAGATAAGCCGAGTAGGATAACTTGTGTAATCAGAACATAAGTATACAGAGAGTGGAGATGTAGAGACGAGGACATCAAAAGAAGGAACGAGACAACTTGAAGGACAAGATATTCAGCAAAGCAGAGGCATATGATAAAACAAGGAAACCGCGAATGTAATTTCAAGGAAGGGAAGAAGGTAAATGGAATAGAAAGGTAGAAGAGAAATACGGTAGGTCATCTATATATATATATATATATATATAATTCAGGCTTTCTGTCGTTCGAGGTTCGAGGTTCGAGGTTCGAATTATATATGTATGATATATTATGATATAGATATATGATATGAAGTTATGAACATATACGGAAGATCCAAAATAGAAAGATAGAAAGATAGCCTCCCCGGACCCCTAGGCTAACTTGCAATTAGCTCTTTACAAAAGAGAGGAAATACTATATTACATTGCTATACTACACCACAAAACACAGTAGACGAAATAAAACAAGGAACTAGTATCTATTCATTCACAATCTTCAAAAAGATAAAAAAGATAAAAGAAATTGAAGATTGAAATAGTGTATAGTGTATAGTATGTACGAGTATATTCTATTCTATATCATCTCTTCCTTCTTTTAATGCAGATTTATAGATTTATTTACTATATACGAGTACCAGTAGATGAACTTAGACTCACTTAAATTATACATTTTATACTCGTACCTTTCCTCTATCTTCCTCCCCCCCTTTCCTATCTCCTCTATCTCATCCCTCTCCCCCCCTCTATCTCTCTACATACACATCATTCAGAATCTCCGCTCATATTCCAATTCCGCTCTGCTCTGCTCTGCTCTCCTCTCCTCTGCTCCAAACATCTATTATCACATCACATCACACACACATCACACATCACAAATCTTACCACTCGTAGATAATAGATATGGATATGAATATAAATACACAACCGGTATTTTGCTTTCTTCTGTATCAGTATCCATATCCATATCAATCTATACATTCTTTCTAATATACTCACTACTCACTCGAGTAATCTTACAATAACTGAATAATGGCACACAGTACTGAGTAATGAAGAGAAAAAAAACAGCATAATACAATATCGAGCACTTGCACTTGCTTGAAACATCACACCACACGTACTCGAAAGTCATTGATTGCTTGTAAAGGCTATTAACATCAATATCAACATCAACACATATACTCGAGTACACATATACACATATACATATAAAACCTTACTCAGTACACTAACATTAAAAAATTCAAAATGCCACAACAATATATAAAACCATTCATTCATATTCATATCCACAACTCTCTCAATCATTGTATTGTAATGTGATATGATATAAAGTATTATAATATGCAAGAAAGCACCAGCTACCAGCTACCAGCTAGCTATAGCATGATATACTACACGTGAAACCATCTACTCGAGTAATAGTACACAGTCATTCTTTCACCCCTTTGCTCATCTCCTCTTTCTGCATGGTCTTCTGTATTGTCTTCGTTCTGGTTATTCTAGTATTTTCACACATAGATATTTGTATACCATTCGTATACCATTAACATAGACAATTCCCTCCCTCCCAGCTCTCCCAACCTTCCCAGCCTTCTCGCCCCTTCACATTCCCAGCTAGCTACCGAGGGGCGTCATTGAAAAATGCGAGCTAAGCTATTCATTCAACTCAATCTTATCTTATCTTGGGGTACGTACTCGAGGTCTCTAAATCCCACTTTGACGCAGTCTCTTGCGAGAACTACTGCCGGGTGTGCTGTGGGCTGGGTGCATCTTATCATTTTTTTCCCTCTTGAGCTTTTCGTCTAGGACACGTGCTGTTATTTGTTAGTATTTATATTTATATTTATCCAGACACACAACACAACACTGCTAATCACTATCCATTACAGCCTCCTTATCCCCATGCATACAAGCAGGGAAGAGGAAAAGCAAAAGGAAAAACAAAAGAAAAGAACGGAAAAAACTTACTCAAAACATCATAACCAAATTGTGGAAACTCCAAACACATCTCCCTAAACTCCGTCTCCGCCTCCCTCCTCAAAGTATGACTCCTCGTCGCCCAGAAATTCGCCACCGGCGCCCTAATCGTCTGATCATCCTTTTGCGTATGCGCATACACATATCTCGCATAAGCAATCTCACCCTTCGCCGTACTATTCACGCAGTGAATCTTGGAGCTCGCCAAGCTCTTCAAGCCGGGCATATTCAACATTTCCGCCAACGTATACACGCGCGCATGTTTGAGTAATTGGTCGCCAGATTCGTCGACTTCGGGTATCGCAGGATCATTTTCCAAGTCCCGCGATCCGGGAATCTTGCGTGGGAAATAATCGCTGGTGTAGAGGTACTCGAGAAAACAGCCGACGGCGTCGAGATTTTCGTCGATGAGATCGATGCGGCGTTCACTTACATCGTCGCTGAATTTCCCGCAGGCTTCTTCAAACCAGGGACTCTTGCATAAGAGTCCTTGATGCGCGTATAAGAGTGCTTGTTCATCGCCCTGTCCGACTAATAATCCAATAACAGGACTCTTTAAATAATCAATGTAGGTAATTCGAGCGGGGGTATCTTCCATGATGGTTTCTTGAAGGTCGGGAGCAGGGGCATTGGTGCCAGTTTCGGTGCCGGCTGACGCGTCGATTTCGATTACCACGGCGCTCGAGACATTCTCGCCCATTTCAACATCAGCGGGGTTTCCGCCAGGTTGGGCGCTACCAGAGGCGGCGGGATATTCTTCTGCGGAGGCCATTGTGAATAGAGATTAAGAGGTATGTGGTAGAATGGCGGCGAGATCACCCTGTGCAGTGTCGAAGTAGGTATTCGTGAATTTGGATTGGATTGGATTGTATTGTATTGGATTGAGTACAAGACAATTAAGTATTGTATTCAACAAGAGGATATATATCAAAGAACACAGATAACAATCAATACCAATACCAATACCAATATCAATATCAATATCAATATCAATATCAATATCAATATCAATTTATTAATTCAATTAAATCAATGAATGTGAGAAAAGGATTAGATAAGAAAAGAAGAAGGGTTTTGATAATGATTATCGAACCAAACACCAGACGCGTCTTGTCTGAACAGAAGATCTCGCGCTGGGAAGAAGCTCCAACCTCCTTATTTTTAAGGAAAGCTCTCGTTTGAACCATGCGATTAAGGCTTTTATTTATGTGTAAGCTTTTAATTGGTCAATTTATTATTTTACTACTTATTAGCTTCAGGTACGACATTTTAGGTAATTTAATTAATTAGTACGAGTATGATAGCCAATAAAACTTACTGTATGTACTCAACTATGTATATAATGTAAATATCACGACGACGACGACGACCGACATCAGGGAAAGGAAAACGCAGTAGACGACTATCTTTTGTAGTTGATGATTCTTCATTTCAGAACTAAAACTACAAACTACAAACTTCAAACTTCAAACTTTCCATTTCCCTTGCGCCGCTGATTTAAAGGCTTAAATTAAAGCCATGCTGGTATCCATCCAAAATACTCTTTGTATGAGTAGAGAAAAAGAAAACAAAGTACAAAATATGTGTTGAGAAGTAAGATGTACACGAATATGTTCGCTCACAAGTCCAGTCAAGCCTGCCCATCCCAAAATGCTAAAATGCCCATCAATCCACCTACGATGTCGTCTTCTTCATCTTCGTCGATGGCTTCATCTCAAAAGGTAGAAGACATGTTGCCCCCAAAACCATTACTTTAGTTTAGTACGAGCGACTTACTCTGTTCCCAAACCTACCTCCCGTCGTCGGAATAGGTTTTTCTAATCTCAAACACCAAAACAACAAATCCTCCACCGGCAACAAGACGAGGAAAATCCGGTTACACAGGTACGCGGCGATGGCCACGAAAAACGCCACAAATGCATCGAGATAATAGTGATTTGCCGTCGCCACAATCGTGATGAGAATATAAAGCGGATATGCGACTCCCACGAATATGTAAAACAGCACCCAGAATCTACTCTTTCGCATTTCGCCCGTCTCCAAGTTGCGCCGGAAGACGCCAGAATGGTAAATCATGGTGACGCCGATGCAGAAGGAATATCCGAAATGCATGGAGGGCATGGCCGCGAGCGCATTCACGTAGTTTCCCTGCATCCACACGGATTGCGCGTTATTGCGACCGACGCTGTCGAGGAATCCATACTCGGGGGGCAGAAGACGTGGTGGCATACAGGGGTAGAGAATGAACATGCAGAAGGCGAGAAGGTTGGTGAGGGTCATGGTTCGACGGATGGTGGCAAAGGTTGCGTGGGATGGTGCGACGTAATACCAGAATGCAATGAATCTAAAAAAAAGTATTAGTCAGGGGTACGTTCTCGTCAAAGAGTATGGGGGGATTTTGAAACTTACCCAACAGTCCCAGGGATATGAACCAGCGCATAAGAACGATTCAAGATGGTCAAAAGCGTGCCATGTCCATTCAAAAACCACTTCTGCACATCCTGTTCTCTCACCGGCCACAGAAAACTCATCCACGAAAATTCCTCAAACTCCAAGATCGCCAACCCATGATCCTGAGCCACCTCCCAAATACCCATTTTTGAAAACATGGCCTGCGAGAGGACCTTGGTACATCGATAAAACGCATACGTGATAATCCAATAGAACATCTCAATCAGAAAAGGATATTTCTGTAATATCCGACTATGATAATGATCTCTAAACCGCGACGTATTCGGCGTCAAAAGGTTCGTCCCACAACATCTCCTCTTCTTGGGAGGAAATTTCGAAGTCGACATGGAATCCACATCCGAATCTCGTCCATTCCCAATCATATAATCTCGGGTTAATAAATCATCCGACGATCGTGCAGAATCGGGTTCCTCGTCCAATATTCCGTACGCACTTCTTCGCCGTCTATCGAATATTCGATATCCATGTCGTCTCGTGAGTACCATCGATCCAAACAAGATACTAGCAACCATCTGTGAACGAATCGTTAGCCATTGACCTTCAACCTTGAGACATGGGAACACACAATTGGTTCTGCCCATCCTGGCAGTCTAAATTGTGGTTTACTATTCCATTGAGGTTCGCCATCGGAAAGTGATGTATTCGCCATATTATAATCGAATCAAATAGATTTCGTCCACCAAACCAAATCCAACTCGAACACCAGTCCTCAAACTCGCTGGAAGAACCTCAATCGAAGTAATTATTTCGTTATAAAGATCCAGGATCGATGTATGGGTATGGTATTGATATCAATTGGAACAAAAAACTTGTATATCCAGATCTTTTCTTTGTATCGTGTTGACCACAGGGATGACGTATGCTTCTTTTGGGACGGCCAAAATGGGAACCCCTTGGCAAGGAACTTAATGCAATGGGATTGTCGATAAGGTTTGAAGGGAAAAGGTAATCGATAATGGTGTATTAAGGTTTCCAAGTAATAATCGCATATGTATAAATCAACGATAAGAATCGAATGTGGTTGTAATAGTACTCAAATGAATGTATGTATTTATTTCGTGGCGTGAATGAAGGTTGGGTTGACTGCTGTGGAAATTTATATCCAGGGGTCGATCGATGTAGATATGTAGAAGACAAAGAAGAAAGAAAGAACGCTTTCTTTCAAGATTGTTTAGAAAGAAGTATGGTATAACAAATAGAGGTCCAGGTCCAGATCCAGAAAAAGGAGGAAAAGAAATCAAGCAACGGAAAGGAAAGAAAAAGAAAAGAGCTAAATTAAAAGCGATATGGAGAACTATTTATTCAGAAGCTCTGGGCAAGCTTTCTGTCTCTCTGGCTTTCCTTTCTGTGGAGGGAAGTGGATTGAAGACAATATGTAAATAGGGCTATGTATCAAGTACCTGCTAGCTAGGTCCTTGCGAACTGATCGTTAAGAGAGAAAAATTAGAAGTGTAAATATTAGCTAGCTAGCTAGTCATGAATCTAGAATACTGTATGTTTCTCCCTTCTCTTTCCCCTGTATATTAGTATATATATTCCGCAGTAACTCTCTCTACATATGCTTCTCTAACAGCATAGTAAATGAGATCTCCCGACGATCCAACAGACTCCTCCCACTCTCAGACCTATTCATTCCTTACAGTTATACCTACCCCCTGCCAGTGTATAATATAATCCATCCCGCATAATCATATTTTCGTAGCTGTTCAGTACCGGTAGTGTTCAGCGTATTCTACCATATCTACCGTATTTACCTTACCGTATTTACGGAGTATGTATTTACTCATTGCCAAGAACTCATCACGATACTCTGTTTTGGGGCGTGGAATTTGTTCCACCTTTGAAGACAGGTTCATTTCTGAATTTGGAGTACCGGTACCTAGGGATATGTTGGTGTTCAAACATGTGAAGATGGATGATGGATATGGGTGTTAGATAAGGAAGGCAATGATTAATGAGTAATGAGAAGAGTAGATATATTGGATTTGGGGATTTGGGATTAGTTGAGGTTACTTCGTAGGAATATAAATGGAAATAATGCTATCCATCATCTTAGTTCATTAATTGAAATACTCGTAATCTTCTAGATAGGAAGAATCGCACTCGGATTCGGATTCGGACCCAAAATATATAAAATGGTAATAATACCGTATTAGGCATTTATTCTTCAAATACAACCTTCCAACATTTTAACATCATAATTTACCCCTTCATCGATCGTTAAACACTCGGTTCCCCATTTCCCTCATCCCAAGACTTTTCCTTTCCCTTCTCCACTAAAATACGCTACTTCCAAGACTTCCAAGCTGCCAACTCTAAACCCCTTTTCCCAATATTTTTGGATGTGAAAAATGGATTACTTCTAAAAAGCGCTTCTTCTCTTCTAAGTTCTCGTATACGATAATATAATCGCGTCCTAAAAGGTCGCATGCGCACTTGCACACGACACTTCCCAAGCCTGATAAACCCAATAAAATCATCTTTATACATCGGTACCGATACTGTACCTCGAGTTGGCCCATATCATATTCTACTCCGTACAGACTTACGTACCAGCCAAAAATGCCAAGAACAATCGCTGCATATGATATGAGGTGATGATCAGCATGAGTTTCCAAGCCATTCCCAACTATCCTATAATCCACAGGGTCACTGCCAAGAAAAATGGGTTTATTATATTGTTTGAGAAGTGAAAGAATTTTTACTAATACAGTAAGTATTGAGCACTGTTGCTGTCGCGTGTTCATACTTGTAGTCTATGTAACTGTAGGATGTTGTGTAGTATGGATTGAGAGAATACAGAATCGTATCTACTTGAGTATAAGTTGTGTTGGCTAACCTTGGATGTTGGATATGCACAGCAGATAGAAACGTATCTCGTATGTGTGTTTATTTATCTCTTTACTTTACCTGTTTTCCTCTATTTCCTACTAATCACGATGAATAAATGAAGATAACGGAAATAACAAAATAGATGTCGTCTCTTTCAACATGCGAGAAGACGTCACGAAAGGATGGATGCAAAAGTACTGTAACCAACCCGTAATTAGACACCAATTGGTGAAAGGGGTGAAAATAAGATGGATAAATAGTTCCGATTCTTTTATTTTCGGTCCCGAGATCAGATCTTGAGCATTTACTTTTTCAACTCTCGCTTGAAATGAGCCTCACAAAATGACTTTTGTTAATAATAGTTTTTCGTAATGAGACGATTTCATCACGATATCTAGAAGTATCTAAATGTTTATATTGCAGACACTGTGCTGTATTTATTAACGGCGATATATATTAAAAGAAATAGGTTAACATATGAATATTACTATTAGAGCCAAGGGTTGCTGGGTGATAATGCTCGAATTACTTTATCGCTATAGCTATATATTCATACAAGTGTATATGCATCCGGAATACTACTCAGGTACTGTATACTCTAGATGAATCTACCGATATATCATAATCGATCGATACATTATACACACTCTCTACTCCTGCTCTCAAATGTTTCATCACAATACCATTAAATACCAGTACATCTTCAACTTAGCTTTACTAAATCCTTCTACTCGAGTATACCAGTGTACTCGAGTACTTACACTCATCTACACGAGAATACTCAACCACACCTAGCTCTACACGTATAGCAAATCTCAAAGCCTTCAATGGGTTCTATTCTGTCCCATTCACATTTCAATATGATTTATCGGGTCGGAATAATAGTACTAGAGGACGAAGTCTCAGGATGTCCTACTATATTTCGAGGGGTCCTATTTGTGTAGCTAGAGATGTTTAGATATTTAGACTCGAGTGGTAGGAATATAGAGAATGAACAATAAAAAACTAAATCATATTGTAAGAAAGCCAACCTGTATTATTAGAAGTCACGTAACAGCCTAGAGGGAGTTTTAATACTCCCTCTTCCAGTAGTTTAGCTCATCGTCATATTTTACTCCTTCAAAATTATACCTACCCTTTGTGTTTAGACAAATTATTACTCTATTCCCTTTTGATTATGATTATCCTTCAGTGATATTACAATTAGATGATTCTTGTACTATACATGGTTATGTGAAGGCTTTCCTATGATTTCACACCTACCTTCACTCCTTTACAATATATAACATGATATAATAATATAAAATATAAAATATAACAGACTCAGACTCACTATTACAATAGCCAAGGGCGAACCCCTTGGAAATTTGTATGTATAAAGTATGAATGTTCGAATGTTCGAATTTTGAATATACGAGTAGAAATATGAAATATAAAACTGCATCATCGATATATCCCCCTCCCCCCTTCAAGTTTCCATATAATCAAACAATAGTACAGTCAACAGTGCGATAACGAGAGATTTCTAAGAACACATATAGGAATACCGGTCGTGTCATAAATATAATAGCAGTAATAAATACATCGATATCGAGTTCATTAATACAGGAAAATCCCCTAAAAAAAATCAGATTAGAAATGATAGAAATAGATGTGGAAAATAAAAGTTTCATATTCTGCTCCTAACCTCTGAAATATCGCACTCCTTCCCATCCTTAGAGCTAGGATAGGAGAGGAGAGGAAATCAATATCACTGGATGTCGGGTTTAGATATAGATGTAGAGATGATAAGTTTATTATCACTGACACTGAAGAGGAAACGAGAGTTATTAGTATACATGAGTACGAGTAATAGGGATATAGATGCAGATATGAATCCCAAGAAATAGATAATCATTATCGACATCCAAATCGAATTAACATAACTGACTAATTGTCTTTAATGCATCTCCGCTCTCTTTTAATCTCAATTGCTCGTTTGGTAATGGTAGGTTAGGTTCTAGGATATGAGAGGTGAGGAATTCTGTGACAACTGGGGAAAAGTGTGTGTCTTTGATTATTGAATGTATGGGGTTATTAGGAACTTGGTGAGGCTCGATTCTCTATTATCTCGGCTTTTGATATCCTCCCCTGTATCTTCATCTTCATCCACATTCACATTTTCATCCACATCCTCATCCTCATCCTCAGCTTTATTCTCAATCTCTGAGTCAAATTCTAGGACTTCTTCTCTCCTCTTCAGTATTCCCATCCCTATTCCACTTTTTTCTTTTTCCAATTGGCACATTGTCAAAAGTCCCGTTATCCTCATTCTTATTCTCATTCTCATCCCGTTCCCTATCCTCACCATCGTCTCTATCTCCATGACCATCCCATCTTTGATTTCATCCTCATCCCCTTTCTTACTCTCAATATTCTTCCTCCCTTCCTCTTCGAAATCGTCACTCCATTCTATCACTTCCGACATCGCCATATCAACAACCTCGTCAGAAGAGTTGAAAACCAACTCTCCAGAAGACTCTCCATCCTCCTTCCCGTCCCCATCCCCATCCCCATCCCCATTCTCATCACCCCTTCATCCTCATCCTTGCCACTGTCCTCATTCCTGCTATTTATCACTAGATACTACCTCTGCTTTTGCGGAAGAAAGCACGTTATAAATCTTGTATTGTGGTTACAGATCACAAATTCGTCACTCCCGACAAAATTTGTTCTACTAATAAGTATTCGGTCGGGGATATTATTGGGAAAAATACAATATATGCCAGAGACCGAACCACAACCAATATAAAATAATACCACTCTGCATGTTAAAATCGATATAAAGCGAGCATAGTAAACAGAGATCTCGAAAATACTTAAATACCCCTCATTGGCAGCCGAAACAGCAACTTCTCTACGCGAACGGCTGTGCTTCTTCCCTTTTTAGCCAATGCTAACATTTCTAGATTGAACGCGCAATCTTCCGTCTCATTTGAAGGGTAGTCATATCTTACTATTATTGGAAGCGAGACTAGATTTCCCCAAAACTTGTATTATAAAATGAAATTTTGGCTCCATTTATTCGAGCCATCCCTGCCCTTCAAAAATGCAACCGATTTTCCATCGGGACCTAAAACTGGTATGGACGCGGCTCCTGAGAAATTGTCGACATGAGACTTTGGGCGATATCCGAGTTGGTTCATGTAATGTCGGTAATTGACGCATGGGAACGAAATATACATCAGATGTGTGAATCCGTTAAGCTTGAGATGTCCTTGAGCTTTAGCTACAAATACTACTCATAGTCCCGCCGAAGATAGATCCAAATTTGTAGGTCTCATCGGTCGCCAGGCCTAAATGGAACGAAACCCAATTAATAATTCTAAAAAACAGTGGCACTGATGAATTCGAATTTGTAAGATTCATCCCACCTAAGACACTGCATGACTTGACGATTTAGTCCAGAAGCAAAATTGCGGACGGGTAAAGATCATAGAGCATCTTATTCATCACCACTCAAGAATGTTGAAGGCGCTTCCTGTCGTGTCGTGTCGTAGATCAATTTGAGTAGTGTACGTTGCTTGATGTTGCTCGTCGATAATTTCCGAATCGACTGCAATGACCCCAATAGCTCCCTTGTTATATCGACGACAGTATGCTGCCTTTTTGATAGTTATTAAGCCCTCAACCTCGCCTACAAGTTGCGGCCTTTCGTCGAGTTAGTGTTGGTGATTTACAACGTGCTCCTCGCAAATTTCGCGGGCGTTTAAAATGAGCAAAAGTGTCTTTCCATTCACTTGCGCCTGAGAAAGGATATCTGACCTATTGCCCGACCAGATGAAATCAGTTAATACTGAGCCTGGGGCAGGGATCTGGATGATTTGGGTAGTAACATTGATAAGCCAGTGCTAAGATCTAGCACATGATAAGACATTTCACTCAAACGAGTATCTAAAGAATATGTGGTCTCATGATATAATGCCCAAGTCCCACGTGGACAAGGAAGGAATTGCCACCGAAAGACGAGGTACTGTCAAATTATTCCTATCCGCCGTCAGTAGCAGTAGCAATAGCTCCAAGCTCTTAGGGTAGACAAACACTGGATTAGAGCTACCGAGATCACTCCACATGGTTGGAGCTTTAGCAATGATGGCCAACCAAATTTTATCAATCAAGGAAAAACGACTAGACGACAGTCAAAATTCGAAAGCACCTCGCGTACGAATTTGTACTCGAAATCTTATATATTGTAGACTTCCTTGCAGGATTTAAAAAGAGGATAGAAAGGGATACCGAAGAATGGTCGGATTTGATAGGATATTATTGTTGCACGATGAATGAGTGAATGGAGGCCATATTCTCAGAGAACATGGGATGCCAACTAGAAAGAAAGAAAGAGGGAACAGAAAGGGCAAGGACCCTTTAATCAAACAGAGAGAATCAACTAGAGAGCACAGAGCAGCGCAAGACGATTGGGAAGGCTCCGAAGCCATTCCTTCCTTCCTTTCTTCCTCGATATTGAGTTAGACCTAGAACATGAAATCTAGAAGTAGTGACGGAAACATTAGTCCGTTACATATGTCCGTTGCATATATCTGTGTAAAAGGTAGGCAAGATCGAACTTCTAATCCATTGAAGACTCCACTTCAACTGCGGAATATTGGCAACTGAGAGCTCTTTCATAAGAGCAGAACAGTTGACTTGAAAGAAGTGCCGACAAATAGCAGATGAATCATATCTTCGTAGGCATCACCAAAGGTTAGGGGTGTTTTATTATATTCGTACCATGGATATACTCTTCCTTTATCATAAGACTTTTTTCTGTGCCTGGCGATAATGATGATAATTTCTCATTGAACATGTAAATTCAACCTTTGCACCTGGTATAACCCCAAGCGACAAAGTTCATCAGACATTGGATAGCTTTATCCCCAAGACATGTGGTGATCGCAAACAGTCGTGGCCATGCAATCTTTGGGAATACCTTAAACTGATCTGCAGAGGCCAGTCCATCATTCCAATCATTCCAACCCTTTCCAACCTCCTATAACGTATGTAATCAGTGCTGCCCCTGTTCATCATCTCGTTCTTTGAGACTTTCTAGGTGGACCACCATCACCTTGATGTTTCCTCTTCGACTTTGGACAATCCTTTGCAATATGATTTTCTCCACACGTATAACATTTTATGTCAGACTTCTTAGGGCCTCCCCCCCCAGTGCCAGACAAAGATGTCAAGCCGTTCAGCGAGACATGTTTCTTCTTTCTCTTTTTCGATAGCTCTAACGATTCGGCCTTTTCTGCCTTCTTCTTGGCTTTACGTTCCTCTTTCAATCGTTTTATTGCTTCCTGTCTCGATGCTTTTATCAATTCCTTTGCGCCTGTTGGATCATCCTCACTATCCTCATCCGCGGATTCTTCGTTATCGCTCTCCTCTTCTGATGAAGATGAAAATTCTATATCTGGATTTTGTTGTTTCTGTTGCGAATCATTAGCATGTGATCAAGCGCCAACCACCAAAATATGCGACTCGCCTCCAGAACTTTATTGAATTTTCCAAAACTCCTTCGTCCCACCATGGGTGGATTCTCATCTCCAAAAACATTGTCTTCATCACCAGTATGCCCCAACTTTTTCGAGGAAGGAAGATCTAGATTTGCGAAACCAGCTTGAACGACACGCAGCGAATTCGTTGGAGTATTAAGATGTTTCCTACCCTCGAATTTCAGAACCCATCGGGTATCTCCTGCTTCTGTGGCTGCTCGATCCAATGCGACTTGTTTCTTAGCTTCCTCTTCTTCTATTGCTGCTTGAATCGCGCGATTATCGGCCAAAGTGTCGACATTGAGCTTTGTAGGAGTATTTTGTGCTGTCCTTTGTCGCTTTGGTGATGGCTCTTCTAATGGAGAAGGCGACGCATTTTTTGGAGATGAAGCAGCAGCTCGCTGCATAAATTTCATCGTCAAAAGCCTCGAAGACATGGCTTTTGGTGCACTTGTTGGGGTCCCTGCACTTGCCGACATTTTTCAGATTGTTAATCTTTCACAGTATTAAAGAAATTCGAATGATGGTAGTAAAGAGGGATCTGGAGTAATTGGCGGAGTGAAGTTATACTGTTAAATATTTATCGTCGATATGCCACAATCAACAAGGTTCAAGTGCAATAGATCGACACGGAGGTGAAAGAAAGTAAAGTCAAAAACCTTTACGCGGCTACAGTCCCCGATTAGAGATTAAGCTCCAGTGTTCACGGATATTACGTAAGCTAACCATTGAACGACAACGACCCTAAGAACTTCTTTTGTCCCCTCCCAGTAATTGAAACATCAGCATAACCATAATGTTGTCGACCGCAAGATCAAGAGCCGTATGGCAAATCTCTCGTAGCCTTCAATTCTCGGCTAGACGAACATACTCCTTCTCTGCAAACGATCAGCAAGAACTTAATACTCCAAACGCCCCGAAGAAAGTCCCCAATGTCTCGAAAACCAACGAGCTCCCAATGGAGACACACGTCAACGATGCGTCATTGCAGGAAAGCGTAGAGACGGGGGAGAAATCCAGGACTATGCAGGCGCCAAACAGATCGAGCAAATGGTCGCGAAGTCAGAATCCTAGGGAGAAGGCAATGTCTGGACCTAGATTTGAGCAAACTATCATGGAAGCCCAGGTATGAAATTATCAAGACCCGGCCCCCGAGTTATCTTCCACTTTAGAAATTAGGAATGGCGCCAAAATATCATTGAAAACGCTGACCCTTCCTTAGCCAGCACCACAAGCAGCTATCAGCTTAATTCACAAGCAACCAGTGCGATGGACGCACGACCGTATAGTCTCATGTGATGGAGGTGGAGGTCCATTAGGCCATCCAAGAATCTTCATCAATACCGATAAGCCTGAGATCTGCAATTGTACATACTGTGGATTACCATTTGTAAGTTGTACCCTGGCAACTGACCCCAAGCTGGCTTTATTCTTCACTCTTGAATCAGGAACATTTTGTTGGTTTAGTGCTCATCTATCTTACAGGCCAATGAACACCATCGAGCACATCTTCAATCTCTTCCAGTGACCGCATACCCTCTTGAAGCACAAGGTCACCCCGCCGAAGTCAATGAATCACAGCGTGTTACGGACGAGGCTCTTGGTCAACGATAAACTATTCCCAGAGGAAGGAGTTTATTGTTGACAACTAGTGCAAATACCACGTAATGAGAACATCAAGCAAGATCTCTGCCTGTTTCCACCATAGTGATTCTCCGCTGCACATCATTCCACTCGTTTTACCTTCTGATCAAATTGACTTGATGTAGAGTTATAAGAGGATCATTGCGAGTAAAGACTTCTGCTTCATTGCCATTCTGGGATAGCGATCCCAAAAAATCACTTTAACAGCTTACCGTCGCCGTATTGCTAATGCGCAGGAATCGGAAGGACCGGAACATGCTGGCACTTGCAGCGCGGGACCGCTTAAGCAAAGTCTAAGGTTTTGGAAGACACTATGAAATAGCATGTTATGGGGACTGAAATGGTACCATAGGAAACAACTTAAGTCTAATTGTATCGAATAGAAGGAATTTAAAGGATTGCAAAATCAAGGCTCTAGACCCAAAATTAGACACGTGAGACACCATGAATAGAGACAGGATTTCCACTATTTGTGAAAGCTTGAAAGTAAACATTGATAACAGTTATTGGGGAGTGATTGCAAAGAGAAAACAGCAGCTATAATCAAATTACGACCCGTCTACACAATTAGCATTGATGTTAAAAAATAATACCACGAAATTTCGAGAAGAATAGGAGCATTTGAGTGCCGCTGGTCAGCTAGGTGAGGCCATCGTCTCCTCGAGGGAAAATATTTGGACGGCTGCGGCCGCACTCACCGCCTGAGCTTCTGGAAGCTTACTAACATTTGAGACAACCTAGAGCTCTCGTATCAAAATAACACCCTCATCCTCTAATCATCTACAAGATGTCTACTATAACGACCCCCGCACTGCAGACTTCTTACCCTCCAATCCTTCCAAATTCTTTTAATGCCAATCAACCCAAAACAATTCGTCTCTTTCCCCTCTCAAACTACACTTTCGGTACCAAAGAAACCCAACCTGAAGAAGACCCCTCCGTCATCGCACGCCTCAAACGTCTCGAAGAACATTATGTCGAACACGGTATGCGACGTACCTGTGAAGGAATCCTTGTCTGCCACGAACACAATCATCCTCACATCCTCATGCTCCAAATCGCAAACGCGTTCTTCAAGCTTCCGGGAGATTATCTAAAGCCCGAAGACGACGAAGTCGATGGATTCAAACAGAGATTAAACGAGCGATTGGCACCTGTAGGCACACAATTTAGCGGGGAGGGTGTAAATGAAGAGTGGGAGATTGGAGACACGTTGGCGCAGTGGTGGAGGCCGAATTTCGAAACTTTTATGTATCCTTTTATCCCGGCGCATGTTACGAGACCAAAGGAGTGCAAGAAGTTATATTTTATTCAACTCCCTAGACAGAGTACGTGGTTTCTCATTCTGGTTTGCAGATTGCGGTAATGCTAATATGTTTACAGAAGTACTCAGTGTTCCCAAGAACATGAAGCTCCTGGCAGTACCACTTTTCGAGCTCTATGATAACACGGCAAGATATGGACCTCAACTCTCGGCAATTCCACATCTATTGTCAAGATATAATTTTGAATTTGTAGATGAGAAGGGGGATGTGGTAGCTGTTACTCCTGGTGGAGGACCAGAAGAAGGCTATGTGCCAAAGACGATCGTTTTGGCTGGAGGCGATGATGAAACAATGGGAGAAGGTGATCCTAAGGAAGAGAATGGCGTTTGAAATACAGGATAGTTACAGTGTCATCAAAGCAATGGAAGGCATGGGAATGGCGTTTAGAGGTCAAAGCATTTAAAAGCTTGGGATAGCTGATGGATTGACTGGGTAGATATGAGGGCTTCGATATGTTGAAAATCTCAAAAGTTTTCCTATAGTCACACGATTCTGGTCATTGTAGAGAAGTTGCGCAGTGAATGAATGATGTTCCACAAATGAAATCTTATACCTGGTGGCTGTTGTGGATGTGTAACTCGAGTATATATCTAATCCCTGTCGAACCACTCACACATATGACGTCCACAACCTCAAATTAAACCCCCACCAAATTTAACACCTCAAAAAACTCTCGAATGTCATCCTCAACCTCCTCCTTATCTACGCCATCAGACAAAGACAAAGATAAAACTTCCCGTCCGAAACCTACATCCACATCATCCTTCCCAACACTCTACATCCTCTTTGTCCTAATCTTCCTCATCGCCCTCTTTCCCCCTCTCTTCCACGCTCTTTGGACACTCCCCTTCAAACTCCTCCTTCCCAGCACCTATTCCTCCTCCCTTTCCCCAGCACGCTACACCAAACCCGCCATCATGTCCTGGACACAAAAAACCATTTCTCTCCCCTCCAAATCCCGCGGCTCCTACCTCATTACCGACCACATCGTCTCCTCGATCCCCGAAATCAAATCCTATAAAGTTGGGCTTCTGAATCTGTTCGTTCAGCATACGAGTTGTGCGCTGAGCTTAAATGAGAATTGGGATGAGGATGTTAGGGCCGACATGAGTGATGCGTTGGATAGGATTGCGCCTGAGGATAAGAAGGGAGAGTTGTATAGACATAGTGCGGAGGGACTGGATGATATGCCGGTTCGTTGCTCTTTTCGTTTTGTATTTATGTTTTAAGGAAATGAAAGGGGACATGGAGATATTTTTGGTTCAGGGACTAATCGTAGTAGGCACATATTAAATCGGCGTTGGTGGGAGCAACGGTCACGATACCTATCACAAATGGAAAGTTGAACACGGGAACGTGGCAGGGGATATGGTATTTGGAGTTCAGAGCAAGCAAACATAGTAGGAAGGTCGTTGCTACAATTCAGGGTGAGAAGATATAAAAATAATAAGATTTGTTGCTTTGGTTGGCAATCTATTTCAACATACGGAAATGGCTACTCTCACGGGAGATCAGGTTTTGACTAGAACGTCAAAGGTACACACACATGCGGCGATACTCGGGCGAAACTTTGCCTTTCCATCGCTTCCCACTCTTAAGTGCATTTATTATGATGATGATCTAGGCTGCGCATCAATATCGAGGTGACCTGGAAAAGACCGACCGACCAAGGTTGAGTTCACAACCACCCTCATGCAGCAAGCATTGGGGGATACTGATATCCCTTGATATTGAACGAGGAAATTTGATTGAGAAATATACATGCCATCTTACATTTTTTTCAGTCCAGAATGCAGATTTTCAATATCAGAACTCCGCTAAGAAATAATTAGCATTTTCATCACCGTGACATTATATCCGTATGATTGTACTTGGGGTGTCTCTGACCAACGGGAAGGACGCATACACTGCTTACGTAACACATATATCTGCTTATTCTCCCCGGAAACCTTGCTTACCTGCTATCTTCTTCATCTTCTCTCTCTATCTACCTAAAAACAACATCCAGACACGCATATGCCATTAAATTGGTCAAGACTCAATACATAGACAGAACAGTCATTAACCAATTGCTGAAATTACCGGACCTCGGAGCTATTCAGTCAATCCTTGGTGACCGTTTCGGATCAATGTAAATTGTTTCTGTTGGATTGAAGTAATAAATAGGAAACAAACAAAAGATGTACACTTCAAGGGTTCAAAAGTATCTTTCCACTGACCAGACTTTAGATCCCATCACCTGATCTTTGCGAGTCTCCTCGAGGCTCGGGTCAATAGTGGTGGAAATGCCACATCCAGCCTTATGTGATGAGACCATGTCTGTGCCTCGAGTTTCAGCTTCTCGCTGCTCAATTGATGTCTTTCCACTGCCAAAACGAGCAGAAGGCTGTTCAATAAACTCTTTATCAGTGCAAGTGGCAATATATGAAGTTAATGTCTTTGACGCAGTGAATAAAGTGCTGCTTGGGTTCCTAACAGATGGTCACGTTCTCCTGTTTTCCCTTTCTCGTCCAAGATATCAGCCCCTCACAGGATGTAACAGGTACAGGACGAGGAACCATGCATGTGATTCACGCACTATATATAGCATCTCTATTGGGGTTTCAGTTCATCTCTTGAATCATCCGTTCGCAGCTTCTATCATTTGCAACTCCAGCACCAATGTTCTTTTCAGTCAGCTGGATCTGCAAACCAGTGCAATAAGCTTGAAGTTCACGATCATTTATTTTGGTGTTCTAAGAGCGTGGCGATGGTTCTTGTACGTAGGTAATACATCTGCTTCCGATGTCACTCACACTAAACTATAATAGGTGGTCTCCCGCAATACAAACGGGCAGTAGGGTTTCTGGCATTTCCTGCTCTGTTGTTTTATTGTGAGTGGCCTTGGATCTGGCAATAATATGATTCAAGCCTCACACTGTTCTTCTAGTACTTGCATCTATTGCGGCCCTTCCAAACGTGCCAGGAATATTCATAGAGAACATCCAAACCGATCTGGGATCCGGCTATGTCGAAGTTAGACTTGGATATTTTGGTATGTCGCCCCTCGGATTTTGTGGAGAAGTACAGTAAACCTAACCATGAGAAAGGTACATGTCTCCAACGGAGTGGCTCCGACGCTGACATAAAATTGCAATGCGCCATTACTCGAAAGGGGTTCAGTGATATGCTGATTGAAGATTCCAACGGGACATCCAATGCCACCGAGAAACTTCTCGTGTTCGCATCAGGGATGCAGCGTGATGTTTTCGTTGGATCTCCATCTTTCTTTCCCGGAGCTGGGCTCCTATTCCTAATAAGCCTTTTGCTTCTCATCCCCATTGAGCTGACCACTCGGCCGCCCGCAAAATTCAAGCCCAGTACTGTTCTCTTTTTAAACCATGCCATCATAATGCTCTTTTGGTTCACAGCCGCCTGGTCTTTTGCAGGTGCATTGTCGATTGCAGAAGTTGTAAGATCACAGCAAGAACTCTTGATCTTGCATGGGAGCGATAATATCACCGTCAAGATCGGTGTGGCAGTTCAATTCCTGCAATGGACCGCTTTTGTTTTCACATTTGTCTTTGCAGGAGGTGTCACTACTTTAAAGATGACGCATGAGCCTAGGGTGCTTAATCTTGAAGAAATTTTGGACAAGGCTGGCTAGGGCTGGTCCATTAGCTGGCGAGGTCGAATGGTGAATTACCTACCACCTTCAAGGAGAGTCGCGTCACCTGGCCATGTCTTATCCCGAAGCTCACGAACCTCCATTGCCTACCGAACAAACTCTAAAGAACAAATGTGTCAATATCGCACAGTTCACTGTCGGGAGCTTACTTTTACATCAAACGGATCTCGGTTGAAATATTCATGAACTGGTACATGAGATAATGAGCTTTCCCTAGACCATCGTAGAGGGAAATAACAGTCTCCCAGAGTTCTCTATCTATGAAAGTCGAGAAGAACACCGGCAGTTGACAAAACGAGTCATATTCACCATATTGTTTTGGAGATTAGGAAATTATTGCTAGGGGATTTTGGTGCACTGTACTCGACTTAGATTTTGGATCTGCTTCCAGCCTTTTAGAAATGACTATGATTTTTCCACTTCATTTGAAATTAGCACTTGTAGTCTTGACATGTTAGTCTTGGCTATTCTTTCTAATTGCTCCCGGATACTGAAGACTTTATTTTGAATCACCTATCTTAGTTATAATTTACCACCTACCACCTACCTACCATCTACTAGTCGGCCTCTCTGTTCGCTAACCTACAGTAGTCAAAACGTAGAAGCCGACTAGTGATATCTACCATATACCATCTACTATTTACCACCCACCATCTACCATATACCCAACTATGTACCACCTATCAATCTACCTTAAGAGATATAATAAAACACTCCAATGATTACCATCGCCCGCTTCACTTTACCCAGGCCCCCATCTTACCAGCTCTTACTAGCTCCTCATAAATACACGAGCTCTTGCTCCAAAACAGGGTGCCAAAATACACATCCCGTATCCCACCCATCCCTATAGAATATGACAAGTTCATTTGATTTTCAGAAAACCCCTTTTTTATACTCGAGTACTTGAGTACTATATCTATCGCCGTATGTGTTTCTTGGTTAAGTGACATTATTATAGTTGGCTTTACTTGGATACGGACGGTGGTTTGATATTGATTTTCGAATTTTGATTCGCTATTTATTATAATTCATAATAGTCGAGACCAAGAACATCTTTGTCTGGCCTTGGTTGTGTGGAATTTGGCTTCTTTCTAGGGTTTATTTCTCTTGGAGATATGGGTTGTGACTCGTCTACCTATCTACTTACTGTAGGTATTGTAATTTTTCATTTATGTCACGCTTGTGTGGAGGGAAGTGTGCGGGGTTTGGTATTAGTATACGTGGTATTTATATGTTTATGAAGAGGGATTGGGGAGTTGGTTTGAGGTGTGGTACGGTGTGGTGTGATGTTTGAAGGTTTTGTTTAGATTGTGTGTTGGAACCTTGGGATTTAGAAATGTTGGCCGGGGGGATTATGGGGTGCGGTGTTGAGGTGGAGAGGTGGAGTGGTAGAGAGGTGATGAGGTGAGGAGGTGATATAAATCAACGGGTTTTTGGGATTGCGGGATTGGTATATTGTGTAGTGTATTGTTACATAGTGTGATGTGTGTGATGTTTAATGTTTAGTGTTTAGTGATAGTGATAGTGATAGCTATCTTTGTATGAAGAATAGGAATGGGTGGGTGGGTGTTGAGGTTGTATTATGTTAGTTATATTACTCGGTATATGAGGAAGCTCAATCTTCATTCTATAAAAGAATAGAAGGAAGAATATACAGGTTTACAGTAGTTATTGTAGTATCGAATATATAGTTAGGTAGGCTAGGTAGGCTACGCAGGCTACGGAGGGTGAATTGTGAGATCAGAGATATGGCAGATTAGTTGTATAAATTTGATTTTGACAATAGAATCGAATAGATTATATGAAGCGAGGGGTCTAGCGAGCGGAAAATTAGACTCGAATGCTTGGTCTTCCTTCATGGTCTTGGAAACTTGATATCTGAGACTTACCTTAAAGGACTTGTTGTTACAAAATGTCAAATGACCACGAGTTTCAGTGGTTAAACTTACAAAATGATGGATTTGGGTCATAGAGTGTGTCTGAATGTATGTATGCAGATTCTCAAATGATTCATGTCAGGTGTAGAAACAGATCCCTAGCACAATCAAATCATCAAAGTCATTTGAAATTTTACAGAAGCCATCAAATACATGTAGGCATGCACTGCCAGATATCTTCTGAATGTGGCGAACTTATGGATTGCAGTAGTATATTGATTCGAGGAAAGTAAATACTATAGCTTTATTCCCGGTAACAAACTAAAAGCTTCGCTATGCTATGCCCTGCTAGAAACCAAAGAGAGATCAAAATAAAAACCTACAATGCTCGCTCGCTGGCGCGTTTGGAATCGATTATTTAACATATTGGACAGACAAGTAAGGAAGAGAGAAAGAAAGACATAGGAACGAAGAAAAACGTAATTGTCGATTGTATCCAGAGAGAGCGAAAGGGTGAGAGTGATTTAAGTTGAGTTGTAAACCGAGAGGCCTGTCCGTCTAGTTGAGGAGATTTTCGTAGGTAGTGAACGTGGATAGCTGGCCCACGGTGATGAATTATCGTTTGGAGTTGAATAGAGAATTGTCTAATGCATCATTGGTAATATCGCAAAGACCAAAGGTATCCCCTCCCCAGTACATCCTAAACTTTCTGCAAAATGAAACACTTTTTGTATTGTATACGTTTACACCCCCGTATGTATTCGATCCACCACCGCGTATATCGTGATGTCGTTTTGCTCGTAACCGAATATTGTGTCGTATTCCAGAATTATCTCCTATTCGGGGCAAAGATGAATCTTGGAGCCGTGACCATACTAATTATAGCCAGAGTATCCTAGATCCAGTTATGCCGAGAGGAGAGTTTCTTCGGTATTAGACGCCCACTGTCTCCGCTAATCAACGTCGACGACTAGGCCCATCACGATCAGCCAACATATCTTCCAGGGTCATAGATCTATGACCAGAAGCATACATCTCAGTATAGAGATCGGGATTGCTGGGTAACGGCGAGCTGTCATGATGAGTAATCTGAGTTTCAACTCGTCCGACGCCCCCCAATGGGTTGGTCATCATGGGATCTCTGGGATCGGCAGGCTCGGACGTTTGAACGACTTCGACAGTTTGTATGCAGTGGAGCGAATCGCGATTTCCTCCTCTTGATCTTGAAACGGAGAGGAGAGTGTTGACGTTGGGAGAGGCTTTGCGTTTGGACTCGCTACGAAGTGGGGGTGAAGATGCAATTCTGACAGGGGGTAATGGTTGCTGTCGGATCAAAGAATGTTAGCTTTGCTGTGTTTAGGGGAATCATTAAAGACGGTGATAGAGCTCATATACGTACACCCATAAAAACGTGGTCTGGCTGTTTGATAGGCTCAGGTCCACCTCGAAGTGCTTCCACAAAATCAATCTCCCTCGAATCATCATTTGTACATAATTCGACATTCCCTGTATTCCTGGCGGTTCTAGTTCGAGATCTAGAGGCGAGGTGGTTTGATCCAACGCCATTCTTATAACGGCGATAGAGAGCATTGAGTACGGGAGCGTTGGCAAAGAACGCCTGCGAAGATATGTTAGAATACTTCCTCTGCTAACCATATATACTGAGCGACTCACCATGGCAAGACATTCCAATTCGCCCCAGAAGAACCTGTCGTCTGGTGTATTAGATCCACCTTCCTGCATGATGAATCGTAAAATAGATATGACAACAAGCTTGAAGTTTGTTAGACTTGAAACGATGGAACCGCCACCATCACTTACAAAAATTCCAACGAGGAAGACCCCGGACACCTTGAACTTCGTGCTAAAATAATAAGTTAGTATGATGGGAGAATGAAGAGTATAGAAAGTACATACAATATGGCCATTTGCGTTCGCCAGATCATTGGCAAAGGGATGATGATTAAGATGATGTTCGTTACAATGATTGCCTTGATAAGTGTCAGCTTGAAACTTTGGGAAATAGGAATGCACCAACAATTGTCATGAACAGTAGCCCAACTTGCTGTTAAAGGTTAGTACGAATCCCCCAGCCAGTCCTCTCATATCCAGTACTTACTCCCGTCTAGAAGAAAGATAGTCAGCAAAAGTATTAGTTGTGAATATTAGTTTCAGGAGACTTACTGCACACTTCTGCGGAGGAACTGTGACCTTCCAATTCAAGTCGAATGGACGACATTGAAGAGCCCATATCAATATAGTAGTTGTCCAGGTGAGACAAATACCCCAGGAAGTGATTTTGACATATTTCTGCTCTGGCTGCCTAGTTGTCAAGCGGTAATAGTAGGTCAACTGCCAAGTCAATCAGTAGATAGAATTTGAAGAAGCGTCGAGGTTCACAACATACGATGCAAGCTTTCAAGAGCCAGATATAAGTTAGATAGCAAATACGACCGAACAATATGTATTTCGAATCAAATTCCTCTATGCGGATGTTAGATCTTATCGCCAATTATAAAAGAAATGGGTGATTACTTTCTGCGACTGTTTCAACACTCCCGATAGCATGCGGTCCTTCTCCAGTAGAGAGCTGCGGTGTCAAGTTAGCAGTGTGCGAAGGCTCAGAGAAATGATATGATAACATACAAGAACAGGGTATGCAGAAGTATTCCCTGCTAGAAAGACAAGAGCGACTACCATGAGCCAGTCATCAGGGGAGATTCTCTCATTTTTGAGTCGTCTTAACAAAAATCTGGTACATGCCAACAAGAATACTACGGCTGTAACTGCATAAGCTGTGTGAGCAACCTGGACGGTGTTTTCGATCATTTTTCCGACCAGGTATAGAGACGGGTCAGAAGACCAAGGAGGTGCGAATTTGACAAATTAGGTCAGAAAGAATAGACGCAGATAGATGGAAATCAAGGTAAGTTGAAATCGTGTGCTTCACGAGACTTTGTAGCGGCGAAGCGTTGATGGAAGGAGATAAATTAGGATAGTAGACAGGTTGCCAGTCCAGTTCTATACTTATTTATTTATTTATGTATTTATCGTGTGCCGTAAAAGTCCCCGAGTTCGGGGTAGTCAATGAATTACTAGGTAATTTTAAAAAGCGGGTGAATTTGATGGACAGTTCGATTGTCCTCACAATTTGATGACAGGGGTGACATCCGACGATACTCCCAAAGCCAATACATTATTGCGTTTGAGGAGACGAATCAGAGCTATCAAATGCCCCACTGACCGTATTCTCTGATCAAGGAGGAATGTTATGACTGTTACAGTCATCAAGAAAGTTAAGAAAGACTGGTAAAGGGGAATCTCTGCCAGCTTCCGATTAAGATCCTTATGTATCTAAAACATCTTATATCTTTCAGGAGTTTATTTTGTGCCAAAACCGGCTCAAGCTGCTCGTATACATGATTATAGCTAAAGCTGTGCTCGTAGCCTTATTCCAGCAACATGCATTGTGCTATGGGTAAGCAGTCATATGTGCAAAGCTGCGAGGATAACTTGAAACAACATCAACTAGATTCCGTCATCACAGTCTACTATGAGTTGGTGCTATAACAAAGCTACATTACAATGTTTGAAAAAGAATATGCAGTGGTAATGCGAACTTTGTACATATCTATTGACTTAGGCTATGAAAGAAGGATTCCCAGTCCAGCAGCGTGGCAATGCAATCCATTCGGGTGGCCCTTTCCAGCATGTCTATCTATCTACGAAAGTTCTATAACGGAGAGTAACATTGTATATTATTGAGCAGCTAGGAACAGGCTAAACACTATTTGCCACTTGCGGGAAGCTAATGCTAGATTATCATATACCGATGGTGCTTGAAGATAGGTGAAACAGATGATAAAAATCAGAGAAAGCACCAGTACATATGCTACAAAAAGGTTTGAAGTGCGCTGTGATCGGTAAAGGATTAATTTCAGGACACACTTGCATCTCAAATGGCAATTCTTCAACACCTGAATCTTTGTGTTCATTCTACTATCGCAATATAACAATAACGGAACTCAACTAAAAAGGTCTCCAAGACTGAAGTTGGTCTTGAGGCTACCTGCTTTGAGGGTCTTATTTTCTTCCACTTTGGTTAAGCCCCGGTGGCCAACAACCAACTACTAGACAATTATTGTCCAAATAGACTGATTTCTAGGAAGGGAATGTGGCCTTCGGCCAGAGCTTTAAGGTTTGACAACCCAGCTAACCGTTGCATTGAGGACTCCAGTTCAAGCCCAAATTGCAAAGTCTTTTCCTGCTATATCGCAAGACTTAAGAGGAAAAGGGCGAATAAACATAAAGGAGACGGGTCGAAGTGTGGTTGAGGTGATGTGGCCCAATCATGATTAATAATCGTGCATCGACCAATAACCGAGGAGAATTGTTGCACGCCATGAGAATAGGAAATGCTCGATAAATAGCAGAAACCGGTATGTAATACGAATACTTCAAAAACAATATAACAAAAGCCCACTGAGACCATTCAAAATGTTACTTTGTCAGGCATCGATCCTCTCATTGACATATTGCCACTGCTAACCGAGCAGGTCAGTCAAGACTTATCAGTTGCCATACTCACCTTTAGATTGAGCGAAAGCTCAAGACCAAAACATTACTACTCGAGTACAAGAGACATCACAGAAAAGCGATTTTTTAATCGGTTGCAGTGATAATGACATCGGTGTGCCCTTACTTTCACTTTTCAGAAACATGGTTTGGATCCCTCTGAGATGACGGAAATTGGCCAATTGCCTTTTGTAATACCATTGTTTCTGAATGTCTAGGAATCTTGGCAGATTCTAGTAGGGGTAGAGGTTGTGGGTCGTGAGGCTGATGGAACTCTTAGGGTTTCATCAGTAATGCAGGACAAACTAATCTCGACATAAATATAACCGAGGTGAAGAGGATTGCGACATCAAGTCTTAGAGAGGGTTGAATATCGTTTTAGTCTTCTCACCTTTGATTGTCAGCATTGTGTGTGCCTTACATGGGTATAGTCGCTCGTTTAGTAGAGTCATTTGGTCAATTTCATACGATGATACACGCATATAATGTAATCTCCGTTAATCTAGGACACAGCGAGGAAGGAAGGTTCTGGTCCGGCCAAATATTATGGTATTTAGAAACTCTTGCACCTATTCCATAATCTATTCCAGTAGGTCTAAACTTAAAAAGGCTACGCTTTGAGCTCACGGGTAACAACGTTGATCTAGGACGCAGGAGTGACCCAAATATGTGGATTAGATAAAGCTTGACAAACTTTGAGATAGATGCTCTGAAGCCCAAGAAGGGTGCTGGAGCTCCCTTCCATATATACAGCTAGTTGCGAAACTCACTTTGTTCTAGGACTTTGCAAGTTGTGGAAAATTGTACAAAGTGGCTTTGAAATGAACTTCATATCTTATTTATGCATGCTTGCACGCTTGCTAATATCCCCTTTCACAGTTTTACGACTATTTGGAGTATGGTTTGGTTGTATTTAATGTCCAAAAAACAGATATCTAAAATCTAGGATTTAGGATTTAAAACATATTTAATATATGTTTACGATTTCCTTGACTTCATGATCTTGTTGATACTATGAAAACAAACACTAATCAATGGCTCGCTTCAAAAAACTGAGAAGGATTCATTCCCTCACAAAGTGTCTTCACATAGCGGGTGCCAATGTTTAAATCCACTCATTCACATCCTCCTAGGCGCCAGCTCCGATAATTTGGTCAGATGAGAGATTATTAGTAAATTACTTCCCTTGCAAGGACAATTTGAGAGTAATCAAGACGGGCTGGGCGATCGACTTAGCATTGGCCGTGAACGACGCATAGAACGAACCCAATCTGGTGTACCATACTTGTTATCAGTCTCGCTATTTGCCCAGTTAGATTTCGTGGTATTATTGATAATTCAACTGTAGGCTGAATTACTTACAATGTGTATCGCAAAGCAACAGCTCGAGCAATTTTCAGACGGCGCATCAAATCTTTCTCTTCCTCTGTCCAAAGTAGTAAAGCGGATGTGGCTTGAATTAGTGGATCTTCGTAACTTTTATCCCATGGCATCATGAAAGACAGGTACACGAATTCGAAAAATCGCGGATACAGCGCGGAACATCCCCAGTCGAGGAGACAAATCGTATTGTCTTCCTTGAGGACCATGTTTCGTCGACACAAATCCATGTGACATAGAACAAGTGGATAAGAACTTAGATCTATAGACTCATTTCGTACCGCAAGACGTTTGTTGAGCCAAGCGTCGAGGTCTGCTACGCAGGTAAAAGTCGTTTTTGCACCATCATCACCCCAAAGATATCCTTGTGGTTGGCCCCGGCCTAAAGGACCTGGGACTTGACTGCCTTGAATTTGTCCAAGGTGCGCGATAATCTTGGCAACGCGGGGAATAATATCCGTGTATTCATTGAGGTCAAGCTCATCTAGCAACTGCCCGGGCACATATTCCATAAACAAGTAGCCACAATCTACCCGACGGAAGAAGCGATAAATCTGAGGGATATAAACAATGCTTGGATCTGCATTTCGACGTGCAAATTCTTGAGTTTTCGCCTCAGAAATTCTGATACCGAAACCAAATTTGGCTGCTATGCTGTCCGAGAGTTTGACCACTCTATCCCCTCCGAAACAGCCCCCAATAATCTTGTCCTCTCGTAAGAGTCGTTCGCAGAAGTCAACAAGCCATTGCTCGCTGGCTGTATGAATGTTCCAAGCCGGATCCACCATATTGTGAGTGTAGAGAGATGTATTTTGAGATGAAGATGGAGTGCAAGAAGTTTGTGTTCGTGTTGGCAGCTGGGGAATCCTCTTGTTATTAGTTACAGAATCTCGGTTAATTAAAGCGCTACATAAAATATCCGTGCCCTGAGGTAACACGCCGCTGTGGGGGAAGGAGCCCTGGTCTCCAACTAGTTGGCCGAATGCCTTTGAAGTGACTAACTAGTTATTCGCTTGGTTGAATATTAACAATCTGTACACGAGTTTATCATTCACAGCGATATAGAAGATCGGTGAAGCAATCAATATAGTTATCAATGATACAAAATGTAAACTTTATATCTTCAAATCTTTTTGGAATCTACTGATTGATAGCACGCCAGGTTGGAAGAGAGAATTCTATCAATTAATGAGAGTAGCCTTTGAACTAGGCGGTCTAATTACGAAGGGGTTAGAGGTATCTCAGCCTAAGATGCGTTGCAATTCTTGAACATTGAAGAGTATTTAAGATGTGGAGGAAGTGTGGAGATAGAGATACCGGTATGATGCAGATATGAAGGGGTGCTGTAGTCAGGAACCGATCGATGTATATGCCATTTAAAGAAACATCGCCTTATACTACAGAGCCCGGCAATAACCATTAATATTGGGCCAATGTCCCCGATACATCACCCTTTCGCCGTTGCTAGCCTGGTAGCATGGGTACAATAGCACCAGCTTACTGTCCCGCAGCAGCCGACTCCGACTCCTATTGGCATATCGCCAAAGTTGGCTACAAGCACATTGATATATATATATACGTCGAATAATGAATTCATCTGAAATATTGAATGGATCTGAAAGATTGAATCTGACTATTCTGGACCAGAATATACAATAGCCCGGACCAAAGTCCAATTGGAGAGATTCCAATATTCGAAATTATCTTAATCTTAAAAGATAATTGAATCGTTTTGAACAATTCATTGTTTCAAATATATTGAATGATTGAAATAGTTTCAATGCTTCAAATCAAGAATATCTTATTCTTGAACTGTAGTTTAGACCATTAAATACACTGTTTGGGCCTAGATACCTCATGACTTTCTTCAATATCCAAATTCATATTCAACAATCGAAAGTCCTCTGAGGCTAAACACGATCCTCCAAATCAAATCAACTCGACGAGTGCACTTACACGAGAATTAATCACTCCACCATTACTTAATGGAATTATAACATACTACGTAAAGGCACAAAGACCTGGCGCAGATATAAAGAGACTCATTCCGACAAGAATGCAGCTAAATTTTCACCCTGTTCTTTCAAAGAGAAGTCTTCGAGCGAGACAGCGATCGTGGGATATAACTAGATATATATACGAACAAGAAATATCATTTCGAAGAATCACTAACCAATCTGTTATAAATACCAGCACGATAGAGTTCACGTAAATCTCTAATTTCAGACCCCATTTCAGCCAATCATATAAAATCATATAATTAAATTAGCAAATGGAGTTTTCCCAAAGGATCTGAGATTATTCAAAGAACTAAGTTGCCTCGTGCCATACACATCATTTCAAAAGCTTGGCGTTTTCGTTGGTTTCCCCATCAAGCCAGTTTGGAAGACACTCAGCAATGCTCGAATAGAGTTCTGGTTGGAAAATGAAACCTGGCCAACAGACGAACAAGCGGCGACAATGGATCATTCTCGAGATATTGTTCAGTGTGCGCGTGTAAGAAAAGGGTCGCTGAGCCGTAAACGCTCAAAAACCTCCTTGGTCTCGGAAACAATCTCGACACAGATTACGGGCAGCATATCGTCGGATCAGAAGTGTGCTTTTTATAGACATCCAATGTTTAACGTCTACTGCAGGATTGTGGCAGCTTTATGCATGATCACGAACTCGGCATTGCGGTGGAAAGCAAAAAACTTTGCCAGCAGCTCCTAGAGGCACCGCAGCCAACGCCTTAAGATACTTCTTTCTCTGACGATGATCTGTTCATGAAGACATGTAAGAGGCTCAAGGGCGAAAATGAAATAAAAGTTGTTCGCTGCATTACGCAGCTTATTGTTCCATCGGCTGAGATACTGGCGGACAAGGGAGCCAAACATCTCGCTATTATCAAAGAGACTGCCAATGCTTGCTGGACTAATTTTATCCCTTTCATCAATCCTCTGGTCTTGGTCCTGGTTCTAATTGTGGTTTGGAACCTCGACCACAGCCAGATATTGGAGTTGCACTCGACAGAAATGTTTTGAATCTGGAACGGCTAAAAAGCTCCAAATCTTCTAGGCAACCACCTTACTGATGACCCATTCTTTGCAGCTACTTATCAAATGTAAATTCCGTTTCTCACCAGCGAGGTAAAGTGCGGAGATGGTGGACTTACGTTGCTGATCGACAGAATGCTTATACTCACTCTGTCATCATACACAGTCGACGGGCAGCTTTTGAACAGGTTGGACGAGAGCAAGAACTGCACCGGGAGATTGATAGCTTTTCAATAACCTTATCTCATAATGACAAATGTGAGAATCTGGGGCCACCACATGGTTATTGATAGAAAAGATGTCACGTTTCACCGGAATTTGATGTCGAAGTTTATTTTTGCTCCATCCGGGAAAGGAGATCAAAGGTAAGGTGGAAAGCGTACAAGTTCGTGAGAAATGTTTACGACTTGTGGTTTCCTAGTTACGTTGAAAAAAGCTGCTCCGAAATCGACCTGCTACCAGCTGATATGTCTTTTGATCTCTCTGACTCTGAGCAAGATTTAGCTTCTTCACGCTCAGGACTCTCTCAACAATTCGAATGCCCTAACTTCAGCGATAAACGAGTAATGTCGAACAGTGAATGGCTTCTTTGACTATATATCTCTTGGCCGTAGTATGTTTGAACGAGAATCCAGAAATGATGCGCTGTAACCTTACGTGGAATGGAACGTAATGTACATTTTCCAATATTAATAGCTGTATAATGGATAGCTGCCTTAATCTTGTACGTATATTACTAGAGAATTCGGCGTTAGAGAAAGGAATAATAGGACAATATTCTTGACTTGCTGACTTCTCTGTAACTCGAGTAGAGAGAGAGGTACATCACATGACCAATCTTCCATCCGTGACCCAATCCACGCGATGGGCAATTCCATTTTCTACCTCAACCTTACTACAACCCTACCTCATCCATTCCCCCGAACATCCATCCACATTCATCCACTCACCTCACCTTATCTCACCTTACCTTTCCTCACCACACCAACACCACACCTTACCTTACCATTCCCACCATTCACCATCCCACCATCCAGCTCCAGGACCTCCCCTCCACCCACGAAAAGCCCCCGGAACACACATCCTCCACCAGGTCACCCAACAAACCACACGATCCCAAACCCTCCGAACTAAAACCTCTCAATCCCTCCCAATACAAAACACTACCAAGATTTCCCTTGCTAAAAAACCTCATTCCAACCACCATCTCGGCAAAATCAATACTGAACATGGGGAAATCTCGGCGTGTGGTGTTGTGTGGCGAGACCATATTATTATGATTCGATGATTGGTGAACCAAGCTTTATTTATTTATCACTTTGCACTTACGATTCTTTCTTTGAAGCAAAAAAAAAGGAAAAAAAAAGAGAAAAAGTTCTAGATTTTTCTCTGGGTCTGGTCTGGGTTGTCCCGGTTGTGGTGAAAATTTTCAGGGATGGGGGTTCGGGTATGGGTGGTGCGAGTTCGGGTGTGGTTTGCTTGGAGTTCGGGTATGTGTGTGGATTGATAATGAGATGATAGAGAGATATACAGGTATATATATATATATACTAAGTAGTTCCCTTCCCTTTTCTTCCCCTTTTTACTTGTCATATATCGGTATACTTTTATCTTCCAATTTTCATTATACGAATCAAATTAAATATCCTCAATATCCTCAATATACAAACCAAACCAAACACAACCAAACCCAAACCCAAAATGTCCTCACCACCAACCTCCCAGAGCACCACCACCCCCTCCTTCTGGCAAACCCTCAAAAAACCCTTTCAAACCCTCAACCTCCACCTCAAAATCCATCTCCGCTACCCCGAAAGCGCCAAGAATGGCAATGGACCTGCGGATTTTTTTTCCGTGCCACAGAGGACTGAGAGTCAGAGCAGGGAGTGGGAACGGAGGATGATTAGGCGGTAGATGTTGGGTATGGGGTTTGTGGATTTGGGGGTATGGGGTTCGTGAAGGGAGGGGATGGATGGATGGATGGACGACTGGGAGCATGTAATGAAAAGAATGGGGAAACAAACCCCAAGGAAGAAATAGGATCAACCCGAGGTGAAAATCATAACACAATATTGGGGAGGAAAGGAAAGGAAAGGAGGAATAGAAGGTTGGGAAGGAAGGGAATATCAATTTGATTAAGGTGCTTTGCAATGGGATATATATATATATATATACACATGGAATACTCGAGTATGAGTTGAGAATTAGGAAGTTGAGGATGATGAGATGGAGATGGAGAAGGGGAAGGGGAAGGAGAATGGATCGGCGCATGCGTAATAAATACCACTTCTTTTTTACTCAGTATATCTATCGTCGCAAATTGACATTTTTGGCTGTTATTAATATCTATCTATCTAGTCCTCCAATTCAATGCTATTCCCATATACCGTGATATAATGATCATAACACACGTTTCCTACTCCATCCACTCCACTCCATGTACATTTTCATTTTTCTCATTTCCATTTCCATTTCTCTCTTCATCCCCATCCCCATCCCCATCCCCATCCCATTACCCACCAAAATCCATTCTCAACGCAATGCTCGGTTCCCTTCCCCCCTCATCCACACCATCCACCCTCCCCCTCCCACTTCCACCCCCACTCTCTCTCCCCTTAACTAGCACCCCCTCCATAAACCCCTTCTGCTCAGTCGTCATCCCACCAACCACGGCCCTAAAAGCCGTCGCATCAGCCGCCGCCATCTCTAGCAATCTCGCATTTGTTTCTCTCCATACTTTCTCTCCATCACCACTGGCGCGTTTCAATAATGTGGGTATGACTACCGACATAGCTACTGCTCTCTGTTTGCCTTCGAGTGAAATGACGAATGTCGTTAGAGCATGCAGTGTTAAGGCGCGGGCGTTTTCGGGGTCTTCGGTTGCGGTATTGATGCTGAAGGTGATGAGGAGAGGTAAGAGATAGCGTGCGATGCTTTGATCGGCAGGCGTTTTCGATGTTGTGAGGAGAAGACTGCGAACGCAGTTTGCTGCTACTTTTGCGGTCTGTGGATTAAGTTAGCAGATTGCATGTAAGAGGAAACACATATCTTACCATTCGATCACTGAGACAATCTACGACTTCATCGAGGAATCGAGTGACAAGTGGTTCGCTGGCGGACAAGTAGTTTGTCCCACTAGTAAGTAATAATGTGGAAGCGAGAAGGGTGTTCTTAACACATGGTAGAGATACTTCTGTTTCTCGTTTTTGGGCATTCATATATATAGAGAGGAATCGTTTGAGACAGCCTTGTAATTGTATAATGCTGGTGTTGTGTTTAGGATTCTGTGTTTTGTATGATGCTGAGACACTCGTGATAAATCGTTTGAGTATCGGGAGCGATTGAGGAACGACCACAGCTTGGCAACTTCCTGTCCCGAGAATAGTAGCGAATATGTGAATGATGCAAGCATGCAGATCTGTTTTGATTATCGACGGGAACACTTCGGCAGCATCGACTAATGCATTAAGAGATACTCTAACAAGGGATACAGCTTCCTCGGTTAATTGGTGGCGAGCAGGTTGCTGTGCTTCAATTAAATTTGGTAGAAGGCCAGCAAGTACCAAAACAATAATCCTTGTCAGCTCGAATAGCTGTTCAATATCTTCCGACAATTCCTCACCCTCGGCAACGTCTGCCTTGGTAGCGGACGGATGGGAAATACACAAGCTTCTCGCAATTTGGACGATAACTGTTTGAACATCGAGGCCTTCAGTGAGAACAAGGCGATCTAGCAAATCCATCGTTTCCGAGAAAATGGCCTCTCGGTAAATCGCGTGGCCAGATACACTAGGATGCAAGATTTTCTTCAAAGCCTGTAAGATCTCGAGGGTTTGTCCTTTCGATGCCAGAGCCTCGCTTCCGGGTTTGGCAACGAGAGCTTCAAATGCAATGCCGAATAGAACGAAGAAGAATGCGACTGGTTCATCTCGGTAATTAATATCATTCCCTTTGGAATTTCCATTCGTTGCGGGGGCATCAGCTTCCTTACCATCAAGGGCATTGAAGACGAATTCGCTATCCTGCTCAATAAGACTAGCGATAGCGTCAACAAGCTTGAGCCATGAATCTTGATAGAATCGTAACAGAGTCTCTCGGTTCAAGGCAGAGTAAATGCTATCCAAACTGCCCGACAAAGATGGAGGACCTAAGCTCATGGAAATGTCTGGCTCAAATCTCAAACGAGCAAATTCTCTCAGCGATGCAAGCCACAGAGGAGTCAATGTACCAATGTATGGCTTCAGGACATTCACAAGATACTTCTGTTCCGTACTAGCTACTTGTAACTCAGCCCAGGCAGAGAACACTGCCATTTTGACCATGACTTGAGCATTGGAGCTGAGACCTTTGAGATCTCCAATCGACGCAACTTCAGATTCTGTCGAGAAATTCTCCAACGCTGTAACTAGAGTTTTAAGAATACGACCCATCCGATCGACATCAGTAACAATACCAGTCGCGATGAAGGCAGCGCAAACGTTAACGGCCTCGGAAGCCAATTCAGGCGAAGAATCAGCGGCGAAAGCTGGGGTCAGAGCAGAACTAATTTGAGCCTGGTATTGTTCCAGAAGAGGAGCTTCAGCAAAATCGGGATCTGGTGTGTGACCGAACATCTTTAGAACTGCATCAATTATCTTTAGACCCCAAACTCGGAGTTCCACAACGTTAGACGTAGAAGCAGAAAATGCCATTCGAATAACATCTGCTGCCCTTTTCTGCAGCGCAACTTCCGCAGATGAGCTACCGTTAGCTGCTAGATCCTTGCTGACCAATGCGAAGATTTCTCCCAAACAGCTCATGGCGAAAGTTCGAACTTGCCACCTAAGTGGTTCCTGACCAGCGGCTGGGGTGCTTGTATCTTTGGTCATGCCAGAAGCAGCTGCGAAGCCTGCTACTTCTTCGTCCTGAAGATCAGGCAGAGCACCGACTTTTGTAGATATGGCCGTGGAATCTTCTGCTTTGGGTCTTGTCATCGATAGGACAGTCTGGCATCTTTGCAGCCATCGTGGGGTTTCAGTCAAACAGGATTGTTGCAACCAATTTCGGATAACATTTCTAATACCATCATGTGCAGGATCTGAATCCAAAGCCAGCCACAGCTGATCTTCAAACCCAGCCTCAGCGGCTTTGACGACGTCTTCCGAATTGCGCTTCATGAGGTTATATAAACCGTCAATCGCAATGTCTCTTAGTAATGATATGTCCGATTTGAGATCTTTCTGGAGAAGAACGACATACTCGACGAAATCCATGTGACCTGGAGCATATAAAGCTAGATGTTCCTGACACTTCAGGCTTCCGGCCAGAACTAGAATATTCTCCTCTTCCCCGAACTGAGCTACCATAGTAAGTATCAAATCTCTCGCTTTGGTCATATCTTGAAGATCAGGGCCAAGAACATTGACCAACGAATCGATACAACGCGCAATAACGGCAGTAGTAGATAGCTCCAATTCCAGATTCGAAGTCGCCAATGAAGAGATTTCCTCGTTGTGTGTATCTGAAACATACAACTGGCACAACATACCAAGTGTACTCGACACATATCCCGAAAATGTGAGCCCAGCTGAATCTGCAACACGCGACAGCGACTCCAGCGCCCAAATATGAACAGTTGGATGTGGATCATTGCATAAAGACATCAATATACCCAAGATAGTCTTCAGGTGAAAGCCTGCCGCCATACCCCCGACTTGGGAATGAATACACCCCAATGCCATTGCACAACCAGCTCTTGCACTTGGCTCACGGTTGCTCACAATAGTATCAATAAGGTATTTGATTTCCAGATTGGTATACGTATTACCAGAGCTGTTACAGAGTCGGGCTAGTGATTCGTAGCCGATGTTACGTACATATTGGTCGTGATGAACAACGAAAGATCGCAACATTTCTTGCATAAGCTTCTCCACAGCAGAGTTGGTAAGGTCACCAGGAGGGGATGATGTCTCTTTCACAGCCACCTTGAGCGCGGAAAAGAGTGCAGTTGCAATATTGACATTTATCGCAGCCTTTCGTCCAGGATCTCGTTGAAGCGCACCTGTAGATAAGAACGTGGCGATTTGTTCCAGTATGCTTTCCTGAATCTTTGGAGGTGTAATCGGGAAAGCGATTGCGAACAATCTGATAGCGATATTGACGACTTCCGTGGCCGGCGGGTCTGGTAGAATATTTCCTCTCTCAATATTGCCCAAGTACAGTGAAATGGAGTCATGCTCAAGCGAGCTGCAAATTGGGGACAGCAGTACGCTTGATATGTCAATATCTGACCCTGTTTCCTTTACCCAGTCATCCTGAGATCCATTTTCCTGTTCAGAAGCCAATTTCTGAACATTGAAGCCTCGAACGAGTCCTGTGACCCCAAATCCAGAATTATCTCCGACATCCCACACGGTCTCGAAGTTACCGGCCGAGCTCGCAATCGACGAAGACAATGAACTCGGACTGTAGTTTTCAGGATCGGCGAAGAATGATACAGCAAGCGTAAGAAGATTTGATTGTAATAGTGCTTCACTTCCACCAACTGGACTAAGAGTAACTAGCCTTGCATAACATTGAAGAACACGACGCTGGACCATCAAATCCAGATCCTGCAGTTGCAATGATGGAGTCAACCTTTGTGTAACATCATCCGACAATTTTTTGGATGGGAGACTCTTCAAAAAGGCCGAGGTATTTGTAAGCATAGCAGCAATTCGCTTGGAGACATCCGCAGTAAGGAGGCGGCTGTTGAATTGCAAAAACGCCAAGATGGAACCAAGTGCACACTCTCTAACATGAGTGAGGAAGGAAGATTCGAGGAAGCTTCGCTGAGAAGTATTGTCCTTTGCGAGAGGCTTCGGCAACGCATTTTTCCATAGTAAAAGTAATTGGGAGAGGTGGATCTTTACAAAATTTGGACCCAGAGACATCAACCCGCCTATAAGTATCCATGCTACTTGAACCTGGGTGCTTGAGATGCGTAATTCTGACTTGCTACTAGACTTGAGAAGACTAGTCGCGAGAGAAAGCACACGGCTGTTGACATCTACTGAGCCATAAAGTGGCTGTAAGTTTGCTGTGCTAATCATAGCAGACAGTCCGTTGGCATATCCAACACATCGTCTTGGTGAGTTTCTTCCAGTATTCAATAAGTTTAATTCTCGATTGACACTATTCATGCAAATTGTAAGGCATGGTAATAATTGCTGCGGACAAGCCAACGTGAATGCCCGCAAACAGTATGAAGTATAAATTTGGACCGTGTAACTTGGATGCTGAAGAACCTGTAACAGTCCATCTCGACAACCTTCGGCAATCACATTCGCTGCAGATCCCAAAGTCTTAATCAAGGATGCCAATGCGCTCAGTGTGGCGATGAGTGTATGTTTTGAAGGCTCGGCTCTTTCCTTGATGACCTGAGGGTAATTTCTCAGGATATCATTTACTAGAGCCTTTGCAGCGTCCAATTGTCCAGATTCGCCGAGTATGGATTGACCGACCACATCTTCGAGGATGATTTGCACGAACTTGCGTGTACTCAACAAACGATACCTATTACAGGTGATGTTTGCATGGCTCAGAAGCTCCACGGTCAGATGGTCCACTATCTGCAAATACATCATTTCGACAGTTCTCTCACTCATACTCTTAAATATCCGACTATAGCAGACAGCTATTCCAGCTCGGGCTTTATTAGTTGTAGATATTTTGATGTACTGATTCGACAACACTTTCAGCATTTCCTGTAGCGAAAGGGTGAGTATTTGGCTCTTTTTGTTGCTAGTAGGAGTCCCGGGCCTCGAGGGTAGGTCATCATCATCGAGCCCGGGACCAGCTATTACAGATGAACGTTTATTAGTATTCGCCCTTTTGATCTTTTTAATCATAGGCATATCGTTATCCCGAGGGGGTTCTTCCGAGTGACTCTTCACCAATGCCTCTGCCAAGCACTCTGCTGCGGCCTGTCGAACCAATGCGCTGGGCGAATCTATGGTCTTGAAAATTGTTGACTTGAGACTTTCGAAATCGCTCGAATTATCGTAATACTGTGTATATTTCCACAGACTCTTCAAGCACCTACACGCAGCAATCTGTACCAGTGCCGACTTTTCACTTGAAGCATAACTTCTGGCTTGTTTCCATACATCCTTTGCGATTGTGTCGTCCATACTTGTCGCAACCATTCCAACAATCTTGCTCGAAGCCTTGAATATCGCCGCTCGTAGACCCGCATTGTTTTGCGCGGACTTTAACAGTTTCAACAATGCACTGCATGCCAAAGGATGTAGTCCAATTGCGCTGTCTCCAGCGGCTGCGAAGACATCCCCTAAACAGTAAGCAGCCGCATGCTTCGTCCTAAAATCCCCCTCGGTTTTTGTCTTTCCACTACTGACTATGGTAACCAGATCATTTATAGTTTCGAAGAGCAGCTTCCTATCCCCCTTCCCTAGCACATGCGCGAAGCATCGTCCCAAATTATTTCGAATCACTCTGGTTGGAGGGGGAGCTGCGAGATTGAGTATCTGAAAGAGTTCTTTCTTGAGGTAAAGCTGTTGCGCGGTGCAGTCGTCTGGTTCCAGGCTTTCCACATGTCTTGTGAGAGTCGAGGCAAAATTAAGGAGGTATAGGTCTTGTTGTTCTGATGGGAGCGATTGGAGTTTCTTGATATCGAGTTCGGGGGTGGGGGATGGCTCTATTCTGCCCGGAAGTTCACTTGAGCCATTTTTAGAGCTCGGTCGAGCTGTCGAGGCCATTGATTTAGAGATTGTAATGTTTGTTGTTGCAAATGTCCTTGTGAAATCTGGACATTTGGAAGTGGTTCTGGCCTCGCTCCTTTACTTGTACTCTGTACAGTTTAAAGAGGTTCGCGACAACGATCGAGTTCTAGCCAATCGGAAGCCACAACAATATTTATTTCAAGAGCTTAAACCAGAAGTCGCGACTTACTGTAATTTTTGTTCTCGGTATGACCAACATGGCGGCGGCATTTTCTAGGAGTTTGAAACCTTTCCTTCGAACGGACTACATTTGTTCAAGATGCCTACAATTTTCCACCACGTCGGTGGTATCTTCAGGTCACAATCGATGGTCGAAGATTAAACATGCCAAGGGAGCTGTCGATGCGAAAAAGACCACGGCTCGCTCTATCATTGCGCATGATATATCACTGGCTGTAAAATGTATGTTATTGCGTACGCCTTTGACGTTACTGATAATACTAACCTGGGATTAAAGTACATGGAGCCGATCCGTACGGAAACCCGAGACTGGCGACTATCCTGGCGACTGCGAAAAGAGGTACATAATGGGGTATAATCCATTCCGGCATCAATTGTGTACAAATACTTACACTACCATAGCCGGTTTTCCCAAACATCTTATAGAAACTGCCTTGGCCCGTGGGCAAGGAAAATCTACAGCTGGAACTACACTGCAGAAAGCGACTTTGGAATTCATCATGGCGCCACAAGTGGCCATGATAATTGAAGCCGAGACGGACAACGTTAATCGTACCATGATGGATTTAAGACATCTAGTCAAAGTTTATGGGGGAACTGTTACGCCTACAGCATATCTATTCCAGAAGAAAGGATGCGTCACATTCGAGAAAGACGAGAAGAATCTTGGTGTTGACGATGTGATGGATGAGGCAATCGAAGCAGGAGCCGAGGACTTAGAGGTCGACGATGACGGGAATCTTATCGTCTGGACTGAACCGAATATGGTTACAGCAGCGAGGGACGCTCTGCAGAAGAAATTCGATATAAAAATCAGAAGCTCAGATATCGTGTGGGATCCCAATGAAGATACGAATCTGCCAGTTGACGAAGGGGAGGCTACGGTGAAACTCAGTGCTTTCATCGAGGCTGCGAGAGACAATTCGGATGTTCAAGGTATATATGCGAATGTGGTACAGGGAACTATCGGAGATGAGGATTGGGAAGACTTGATTAGTGGATTGGATTGATTAAGAGGAGTATATATTGGTATGAACCCATGTACATATAGATAGAGTGTAGACTAGATGTACTCGAGCTCAACAGGAGGAATTTTTACCATAGCAGAGGTATCTCTCCTCAAAAGTATAATTCAAGAAAGGTTGATAAACCCCGCTACAACCTTCCAGACTCCTTAGAGTTGATACAAATTCGCAAGTTCTATCAGTCCCGGAATATCGTACCAGCCCTCGCATATACCCGTAGAACGCCTGCCTGCCTTAAAGCCCATTCATTCTATACCAAAACCATCCTATAAGATAATGTTCTTTTATCTCCATTTGCCCCCCACGCCCCTTTATTGATATCTTCTTCGTCTTCTTCATCATATTCATCGTCCCTCTCACTTCTCCTCCCCATTCGTCCCATTCGTCCCATTCGTCCCATTCATTCCATTCGAGCCCCGCAGCCTCTGCTCCCTCAAATATAACCTCTTCGACCTTAATCTCTCCAGCTCCGACTTGATATCATCCCTCTCAAACGGTATACGATTGGTTTGTTCGACCTTAGGCCAGAAATCTGGAACCGCAAAGCGCTTATCGAGATTGGTGCCGTAGTAGTACATGATTGCAATCGGGAACATGATATACATGCCGAACTATGGGATTGTCAGGTTATGATTCCATGGAGGATGTGTGAGTGCTCGAGGTGGCAATTCAAAAGAAAAGGCATAGGTAACATAGAGTAGTAATGTTTACCTTGGCAACTTCGAGATTGGGACCTCCCATTATTGTATTATTTAGTCTGATATTGTGATGCAGTTTTGGTTCGTTAACGTGTATAGATTCCTCTCCTTGCTCCAAATCGAATTGATGGGGTCATGGTCAGGATAAATTCTAAAAATCACTTATGAACAATACATCGGATCTCACAATCGGCCAATCATATCAAGCCCACCCTGCCCCTGTCGATGAATGTTGGAACATGGCCGAGGCAATCGGCTACCCCACACATAAGCTTAATAGAGCGACAGATCCGATTGTTTAAGACATATTCAAGATCTATGTGTAACTTTCGATACATTCTCAACTCTTGATTGATTACTGCTATCCCATACTTGTAACAATATCGTTATTCAATTTTTCACTCTAAAACCAAATAATCGCCTCGGAACTTCAAAATGGCTCAGGGTGAACCAGTAACTCTGGAGTACAAGGGAAGAATCGCGGTGATCACCATTGATAACGAGAAGAAGCTTAATGCTTTGACTCAAGATGGCTACTATTTAATAGCAAAGTTCATGAGGGAGGTGGCCACCCATGATGAGGTTTTCGTCACAGTTTTGACAGGAAAGGGTATTTCCTGGAGATATCAATTCAGACAGGGAACTTGCTGACTTAAATCCCAGGACGATACTTCTCAGCGTAAGACTTTCCTCCGGCACGTAGCAACTGCATTATACTAATTAAGTCACAGAGGAGCAGATGTTTCGATCAGTAAAGAGCAGCCTGTCGGAACTGATCTCGCTCGTCATTGGTTGACTAGCTTCGTTGCGAATAACCTCAACATAACCAATGCCTTTTATACCCATCCAAAAATCCTCATCACAGCCCTCAACGGTCCAGCAGTTGGCCTCTCAGCCGCATTAATCGCCTTTTCGGACTTCATTTACTGCACACCACAGACATTCCTATTGACCCCTTTCTCCAGTTTGGGACTCGTTGCAGAGGGAGGAGCGTCAAGGGCTTTCGTCCAGCGCTTGGGAATCAGCAAAGCGAATGAAGCTCTGATCATGAGCAAGAGAATAACGGCTGAGGAATTGCTGCATGTTGGTTTTGTGAACAAGATTTTCGACGTCCAGAAGGGAGAGGACGAGAAGTTCAAAGGGTTGGTATTTGAGGAAATCGATAATCGATTGGGAACGCACTTGATCGGCGATAGTTTGATAAAGATCAAGGCATTGATTAGAAAACCGGAGAGAGATGTGCTCGATGCACAGGGTGTAGCTGAGGTATTCGGTGGGTTGGAACGATTCGCGTCCGGGATACCACAAGAGGAGTTTAGAAAGATTGCAAGCGGCGAGAAGAAGCATAAGCTGTAGATGCCTTGAGTTTAGAACGCATATAGAAAGGGGTCATGAGAATATGTTTCTAACCTTATACAATCAGACCCCTTTTGTGAAGTTCCACATGAAAGTCGCCGGTTGGTAACAGCCCAGTGCAAACAAGTAATGTCACTTATATTCCCACCGAATGAGCTCCTCTGGAAGACCAGTAATCCAACCCTGTAACGCCCGGATGATATCATGCTGTACGTAAGTAGCCTTGAAATACCAAAAAATCGAGATCTGCAAGGCCTACATCATATTTCTGTCGTGCAGCTTTTAGTTCTGTAGGACCCTTCCCATCTGTCCCGTGGCATTTGCCAGTCGAAACAATACGTTGTATTGCAGGTAAGGCACCCGTTCGTACTTATCTCGTAGGTGCAGCTGCAGAGCCTTCGCCATTCTTTTCCATTGCAGCTTTCTGTCTATCTTCCTGCTTCTGCCAATGGCCACCCTCCTTATAATCCTTAGAAATGCCCAAGGCACTTCTGAACTTATCGTCCTGCTTGATTTTCGCCTCGGCCAATTCATGCACTTGATGCATCTTCAGACCTTTCCTATTTGGCCCGTTACCTCGCTCCATTTCCTTCAATAGCTTCTTCCGTAATGCACCTTCTTGAATTTCGATTTCTTCTTCATCCACTCTGTATACATATTAGTTTTGTGATTTATGATGTATACACTCGAAAACCTACCCTTCTTCTTCCAGTTTATCACGTAGCTCGAAGACCTTGACCTCGACTTCTCTTTTTCTGTCATGCTCAAGGATCTCTTTATCTGGTTGTCGTTGCCGATGTCTGAGGCTGTCGATATCCGTGGGATAAGGCTTGATTTGGTCGCGGGGTCTGATGTGCGCAAGATTTCTTTGGACGTAACCTGAAGTTCCACTTCCTCTAGGCGTTGTAAGGCCGACGTTGGAAGACATGGTTGCGAGATGTTTGAATTGTAGGTGGTTTTAATTATTCTCTCCACAGACACCTAGTATTCGTAGCTGTTCATGGTGGTGGAGAATGATTATCAAATGGATATTGCAGGCGGTGTAACACTAGCGTGGCAGAATATTCCAAAATGTGTTTGCCCCCCTTCGATGGAAGGCAAGGGATCTCTCTGACTCACCATTGTACAATTGCTATATATCCGTCGTTAATCCAGACCTTTCACACAATATTCAGGTTTTCCCATAATCAACCCTATTTCTAGACAAAAATGCCAGCTCCCGACATTGTGGAAGTTGCGCCCATAGAGACAGCACCCCTCACTAGACTTCCCTTTGAACCCATCACCAAATCTCACATTCTGAATTGCTCATATGATAATTGGCAACCAAAGTAGAACTTCTGCCCATAATTACCCTCCGAAAAGTGCTGACATACTGCAAGATATCGATCCTCAACTCTCAAATCTCGAATCATCCCTCTCACCCCAGAGTTCCTTTCATACCTTCGAGAAGATGGCATAGTTCTTCCATCTGAGATTGCTACATTTCCTCCGCCAGAAACTTACAATAACAACTCAACTAGCGATGGCTGGGACGAAGACACAGATTCACACCCAGATCCCTCCGAGAAATTTTTGGAAATTCACAAGCAAATACAAGAGACAATTGCAGAGCTGGGCGGTACAGTAGTGCCCAAACTCAACTGGTCAGCTCCAAAGGATGCTACATGGATCAGTCTAAAACAGAATAGTATGGAGTGTAATACACCAAACGACATTTACCTCCTTCTCAAATCTTCCGACTTTATTACCCACGATTTAGAATACGCTTTCGACGGTTGCGATGAAGATCCCACCTTCACGAAAGAAAATACAAAATATGTTTTAGTCTTACGGAAATGGTTTAAAGTTAATCCATCATGCGAGTTTCGATGTTTCGTTCGAGATCGAAAGATCATTGGCATATGTCAAAGAGATCTGAATTATTTCGAGTTCTTGTTTCCTCTCATCCCAACATTGAGAGAAGCAATCCAAGCATACTTTGATAAAGCTCTCAAAGATACCTTTCCAGACCGTAACTTCTCATTTGATGTTTATATACCGGATCCATTTGACAGAGTACGGTTAGTGGATATAAATCCCTGGGCACCTCGGACAGATCCGCTTTTGTTCTCCTGGCTAGAACTGCTCACTCTTTCTGTACCTTCGCCGTTACTTGGTGTTGCAGATTCATCATCAGTGCCGTCATTGCCTGCTCAAAGTAGTGATGAAGATGACGAAACAGACGATGTTGAGGAGATTGGATGGATACCCGAGTTTAGATTAATCAAGAAAGATGATCCGGAAGCATACAGCTTTGCAAGTCCACAATACAGTGCACACAAGATGCCAAAAGAAGTGGTGGAAGCCGGTGCAAGTGGAGATGGTGGCATGAGGGAATTTGCGGATAATTGGCAGAGAATGTTGAACGGTGAGGTAGAAATGATGAGACCTGGGGAAGATAGCGATGATGAAGAAGATGATGAATGAGACGATGAGAGAGGCAAATGATACCTGAGATTGACAATGACTTACTTATATCATATCTGATTCGTTTGACGTGTTTTAATAATACAATCTGACTTTACTCATGCACCCGTACTGTGGTATTACTGTGGGGCAAATGTAAATGCAAATGTAATAAATGTGCTCCACGACCATCCAGATTCATTAGGATTTCGGCCTTCCCCACAACGGTACGTCAATCGTAAACAAGCTTTGGTGGGTCAACTAACAATGTCTTTGTAATTCAACATGAACTTGAAATTTTCCTTCTTTTGATTTTCTGTTTTCTACTTTCTTTCATCCATTGCATCTTCCTTTGAGTATATCAGCTATCCTCCTTTTCTTGCTGCTTCGATCTAAGATATATCATGTCTCTCCCTACCGTTAACAAGCAATGGACCACCCAGCAGTCTGGTCTTCAAGACCTCACTCTAGGATCATCCCCAGTCCCAACACCAGGTGATGGACAAGTTCTCGTCAAAATCCATACCGTCGCCCTCAATTATCGCGACACTGAAGTGATAATGGGCCTCTACAATCACCACAAAACCACAGGCTCTGCACCCTCATCTCTGGTTCCTTGTTCGGATATCTCTGGAACCATCATCACATCCAACACTCCGAAATGGAAGTCTGGGGATCGTGTCCTGGCAATTTTTAACCAGTCGCATATCCGTGGTCAAGTGACTGCAAAGGATATGGGCAGTGGATTGGGTTTACCTACAGAAGGTTGTCTGCAAGAATATCGTGTATTTGACGGAGAAGGATTGGTTAGGAAACCAGACTACCTCTCGGATGAAGAAGCTTGCACGCTGCCAATTGCGGGAGTCACAGCTTGGATGGCTATCAATGGGATGAGACCATTGGGACAACCGGCTGGAAAGGGAGAAAGTGTGTTGATACAAGGAACTGGGGGAGTATCGATCAGTGGATTGCAAATTGCCAAGGCCAGTGGCATGGAAGGTAATTGATATTAACATCCCGTCCCGTTTCAGACAGTAAGAAATCTAACCCAATATAGTAATAATAACGTCCTCCTCCGACGCAAAACTCGCAAAAGCCAAATCCCTCGGCGCAGACCACACCATTAATTACCGCACCCACCCCACCTGGTCCGAAGAAGTCATCAAAATCACCAACGGCGACGGCGTGTCCAATATTTTTGAAACAGGCGGTGCGCTCACTCTTCGTCAATCATTCGATGCGATAGCGTTTGGTGGTCTCATTAATTGTATCGGCTATCTGTCCGGGAAAGAAGACGAAGGTGCGGATCGCACGAATACGAATGTTTTGGCGCTGAGGAGAAATGTTACGTTAAAGGGCATACTAAATGGACCAAGAGAGAGGTTTGAGGAAATGTTGGGCTGGTATGAGGAGAATAGGGTTAGGCCGGTGGTGGATAGGGTGTTTGGGTTTGTGGAGGCGAGGGAGGGGTTGGAGTATTTGTACAAGGGGGGTCATTTTGGGAAGGTGGTGGTTAGGGTTAGCGAGTGAGAAATGCTTAATTGTTAGTGTAACGAGAAAACTTTCTTCACTCATGTATTTCCAGTAGATATGGTCTACCCCATTCGTCGATATTGACGGAATGGAACCCTTACCCGAATGGGCCGTCCCATCGGTTGAATAGGACGTATGCGCAAAATTTGAACTTTGATATCGACGAATAGGGATG